CACCATCTCTCTCTCTCTCTCTGTCTAATGAAAAAGAAAGGTTTTTGGAAATGTTCAACGAAAGGATAGCAAATCGCTCGCTTCTCGCCTCTGTATCTGTCTTTATCCCCCACAAAACATGAACTAACCCGTGAAATACGAACCTCTCTGTGTCTCTATCTATCTGTCTAAACTAGGGCTGAGAAGGAGAAGAACGAGTACTACGGCCAGTTGAACGATCTGCGCGCCGGTGTCGACCACATTACCAACGAGAAGGTATTGAAATTGATCTCTATATATGCGTTATTGCTATCAACGCGATGCTGTAAATTAAAATGCTGAAATTTCTAGTTTTGCCACGTTTACATCTGTGTATAGTATCAACGTAGTTGCCACCTCGCAACCACACCGAAAATCCTCCAAAATATTATGTAAAAACTAAAACGACCCACAACTAAAATAATCTCCAAGCTTGATCTACTAAATCTCAATGCCTTGTACAGCACCTGACACGAAAACCGAAATGCCACACTCACAATACCAATACCAAAAACAAAAACTCATTCCCGTTCCGAAACTAATGGTTTAACTTTTTGAAATCCTAAACAGGCTGCCCAGGAGAAGATCGCCAAGCAGCTGCAGCACACCCTCAACGAGGTGCAGTCGAAACTGGATGAGACCAACAGGACTCTGAACGACTTCGATGCCAGCAAGAAGAAGCTGTCCATTGAGAACTCCGATCTGCTCCGCCAGTTGGAGGAGGCCGAGTCCCAGGTGTCTCAGCTGTCCAAGATCAAGATCTCTCTGACCACCCAGTTGGAGGACACCAAGCGTCTGGCCGACGAGGAGTCGCGCGAGCGTGCCACACTTTTGGGCAAGTTCCGCAACTTGGAGCACGACCTGGACAATCTGCGCGAGCAGGTTGAGGAGGAGGCTGAGGGCAAGGCCGATCTGCAGCGCCAGTTGAGCAAGGCTAACGGCGAGGCCCAGGTCTGGCGCAGCAAGTACGAGTCCGATGGCGTTGCCCGCTCTGAGGAGCTGGAGGAGGCCAAGAGGAAGCTGCAGGCCCGTTTGGCTGAGGCTGAGGAGACCATCGAGTCCCTCAACCAGAAGTGCATTGGCCTGGAGAAGACCAAGCAGCGTCTGTCCACCGAAGTGGAGGATCTGCAGCTGGAGGTCGACCGTGCCAACGCCATTGCCAACGCTGCCGAGAAGAAGCAGAAGGCCTTCGACAAGATCATCGGCGAATGGAAGCTCAAGGTCGACGATTTGGCCGCTGAGCTCGATGCCTCCCAGAAGGAGTGCCGCAACTACTCCACCGAGTTGTTCCGTCTTAAGGGCGCCTACGAAGAGGGCCAGGAGCAGCTGGAGGCTGTGCGTCGTGAGAACAAGAACTTGGCTGATGAGGTCAAGGATCTGCTCGACCAGATCGGTGAGGGTGGCCGCAACATCCACGAGATCGAGAAGGCCCGCAAGCGCCTGGAAGCCGAGAAGGACGAGCTCCAGGCCGCCCTCGAGGAGGCTGAGGCTGCTCTTGAGCAGGAGGAGAACAAGGTGCTCCGTGCCCAGCTTGAGCTGTCCCAGGTGCGCCAGGAGATCGACCGCCGCATCCAGGAGAAGGAGGAGGAGTTCGAGAACACCCGCAAGAACCACCAGCGCGCCCTCGACTCCATGCAGGCTTCCCTTGAAGCTGAGGCCAAGGGCAAGGCTGAGGCCCTGCGCATGAAGAAGAAGCTGGAGGCTGACATCAACGAGCTTGAGATTGCTCTGGATCACGCCAACAAGGTAGGTTCATCAACTAGTCCTCCGCAATCCCTAAAACTAATTGCTTTTTTCTATAATCCAGGCTAACGCCGAGGCCCAGAAGAACATCAAGCGTTACCAGCAGCAGCTGAAGGACATCCAGACTGCCCTCGAGGAGGAGCAGCGCGCCCGCGACGATGCCCGCGAACAGCTGGGTATCTCCGAGCGTCGTGCCAACGCCCTCCAGAACGAATTGGAGGAGTCTCGCACTCTGCTGGAGCAGGCCGACCGCGGCCGTCGCCAGGCCGAGCAGGAGCTGGCCGATGCCCACGAGCAGTTGAACGAGGTTTCCGCCCAGAACGCCTCCATCTCCGCTGCCAAGAGGAAGCTGGAGTCCGAGCTGCAGACCCTGCACTCCGACCTGGATGAGCTCCTCAACGAAGCCAAGAACTCCGAGGAGAAGGCCAAGAAGGCTATGGTCGATGCCGCCCGCCTGGCCGATGAACTCCGTGCTGAGCAGGATCATGCCCAGACCCAGGAGAAATTGAGGAAGGCCCTCGAGCAGCAGATCAAGGAGCTGCAGGTCCGTCTTGACGAGGCCGAGGCCAACGCCCTCAAGGGAGGCAAGAAGGCCATCCAGAAGCTGGAGCAGCGCGTCCGCGAGCTCGAGAACGAGCTTGATGGTGAGCAGAGGAGGCACGCCGATGCCCAGAAGAACCTGCGCAAGTCCGAGCGTCGCGTCAAGGAGTTGAGCTTCCAGTCTGAGGAGGACCGCAAGAACCACGAGCGCATGCAGGATCTGGTCGACAAGCTGCAACAGAAGATCAAGACATACAAGAGGCAGATCGAGGAGGCCGAGGAAATCGCCGCCCTCAACTTGGCCAAATTCCGCAAGGCTCAGCAGGAGCTGGAGGAGGCCGAGGAGCGTGCCGATCTGGCCGAGCAGGCTATCAGCAAATTCCGCGCCAAGGGACGTGCCGGTTCTGTCGGTCGTGGTGCCAGCCCAGCGGTAAGTTTCACTTAAAATCCCAAGTGCCCCTCATCATCATACCCCTTTAGCCCCTATTACCTTGATACCCCTTCAGCGATAAAAGAAAATATGAAAAACCATTTGAACTTCTCGAAATCGAACACTACTGAGCCTTCATTTTGCTGCAATAGCACACCATATCAATCATGTTCTGTTTGGATCAGCTCTTGAATAATCTGTATATTCTTCCCTTTCATATTGCGCGCGTATGCTCTGCTTCTTCTCACGAAAACAGATCTAAATCTGAGGCACCACCACCAAGTGAAAAAAAAATCTATATAGCGATCCAATTATGGTTCATTTACGATAATGAGAAAAAAAAAAACCATGCAAAGAGAATTATAGCTTATAAGAATTATTATAAAATAAATACTAATAACAATAATATAGATGCATCATACGACATTCGCTAGCAGACAAAAATGTAAAAATTAGAGGCCACCCAAATCAGAAATCAAAGGATCAATTCATCGAATAATACCAACCAAGAATGCGTTCATTTTGACAGAAAACCAAACGAAAAGCAACAAAAAAAAAAAAGAAATACAAATATACTAGCAAGCAACCAACAGCAGCAACAGGCTAAAACAATCGAATTGCTTTCTCTACCACCATTTAAAAAAAATACTATTCTTCCACTATATTATTATAAACTGTATTTGTACATGTGTACTGCAGCCGACAGCGTCAAAGGGCCGCAAGAGCGCGCTGCTGGAGCAGTAGAAACTTTTCTGAAACATTTGTAAGTGGACGTGTTCGTGCACGTCTTGACCTGTTCTTGTTGTGTCGGAACTCTTCCCTCCCACCCCCTTACAAACACACACAGTCAATCAGTCAACCGCAGCTCATCTCGTTGTCTCGTTCTCACTCGTTCGTTGTCGTAGCTCAAACTCATTCGTTACGTTTTGTCGTCTCGTTATCGTACTCGTCAAGCGATTTCGTTCCAATCTCATCTTACACACTCGTCTCCCCAGTAAGACACTCTCTTTCTCTCGAAGAGCATTTACGTTAGCTCACTTCGTACCATGGTTCTCGTTATTTCATCCATGCACTCGCTAGCACTACATAACGTGATCAGAGAGTGCAGGATGTTCTCGTTTTCGTTCTATCCTGAGCAGTCGATCCAACTTGGCGACTCGTCCCATCCCCAAGCATGTTTGAATTATGTTTGTTTTCTTGAACTAATCTTGATATATTTTTTTTATTCTTTTCTACAGCCCCGTGCGACGTCCGTTAGGCCACAATTCGACGGATTGGCCTTCCCACCAAGATTCGACCTTGCTCCTGAAAACGAATTCTAAATGCCATTTCATTTTTTAATTTATTTTAAATGATATTTCATAATGATTATGTTTATGATTTTAATTTAATTTCTTAATTTAAAAACAAAATAATAAAACTATAACAAAATATATATCGAAAACGACGGGAGGCATACTACCAACAACGCCATATGCACTTAGGCAAAAAGAAATGGAAACCAAATAACAACAATCGATAATTATCGATTAGCATACGTACATAAGTGAACAGTATCAGGCTTTTGTGTAAGCGCGACATTTGCCATGGGGACACTGCTCGCTGGACCTGTATTTGTATTTGTATTTATATATTTTTATACAACTTTCGAAATGCATTCAACCAACAAACTATCAAAGAACCATCGATTCTCAAACGAACAACATGAGAATATAATCGCGAAATGAGAGAGCCCCGTCAAAGTGAAGGCCCAGCGGTGGTGTTCGTCGGTAAATGTCGCCCGCTGTTCGAATATTTTGCTCTATAATGTATCCTCAATTAATTGTCATGCAGACCAGACAAGACTTACGGACGACACGAGCTATACACTGCGCTTATGTTTATGTTTAATTTTGACTCTAATCAAGCAATGATAAAGAGATAAGATCATCACTCGAAAATAAATGAAAAGTATACAAAAAAGGAACAAAATAAATGTAAATCAATTTAAAGAATGTGTTTTATTTTGTCTGATCAAAAACATGGACATATGTACATACTTCCCAAATCTGTTGTGTTAAATGATATATGCGCTTATCGAATGTCTGGTACATGAGGCGGATAGGGAGCATGAAATGACGAACCTTATGGGCACCATAAACTACTTAAGGAAGATGAAAATCATGTGCCCTGACATTAAAGAAAAGTATGCACCGAATACCATTGACATATTATTCCATTTTCAGTCGGCCCATGATAAGAAGAAGTGAGTAGCAGTGAGAGGAAAGCTCTCCAACAGCGATACTCTCGGATCAGAGCTTTACTAATTGATCGGTCGAGTGTGATACGAAAACAAAAGCCGAGCGACGCTCCAAATAAAAGTTTAGTAGGCGCTACGTAAACAAACTCTGCGGGTTGTCTTCACTGGAGGTGCACAGAGCGACCGGTTCTATCGGTGGGTATTAAGTTGAACTTGGGAATCAATCAGCTAGCTATCAGCCAAGATTAAGCACAGCCATTCAAAGTACTTATTTTGGTTAAAATTAACTAATTTTATTCGTGTAGATTGATTTGCGAGAGTTGCACTGATAATGACGCCCAATATAAAAGAGGATGACGATTGGAAAGTATCTGGAATAACGAGAACTTATCCGAGCTATCGCCAGCATCGACCTATTACAAGTGAAAGGTATAAATCTAAAATAATAATGAAAAATGCAGGAAAATTATAATTTTCCCTTGCTTAGCTGGCTGGAGGGCAAAAATGCTGATGACGAGGCCGAAGGTCTTTGGCGCATTAACGATAAGCTTTACGACTTGAGCGACTTTGCCGCTCGGCATCCGGGTGGTGCTTCTTGGATAGAATGCACCAGGGGCACGGATATCACCGAGCCCTTCGAGTCGCATCATATCGAGGAACGAGCTCGCGGAATGCTGAGCAAATTCGAAGTTCGTAAGGCTGCTAAACCGAGAAACTACAAATTCACTCTCAAAGAGACTGGTTTCTACATGACCCTAAAACGGAGAGTGCGAGAAAAGCTGAGGAAAATAGATTACTCTCCCACCAAGAAAACAGAGGTAAAGTTAGTATTATTAAATTTAAATGTTGTATCGGTGTATAACTATTTGAACTTTTCAGTTCCTTCATTTGGGTATCCTGGTGTCCGTCTTCCTCTTTAGCTGGGCAGGTACACTTCTGGACTCATTGATCCTCCAGAGTCTAGCTGGCTTGTCCCTTTGCTGGGTAGCCACATCCACCCACAATTACTTTCATCAGCGCGATAGTTGGCGGATGTACACCTTTAATCTAACTTTGATGAACTACCGGAACTGGAGAATATCTCATGCCCTATCACATCATGTTTATGCTAATTCGCTGCACGATCTGGAGATGTCAATGTTTGAGCCGTTTTTATGCTGGATTCCTGATCGTCATTATGCCAGTAAGACTCAGCGATGGATCTCTGTGATTATCTCTCCTGTGGTATATGTAGTCCTGTTTCAGGGACAGCTTCTCCTGCGGTGAGTAACTGAAATAGCTTTTCATATACTATATTAACGAAATTTATATCTCTATAGCTTGGTTCTGTCATTGACCCAAACATACCGTTTGTACTGGGACGATCTTATCGGTTTGAGCCTACCGGTTTTTCTATATTTCTCCACCGGCGTTGGCCTGTTTGCAACTCTTGTTAGCTGGCAAATAATCCTAGCCGTGGGCAGTTTTATTTTTGGTTTTATTGGTCTCACAGCAGCTCATCATGATCCTCGTATTCTTCACGATGGAGATACTCAACGTCAGGACATTGATTGGGGTCTTTATCAGATGGATACGATCATAGATCGCGGAGACATTAAGTGGTCTGATCTCTTGGTGCTCACCCACTTTGGTGAGCATGCCCTGCATCATCTATTTCCCACACTGGATCATGGAGTACTCAAGCAGCTCTACCCTGAGCTAAAGAAAACAATGAAAGAGTTCGACGTGGAACTGAGGGAGATCAATCACTGGGGTCACATTAAAGGGCAGAATGAGCAATTGCTAAGGATCAAAAAGAATCCTCTGCCACCGGGTAGTAAGAAATTAAAATAGAGTTGGGCTGAGGCTTCTTTATTTTACTATAAATTGTAGCAAAATAAGTAAATAATGTGATGGAATAGGGGATAGGGATTAGACAAACAGACTTGTTAAATTAATCATAGATTATTCTTTTTTGATTTTCTCTTATAAACTGATTTTTTTTACAGTACTAGCTATTTGTGCTCTTAAGTTAAAAAGCTTATTTAAAGTCTCTTTATTTTTTTTTAACGACGGTTAAAAGCTTTTGGGTCGTTTCCGCTTTTTTATGGTGTTTGTGAGGTATCATTAAAAAAACTGTTTAGGCTTAATTATATTAGGTGGTGAAGCATTTCACAAACATTTTTACAACATATTTAAGGTGAGAGTTTAGCGAGTGTTAAATAAACTTAATAATTTCCTTTGAGACCTACATAAGCACTAAACACTGTCATATGGAAAAATGGAAAGGCATTTTCGCTGAGTCATCGTGATAATGCAATTGGTGGATACACCAATTGTACCAAAAGATTAAATGTAACATAGAAAAGATTTTTAAAAACTATATAAATTTAACAAATAAAAAACGTGTTTAACATTAAATATATTTAAGATATCTTTTTTAGATCTTAAGTACTTAACGAAATTTCAGTAACAATTTTTTTAAGTTTCCAAACCATTATACAGGATAGTAATAGGTCGCATTACACGCTTATACGAACGTAGATTAAGGTTACCGTTCGCTGTTATGGAGCTGATAAGCGATTAGGGTGCCAGATAGTTGGTTACGTTCACCAATATATAGCTTGCCGCTCACCTAATTTTCATTAGTTTTATTTTAGTATTGGCCGGAGAAGTCAATTGAATAGTTTTAGAAATGTTCGCAGTACGCTTCGTTGTTTTATGGCTCCTGGCAGTAGTTTCTTCCACACAAGGAGCAAACATTTTGGGACTCTACAGCAGTCATAGTCCTTCCCATCTAATAATTCACATGTCAACGGCTAAGGCACTGGCGGAGGCTGGACATAACGTAACCGTGGTTTCGATGCTAAGGCCCAAGGTAATGCACAAGGACATCAACCTAATAGTCATACCGGTGACTAAGGAACAAGAGCGCACTCTGGAGAACCAAATGACCACCATGGCAGGGCAAAAAAACTCCATTCTGACCACTATGAATCGCCTTCTAAACGACATGGATGTGATGATAGATGCGCAGGCTGATCTGCTCTCGGACCCGAGGTTCCAACCCATTTTGGAGACCAAATTCGATTTGATGATACTGGGTTACTTCCTCAACGATTTCCAATTGGGTGTTGCAGCTAAGCTGAAGGTTCCAGTTATTATTGACTGGATGACAGCGCCCAATCCCATAATTGATGAGTTTACGGGAAATCCCTCGGAAGTTTCATATGTTCCCAACATAGCCACGTCTGCAACGCATCCTATGGGCTTCTTAAAGAGAGCGGAGAATCTGGCCATGCACCTGTTTCTCAAGTACATGAGTACACTGCTTGAATCTAAGCTAACACAGATATATAAGGATATCTACGGTGAAGATAAAAATCTGCCAACTCTGAATGAGTTGAGAAAAAATATTTCCATGGCATTTGTCGGTTCCCATTTAATCAGCGAAGGTCCAATTCGACCTCTGGTTCCTGCCATTGTTGAAATTGGAGGCATTCAAGTGAAGGATAAGCCTGATCCTCTGCCCAAGGATATCGATCAGTTTTTAAATAAGTCCACCCAGGGAGCTGTGTTTTTTTCTCTTGGCTCCAACGTTAAGAGCTCCACGGTGAAGCCAGAAATAGTTCAGATCATCTTTAAAGTCCTGTCCAGCCTTGAGCAGAACGTGATTTGGAAATGGGAGGACTTAGAGAATACGCCAGGCAATGTCTCCAACATTCTTTATAAAAACTGGCTGCCCCAAGATGATATCCTGGCCCACCCGAACACCAAACTCTTCATTACACATGCCGGAAAGGGTGGCATAACCGAATCCCAATATCATGGGGTTCCCATGGTGGCTTTGCCCATTTTTGCCGATCAACCCGGAAATGCTGCTGCAATGGAAAAATCAGGGTATGGATTGTCTTTAGAATTGCTCTCTATTACGGAAGACAGCCTTAGAAACACCATCAGCGAAGTGCTGGAAAATAAGAAATATTCTCAAGCGGTTGGTAAATTTTCCGCCCTGTACAGAGATCGACCCCTCACTGCCAAGCAATCAGTTGTCTATTGGACGGAGTACGTCCTGAGACATCATGGAGCACCCCATCTGCAGAGTCCATCGTTGCATATGAATTTCATTGAACTGAACAATCTGGATATTTACGCTTTGATTTTAATAATCCTGGCATTATTCGTGCTCCTCACCAGACTAATTGGGAAATTCCTGTGGCGCAAAGTTTTTGTCAATGCAAAAATCTCAAAGTCAAAAAATAACCAAAAAAAAATCAAAAAAATAAATAAAAGGCGAAGTTTATATAGAAATTTTAACTAGGTTATTTTAAATCTTTATTAATAAAAGCGTTATTTAAAAAAAAATAATTGCCCTATCATCGTTATTATTTGAAAATTTTATTTACGGCTTGTAACCTTATCTCATTTCGGTAAAAAATCGTCGATAAAACTATAAAATTTTCTTATCGTTTTACTATTATATACTGATTATACTGAAAATCATAACTTTTATATTATTTTAATATATGTTTGCATTGTTAGTAGATCCGATTGTTATTTATATTTTGGAAAATATAAATATAAACATTTAAAAGGTAGAGGCAAAGAGATATATTAAAATTGTATTTTTAAAATTTTCTTTGAAAACACCTTGAAAATAGAATCTACTCTTCTAGAACATTAAGAGCTGCTGGATAAGAGTACTGTTAGAAACAAAGAGAGGCAAAACTCTTAAACTCTTAAACTCTTAAAGTTTACTTTGAATACCCCATTTTATTACTTTATATCATATATCGCGCTTTGAAAAAATAATTGGAGTTGTGAAATAAAATAGCATTACTTTTTCATTGTCCAAAAATGTTTAATACAAAAGCGTTTATCAAGGTACTTAAACCATTAGTGACTGGTAACCAACTCAAATAACAGTAAAGAGTCCAGTCAGGCTATTAAGAGCTTAAGATAAGAGTATCTTCAGGAATCGAAGGGAGCAGATAAGCGAATCAAAATACAGGCAGTATCCATAAATAGATAGCCGCAAGCCCAGTTCTCTTCAGTTCTTATTTTCACATTGACCGGAGGGGTCACAAAAAAATTTTTTAAAAAATGTTCGCGGCTCGCTCTGTACTTTTGTTGCTACTCGGTGTATTGGCCTCCACTCAGGGAGCTAACATTTTGGGGCTCTTCAGCAGTCATAGCCCCTCTCACCTGATCATCCATATGTCGGTGGCCAAGGCCCTCGTCGAAGCTGGACACAATGTCACCGTGGTTTCTATGCTGAAGCCCAAAATAATGCACAAGGATATTACACTGATTGTGATTCCGATGAACGAGGAACAGGAGCTTATTATGGAAAACCAAATGGCCGAAATGGCCGGGCAAAAAAATTCACTTATTAGCACCATGAATCGTCTTCTAACTGGCATGGAAGTGATGATCAATGCACAAGCAGAACTTCTCCATGACCCGAGGTTCCAGAGGATTTACGAGACCAAATTTGATTTGATGATATTGGGTTACTTTATTAACGACTTTCAATTGGGAGTTGCACATAAGTTGAAGGTTCCTGTAATAATCGACTGGATGTCGGCTCCCAATCCAGTGGTTGACATGTTTATGGGCAATCCCTCGGAGATATCATATGTACCCACTACAGGCTCTACTTTTATTCAACCCATGGGTTTTCTGGCTAGAATTGAAAACTTCGCTAAAAAATTGTTTTTCCAATATTTTACGACAATATCTTATTTCAAGTTGACTCGAATTTATAATGAAATCTTCTCTGGAAAGGATCAGCCAACCCTTAATGAGTTGAGGAAGAACATCTCCTTGACTTTTGTCGGCTCCCATCTAAATAGCGAGGGTCCCATTAGACCCTTAGTTCCTGGCATTGTTGAAATCGGAGGTATTCAAGTGAAGGATAAGCCTGATTCACTACCCAAGGATATAGATCAGTTTTTAAATAAGTCCAAGCAGGGAGCTGTCTTCTTTTCTCTCGGATCCAACATCAAGAGTTCCGCGGTGAAGCCGGAAATTGTCGACACCATTTTTAAAGTCCTATCAGGACTGAAACAAAATGTGATCTGGAAATGGGAGGATCTGCAAATCACTCCCGGTAACTCATCCAATATTCTTTATAAGAATTGGCTTCCCCAGGATGATATCCTGGCCCATCCAAACACCAAACTCTTCATCACTCATGCCGGAAAAGGTGGCATAACCGAATCACAGTACCATGGTGTGCCCATGGTGGCTTTACCAATTTTTGGAGATCAACTAGGAAACGCTGATGCTATGGAAAAATCAGGGTATGGACTGGCTCTCGATTTGCTGACTATAACAGAGGATAGTCTTAGAGAGGCACTGCATGAGGTCTTGACTAACAAGAAGTACAGTCAAGCTATTGGCAAATTCTCCTCCCTGTACAGAGATCGACCCCTTACCGCAAAACAAACAGCGGTTTATTGGACGGAGTACATCCTGAGACATCATGGAGCCCCTCACCTACAGAGTCCAGCGGTGCATATGAACTTTATTGAGCTCCACAACCTGGATATCTACGCTCTAATTTCAACGATCCTGGTTATCTTTTTGCTACTAGCTCGATTTGTTGCGAAATCGATAATAAAAAAATGTAGAGGAAAGGCAAAAATTCCAGAAAAGAAAAAGAAAGAATAAAAAATGTTTTTAAAATTTAGTTTAAATTATAAAAAAAATTGTATTAATATAATATGTATTGTAATAGAACAAATTGTAAATAAATTAAATAAAAAAAACTTTGAAATGATACCAAAAAATTATTTCACCATAAACTTGGTTCTTTCAAGCAGCAACTAACAAATTATGCCAATGCTTATGTATTTTCAATTACCTTATCTTGATACCTATATACCTTAATACTGTATATGTGATGTCGATACTACGCCAAAATGACTGAGTATTTTTTAGGCATTACATTTATAGGCTAATACACACTTGTGTTATATAAACAAACCCTTAAGTTTTATCAATTACGCAATTAATCTTTTTTGCAATTATCATAAATGTGTAGTTTAATATATCAAATTCTGCTATCACAAACCGAATGTCATTCATCGTCTACATTTAGTTAGACCGCCAAAATGTGTTCGCCTTCAAACAAGGTCATAAACATGATAATGTACGATTAGAATTAAGTTTGTTGATAAGTCCACGTTTTTTTAAGTTTAGAGCATTTAATCATGACTCAGGACGCAGACAGAAACCCTATTGATAGCGGCAGTAGACGAAGTTCAGCCCGTTGGGACAGACCCTAGCTAGATCTTTCTAATATGTCCAGTCATTGCGTCGCAGCAAAAACAAAACAACCTATATCAGTTAATATTGTTTAAAATGGTCAATTGTGTTGACTTGATGTCAGGCAATACTTTATAATCAAGCAACGAAGTCAAATTGAAACTTAGTCGTGTAGTGCCGGTTCCATTGAAAAGTTCATTTAAAATGCTGAAATATAGTACGATCGCGTGCTTGCTAATACTACTTTTCGGCGCGAAAACCCCAAGCAGTGATGGAGCTAATATTTTGGGTATTTTTGGTACTCACAGTCCTTCCCATGTGATTATACATATGGCAATGATGAAAACATTGGCGGATCGGGGTCACAACATCACGGTGGTGACCCAGATGAAACCAAAATTGCCCCCACATGAAAATATCACAGTTATCTTGGCACCACCAACTCCAGAGCGAGAACGATATATAAAGGAATTTATGGCAGAGGTGTCTAATGAGAAACCTTCTTTTTTTGAGACCATCATGAAAACCATTATCAACTCAGCAGAACAATTTGAGGGACAGTATGAATTTACGGTTCATCCTAATTTAAAAGAGATCTACGAAAACCCGCAGACCAAATTCGATTTGATGTTTCTGGGTCCCATGGGCAATGACTACCAATTAGGAATCGCCGCCAAGCTGCACTGTCCAGTCATAGCGACTTGGGTGGGCGTGCCCATGCCTTTTATGGATAGTTTTGTTGGTAATGTCAACGATCCATCCTACGTGCCCTCCATGAATGTAGCCCTTGAAGAGGACCATAACACCATGAAATTTAGCCAAAGGTTCGGCAACTTTTTTAAGCATTCTTTCCTGATTACTGTTAACAAATTATTGGACATCAAGATGAACCAGTTTTACGTGTATGTACATTCCTTAAAAATTAAAAAAAAGAATGTGTAATAGAGTTCATTTCCTTTTCAGACGATTATTTGGAAATGAGACTGATCCGGACTTTCCTAACTACTACGAAATGAAGCGTCGCATTTCCCTGCTGTTCTATAACTATCATTCTCCAAGCGAAGGACCTATTAGACCAACAGTACCTCAATCGATTGAAATTGGTGGAATACAAGTGAAGGACCAGGCCAGCCCACTGCCAAAGGAGCTAGCCGAGTTCCTAGACAATGCCGACGAGGGTGCAATCTTTTTCAGCTTGGGAACCAATGTGAATACCAATACCTTTCGACGTGACATCATAGATGTCATATACAAAGTGCTTTCAAAACTTCCCCAGAGAGTTGTGTGGAAGTGGGAGGATCTAAAGAACAAGCCAGGAAATGCATCCAACATATACTTCAACAACTGGCTTCCCCAGGATGATATCCTGGCTCATCCCAAGACAAAGCTCTTCATAACCCACGCAGGCAAGGGTGGAGTTGCAGAGGCCCAATATCATGGAGTTCCCATGGTGGCATTGCCCATCTTTGGAGATCAACAGGGAAATGCTGAAATGATGAAAAAATCTGGCTTTGGTCAATGGTTAGACATACTCACGCTGACGGAGGAAGAACTGGAGGAGAGTATCCACGAAGTCTTGGATAATCCAAAGTACAGACAGGCTATCGGGAAGTTCTCTAGCCTCTACAGGGATCGTCCCTTAACAGCCCGTCAATCGGTTATCTACTGGACCGAGTATGTTCTGCGTCACCAAGGAGCCTATCACCTGCAGAGTCCCCTCATTCACATGGATTTCGTGGCCCGCAACAATCTCGATGTCTATGGAGTAGTTATCACTGTCAGTCTAGTTCTTTTTATTTTACTGATATACATATTTAAATTTGCATTTCGCAACATTTTAAAAGTTGTGAGTGGTCAAAGCAAATCGGTCCCCGACAAGCTTAAAAGCAATTAATCGTTCAACCATCTTATCAATGCGTATACGTAATATAAGTTGGCCTTGTGAAATACAAAATTGCATGGATTGCTACTCGCGATGTTAGTGATCAAGTGTTCTAAGTGTTTGTGGTTCTTAGGTTTACATATTATTAAATTAAATAAAAAAAAAAGTTGAAATTTCTTTTTCGTTTTACTTTTAATGTATAAAAAGCTGATTATAGGTTGGTATAAACGAGAAGTACTCGAGAGATAAAAGCTGTGCCGGAAAGCATGACTCTGTATAAAAACGACATCTGTTGAAAATGATTGCTCACAAAAAATGCATATGTATGGTTAGAGAAACACAAAGGCCAAATTAATCATTGCAGTTTTTGGTGTCGCTCTGTGCTCAATCTTAAGTCAGTTTTTCACAGTAGTGGATTTGTGCGAAATTGAAAATAATTAAATTACTTGAATAAAATTTAAAACTTTTTCCCCAAGATAAGCTATAGTATAATAATAATAATAATCTGAAAACTTTATTAACAAAAGTTTTAATTATGAAAAACCCTTTCTGTTTACATAAAACACAAGTGCAGCCAATGACCTGCACTGTTTAATTTACTGATACTGATGTCATGCACCTTACACAACCCGGCAATTAATAAAACAGCAACAGAGATTCCCAGACCTAGAACAACACAGTCGCTTAACAGGTTGCTCCCACATTCTCCCATTTTTAGAGGCCTCCCACTGTGTGCTGTTCTCTCCTCTCGAGAACTATCTCATCGTGTCATTCCGATTCGGGTTCGGATTCAATTCTCAGTGATTCGAGAGCTATCGAGGCAGCGCGTGCCGAACGCGTATTGTTTTCCAAATTTGTTTTATATTATTTAATGGGGCTCACATTGGTGTCCCTATATAGACGAGGTATTTAGAATATCTATAATTGTTGTGTTGGAGTCATCAAGGGAGAGTGCCAATTCAATGAAATAATAGTTAACCTACAAGTTGACATTGACAATGTGACAAGGTTGCACTTTAACCTGTGGATTTACAGTTTAAATTATTTGAAAATATTGGCTATGGTCTTTTTCGTTAGTTAATTTGACGTAATACTAGTTTACTTTATTTAAAATATTCAACGATATTTTTTTATAGTGTTCCTAAAATACTTGTAATAACTTGTTAGACATTAACAAAAACAAAGATTTGCACTAAGGAAACACTTGTTGCCAAGAAGCGTATATTCATGTTATAAATATATTTGCGAAAGATTGCACTTTACCCTACAACAACTTCGAAATATTTTTCTAATCAATAATTAAGATAATCAATTAAACAAACCATTTTTGAAAATAGTTTTTTTGGTTTCCCTAGCCAAAATATAACGTGTACTTAAATCAAAGAACACGTAATAACTAGTTAACAAACTCTTTATGAAATTCATGCTACTGAATATAAAAATATATAAAATTGCAGATTAAGCGATTGAAGGAATCTTATCAGTCCGTTATCGGCCAAACCAACCGAGTATAAGATAGCCACCGGCTGCTTCCACCCCAATCAGTTTACGTTTGTACTTGGACTTGGACAGAGCTAGTCATGACACATAACCGGAGCAGTTGGATCGGCTGCAGTTTGGGTGGCCTTCTGGTTGCCCTTTTGGCCCTGCAATCGATGCCCCAAGGGCAGCGAAGGAGCCAACATCCTGGGCGTCTTCACCAGTCACAGTCCATCGCATTTATCGTGCACATGTCCATCATGAAGACGCTGGCCGAGAAGGGTCACAACATAACAGTCGTTTCTGCCGTGCCACCCAAGGTGACCCATAAGAGCATCAAGCACATTGTGGTCCCAATGAATGCCGAGGATGAAAAGATCCTTAACGAAGGCATGTCCACTATGGTCAAGGAGAAGCCATCGATTTGGAACACCTTCAAATCGATTTTTACTTCACTGGGCTTGCTTATTGATAAGCAGGTGGACGTACTCGAAGATCCGCGCTTCCAGGAGCTCTATCTGAACAAGGGCAACAAGTTCGACGTTGTCTTCGTCGGATTCTTCTTTAATACCTATCAGGTGGCCTTGGGTGCCCGGTTCAATTGCCCCGTAATTGTTTCCTGGTCGGGCCCGCCAATGATGATGGTTAACGAGGTTCTCGGCAATCCTGAGCTTTCCAGTGTCCCCCAAATGCATATATCGGCACCACCTGGTCAGCCCATGACTTTCCAACAGCGGCTACACAACTTTGCCAGCACTATTGGTTTCAATGCTCTTAATATTTACCTGAACCACAAATACAATACGTTCTATGAGTGAGTACTTATCGCTGGATTTACTTAAAGATTAAAAAACTAAAATAATTATCTTTCCCTTTAGCCGACTTTGGGGCAATGACAAGTCCATGCCTAGTTTCGAGACGGCCAAAAGAAATGTTTCGCTAGCCTTCTGCAATGGTCATGCTATCAGCGAAGGTCCCATCCGTCCTAACGTGCCTGGTATTATTGAAATTGGAGGCATTCAGGTTAAGACCAAGGCCGATCCTCTGCCAGAAGACATCAAAGAGTTTTTGGAGAAGGGAAAGCACGGAGCCATACTCTTCAGTTTGGGTTCTAATCTGAAGGGCGAACATATCAAACCCGAAGTGGTGGAAACTATTTTCAAGGGCCTGAGCAGCGTGAAGCAGCAGGTGATCTGGAAGTGGGACGACCCCAAGAACTTGCCTGGAAAGTCAGCGAATATCTTGTATAAGAAATGGCTTCCTCAGGATGATATTCTAGCCCATCCTAAGATCAATCTTTTCATCACACATGCTGGCAAGGGAGGTGTTGCGGAAGCTCAATACCATGGAGTTCCCATGCTGGCACTACCTGTTTTCGCTGATCAACCGGGAAATGCCGACAAACTGACGGACAGTGGATATGGTTTACAACTGCCGTTGCTCACCCTAGATGTGGAAGAGTTCAAAGCGGCCATCAAAGAGGTGATCGAGAATCCCAAGTTCTCTCAGAAGCTAAAGAGCTTCTCCAAACTCTATCGCGATCGTCCTTTGAGTGCCCAGGAGTCGGTGGTCTACTGGACGGAGTACGTGATCCGTCATCATGGTGCTGCTCACATGCAGAGTCCTTTGGTTCACATGAACTTCATTGCCAGCAATAATCTGGACATCTATATCGTCGCCGCCTTGGTGCTTTACATCCTCTTCGTTATTAACAAGATAGTGTGGAAGTTTATTTGGCGCAAATTATTTGGCAATTCGAACAAAGCTTCTCAGAAGAAGAAGGTGAAGAAGCAGTAGATAGGATTATACGAATTTTATACATAGAGACAAATTTAAAAAAATATACTGTGAAACGACCAAAAAACTTGTATAAAATAACTAAAAGCCATTAAATATTTTCAAAAAATTTTAAAATGTAAATAGTTTCATTATGAAACTAGGGTAAGAGTGCCTTGGTTATAATTAATATGTTTGCGGCATTATGTTATCAGTAACCAGCCTATAATCATTATAAACTTCCGAGTATCTTATCATTGAACTATCTTTATCTGCATTGCCCTTTTATCACTTTGTTTGAGTGCCGAAACTCAATGTTAATAACATTGTCAACAATTAACAGAAGTAGAAAACATTTGTTTTGTTGATTGGTGTGGGAGACTTCCACTGGGAGACGTACACTCTGAGAGTCATTATCTACAGATATTTCCGTGTTCTCTCTGACGCTCTGTCTATTTCGGTGACGACTGCATATATTTCCATAATTTATTCGTAATTACGATATTTGTTTGCTTAATTAGTTGTTTGATCTTCATTACTTCCTATATTAAAACCTTTGTTTTCAGAAAAAATGTTCAACTTTTTAAATAATACAAATACAACAATTGCGATATTTAAAATGCGATTTTAAAATTAAATTCCACCAAAGCTCGTTCAGCTGAGTATCCACCATATCGAAGATTCGTGGTGAGTTTTTTTAGGTTTGTAACTCTGACCGTAAGTATCTAGCTTGGGCTAAAACCATTTTTCAAGAGCTTTTCGGAAGATAAATGTACAGATTTTAGATAGATTTAAAACGCTTTTCTGGCACTCCTATATACTTTTTATAGCTGATCTGTGTTTTGCATATTCTTAATTGTAGTATCTATTTATTTGATCTGAAATCATATATGATTCGAGCTTATAAAATGTACAACACCTGCCACACTTTTTATTACTAGGGGGCGTCTATAGCCTTGGACCTGGACTGGGCCTCCTCCTCTTGCTGATTGCCTTGCAGGGCCTCAGAGGAGCTAACATCCTGGACTACTCGACATGTCTCGCTGGCCAGCTCTTCCGGATCTTCGACTATATCCTGCACATTCTCGATATGCCGCTGTAGATCGGGAACTTTTGTCCGATTTGCGAATTCACCGACTCCGAGTTCTGCATGGATGGTATCCATTAGGTTGGCCAGCAGCAAACTCTCGTTGTGACTGAAGTCATCGCTCTCGTAGCTGCCCTTCATGATGCAGTTTCTCACCTCCTCGGCCTCATAGCACATGCCCAATCGATTGTGGTAGTGGGTGGGTGGCATTTCGTCGCTACCCGGCAAAGGGAATTCGTAATCCACCTCATCGGTGATCAGACGGGTGGGACACCAGTAGTTGTTCATCTTAAAGAGGACTGATATTAAGTTCTAGATGTTATTGCAATAAAACTCACTTTAATGGACCCATTTGTGCCTTTCACAATAGCCAAGTTGTCGAGTTTTTTTTCCGAACTGACCTCGATGAAGGCCTTCTTGCCGCGGGTGAAGCAAAGTTCTATATCAGCAGCAACGTCCACGTTCTGGGAATTGACCCTGCCGCTTACCTTGAGGCAACGTGGTATCTCCCGAAACACCCACAGAGCCAACTGCATTCCATAGACGCCAAAATCGTTGGTAACTCCGCCGTAAAGTCCCAGTCTCCTAAGGAAATCGTTACCAGTTTAATTTATATAAATATATTTGTCTAGAAGAGATTTCTATGTCACCAACTAAAGTATTCTTACCCTTGGGAGACAGGCAGACCCAGAGAGCAATGAACAGTCTGCAGTTCTCCAAGACGATTACGCAGAATCTGATGCCGCAGGTAGTGATAAGCTGGGACGCATCTTGGCCACATTCCCTCCATAAGGAAGAGACCTCTCGCCCGCGCCTTCTCCAGCAACTTGGTCACCTGGTCCTCCGTCATGCAAAGCGGTTTTTCACATAGAACGTGCTTGTCATGATTCAACATCAGGTGGCAGAGCTCCGAGTGCTGAGGATTCAGCGGTGAGATGTACACAACATCTGAACTTCAACAAAGTTATAAGTTAGTGTTTTGTTATGGCTTAATTATGTCCTCCAAATATGGGTTTCCTCGACCAGAGATATAGAAACTCACCTACATTCGGGCACTTGGCCAGATCCTCGAAGCTGGTGTACACGTTTATCCACCTTATGGCGATCGGAGAAGGCGAGAGCGTGAGATTGGTAGGCGGCCACACAGGACACGATGCGGTGGTGCTTCTCTGGGAGGACACTTAAAGCAGCTGCAAAGTCATCTGCCATCAGGCTGACAGGTGCGATGCCCCAGCGGAGCGTTGGCCCTTCGTCCGCCACCCACTCGCCCTTTCCGTGTGTCGCTGGTTCCGCCTTTGAGTGGGTCGTGGGGAAGGTAAACGGATTGACATGCAACTGGCGCGGGCGCGATTGCCACATGTTTTGGTCGCCAATATCACCGCCAACGAATCCAAAGCTGCTCCGCCTGGCGTCCGCCTTGGATGGCGAACATGTGGGCAGGCGATCTGCGGATTGAGGAGGATTGTATTACTCACATCGTGCAGAGAAAACTGCACTTAAAAAGATTCATGACTAATTTGGGCTTTTCTGATTTATTTCAATAACTCAATGATATCAAAATCTTGCATATACGAAATATTTTTAATAAAATGAGGATTGAGTATTTTTTTCTAGCACACATCAATATATTTTTTGCAGTGTACAACCGCCGGTGACGATCGGTGTCGACTTTGTCGCGTAAAACACATTTCATTCATACAATCGAACGCTTTTCCACGAACTGGCGAAATTGCGGGTGTTGGATTTGGCCGCCGGCAACCGGTCCGGACTCGGTGCCATCCGTGGACATGGACGTGGACCATCTACGTCGAAACCGAGACGACGGGCGCATTATGTGGCGCTGTTTAGTGCGTCAGTTCCTCCATAATTAGTCATATTTGTTTAGCATCACAACTTGTGAATGACTCGCTGCTGCGGTTTGTTGCAGCTAAGTCAGGTTTTGGTTTTGTTTTAGTTTTTTCTTTTTAGTTTTTGTTGTTGTATTGGCCTGGTCCTGGCCAAGTTGGCCAAGTTGGGAGCTGCCTGGGCCGCGCACTTTGCGCTTCGTTCTGTCCGCATTCGAATTTCACTTTCTTTTTTAGAAACTAAGCATCGGACTGTTTGTGTATTTATCGCCCAAGTTCCCGCTGAATGGGTAGCTTGATTTTGACAAGTGGTTGTACTTTATCAGTTGGGGGAAATCAATGAGTTTCTATAAGTACGAATAATAATAAAGAAATATGTACACAAAATTATGTTAAACCATTTATGAAGATCTCAATCCGTGAAGTTTCAATCTGTATTGATATTAGGTTATTAACTAAAACATAATCATTTGTTTAGTAATCATATTATTTTATAGTAAGAGCATTTGGCATTCGAAATTTGTTTCATCTCTAGCTGCCACCTTCCGCGGCTTATTTCACTTTTCAATAACTCGAGTGCGTGCAACAATGTCCGAGTGGCCTGTGTCCGCTTCTGTGTGCGAGTGTCGATGGCGCGTCCCAACAGAAAACCAAAAAATTTGTTTATCTAATTAGCAATGCACCGGGCGACGTATACGCGGGCAGCGCTTTTCACCTGATTTTGCATGCATGGCAGGTGGTGCAAGTGGCAGTGGTCGATGGTCGTTGGTCGTAGAAATTGCCCTAACCCAAAATGCAAAGCGATAAAAATATGTGCGAGGCGCGTTTTCTGTTGGCCAATGAACGAAAGTGTTCTATGGGTGTAAGAGTATGTAGACGGCCCAAAATAAAAACCGAAATCCGTAAACTGAAAATGAGAAAACAAACCAACTCTCGCCCAGTGCCGGAAGAGACTCTGTATAAGTCATTGCGAGTGTGTGTGTGCGGGTGAAATTATGTGCCAGTGAAAGGTTGCCTAATTTCTGTCATTAAGCTACACAGGCACGAGCAGGACTTAAAGGTGCACTTGCAGAAAATTGCGTAGAAAATCTTTTAGATATACAAAAATATATATTAATAAAGTTTTTGTGTTTTTTTTCTTTTTCTTCTTAGAAACATTACAAAGAAGATTCAATCCAATTCTAAACTAAAATTATTATTTTTAGTGTAATGCAGAGTAGATTTTGGTGCAGAGTAGTGGGGGGAGACGCGACAAGAGCTGACAGCCGGAGCACACAAATTTGCCATGCGTGTGTTTTTTGATGACTCTTTCCCGAGAGCGACGACACGGCGGAGACGACATGTTCATTAAAGCCAGAGCCGCGTCATTTTGGTCCCCCATCCTCCCCATTGCCGGCTCCTCTGGTGCACCGACAAAGCAAATAAATACTAAAATTTGCATGCCTGCAACATAAATCGTCGCAAAATATTAAACAAGTCAGCAGCAACAGTTGAAATCAATAAATTTATTGATACAATTTACACGGCTGAGTGGGCTGCCAGATAGCCTGGCCACATGCAACACGGTCGCATGCAACACAACACATGCGCTAATTAAGGGGGTCCCCAAGCTGCTGGCGGGGGAGTGCTATTGGCCAATGCTGCACTTGAGATGCCGAGATGATGGCCTTGCACAAGTGGCCACAGAAACAAGTTAACGAGCCCGGCCAAATGACCAACTGACAGGAGGAAACTCAATTGGTGATTTAAGGGGGCCGAAAGGAGGAAAACAAATTACTTTGGGGGAATTAACTGAGGAACATTTTACTGATCTTTACTTTTCATTGATTTATTTGCAAATAAAATTTCGAAATAAATGTAATGGCAGTCGATTAATTAAAAAGTATTTTACTTGCTCTGATTTATTACCAATTTAAAAGGTTTATTAGTTTTGTTTCTACAGTTTAGAGCGAATTATCAAAAACCTTCCAAGGAAAAAAGAAAGTGAAATAATTAGCAAAACATTTACAATTCTGTAACTATAGATATTTTCAAGAGTGCGCATAGATATTTGCATGTTTCAGCATTCTAGGTTGTGAAAGTCATGTGTCAAGTTCGTTGACAGAGTCTCTTGATTTGCCATACGTTTTTTGTTCGCGACTTTGGCAACATTGCGCCTTAATTGACACCTTCAACATGTTGAGGGAAAGGGGACAAAGGCAGGCTCTGTGGCCAAAAGACAGCATAATCTTTCCGTTGCCTTTGTTATTTTCTATGATTTTTATTTCTTTTTCTATTTTATCGAGCTGACGAACTTTGTATGCATGTCTGTCGGCTCACTCTCATCTGCCCCTCAACTACGCACACGCCCAGCAGCAACAGCAACGTCAATTGACAGCCAGTCATGTCATGACTATTGCCAATTGTTTTTGCTGCCGAAAGCTTTTAACATATTTTACAATTTGTTGGCCGCAAGTAGAAATTTATTTGGCCAAAAGATTTTCGGTTTTTATGCAACAGGTGAAGGTGAAAAGCGAAAGCTGATGTGCCAGCTATTCTATGCTAAGAAACTAAAAAATAATAGGAAATGATTGTGGATAAACCCAAATCAATAACTTGGAAGAATTATCAAATGTTATGTGCGAAATCTTAACTTAAGATTTATATTCTGTAAAGAAATCAAAGAAAAAAACAAAACAAATAAGAATTCTATACAAGCAGCGGCAACATGTTGCAGGTAGTGAAAAGTGAGTCTGGCTTTGGACAACGACAACGGCAACGGCAACAACCATCGCTAAACAGGCAGCAACAAAAGCGAAAAGACGACAACTTTGGTGACGAAGCCAACTGAGACTGCGACGTGACTGCGGCTGCGCGACGTGTGTGTTTATGGATTGGCTTTGGCCAAAAGCGTTGGTCAAAAGCGTTGCGACGGCAGCAACACCACGAAGACAAGTGCAGGCTTTGCTTTTTAGCTGGTTCGTTGTACCTGAAAATCTCAGTTGTAGTCGCTGCCAGCGTCGACGACGCTGCCACTTTTAACAGTTTCGAATTTGAGTTTTGGCCAAGACCACGCGAAATCAGTTAACAAACGGACGCGTTTTGAAACGGATGCACCGTTGGTTAGATGCACTGGCGAACCAAAGAAAACCTGAAGCTCCTCCGTAAAGATCCCAGGTTTTGTCCCAAAAACCCGAGGCCGTGCGAATGTCTGTCGGCTTCGAAGGCAGAAGCTCGAAGAGCTGCTATCTTCATCGGTCGCGCTGGTCGTTTAAAAGTGAAATTTAGTGAATGAAATGAAATGTCTTCTGGCCAGCCCCGCTGTCTGGCCGAGTGGCTTTGTATTTGATTATTGATTTGTGACAATTGTCGGCAAGGAAATGACTGAAAATTAGTTGCAAGAAGGGATTAAAAACAAATATTTAGTTTATAAAAGGAACTACTTGCGGATTAGTGGAAATATTTGTTCCTGTTCTAGTGACATTGAATGGTAAGACGATAAGCCGGAAAAATGAGGTGATGTAAGATCCTGCTTAGATTGTGTAAGCTTGTGAAAGTGAAAGAATAAATCGCAAAGATAAGTTTAACGATTAAATGAAGAAGTTTACCGATCGTTACTACTAGTTATTGTAAAAGGATTTAATATTTCTGTGATCTTTAAAAGCTACAATTTGTCAAAATAATAGTAAGGACTTAAATGAAATTACCAAAAGTTTTTTTAAATCAAGCTATTAATGTATAATTTAGCCTCATATCTGTCTGTCGGAAAAGTTAAACGTCTTGTAAACCTACGTGTGATCAAAGCAAATCATCATCAGTATTTATTGCTATTTGTGTTAATTTCACTTTGACAAAAACGTGTGTGATCAGAGAGGATAATAAAGTAGATGTGAATATAAAAAAACATGAAATAATAATAGGGATTTGTTTATAAAACAAAGAATAACTAAAGTAACATTTCACTTGCAAGCACTTGGTCACAATCGATTGTCCATGACCGTTTTCACGCATTTTCCATCAATCAACTCTCGGTTTTCAATGGTATAATCCATGACTGCGGATGCAGCACATAAATTCCACCTTTCTTCGCCAGCGAAATCGAATGTTTTGTCTCTTTTACGAACTTGCAACTTTGCTGAAAGAATTAAGACGCTGAATGGATTTAAAGCCGGCGCTAATGCCGACGAAAAGTAGACAAACAAAACTGACATCACTCATACGCCGTGTGTACAGAATAAAAGAGACCATTGAAGGCAAGGAGAGAGAGAAAGGGCATAGCCACATGATTTTCCAGGCACTCCAGGTGCATTTATCTTTCACTTAAAGTGAAGATGACATTCTTTAAATGAAATTAACTGCCGGCAACAAAAAGCTGAAGCTGCACTTGCAATTGCAACTGCAACTTGGGCTGCTGTTGTGGTGATGCATCTGTTGATGTTGCTGAGGTTGCTGCTAATGTTGCTGCTGTGGCAGTTGCTTCTGTTGGCAGCTGCTTTGGCTGCAATTAGTATTTGTCTTTGGCTAATACGCTGCCATGTTGGTATGCATCTCTGAGCGCCAGTTTCTTGTTGCTTGTGTTGCTGCTGCTGTTGCTGCAGGTTGCAGGTTGCTGATGCTGTTGCTACTGCTGCTCTTGGCATAAAAAGTGTCGCGCACTTGAATGTATATTTGGTCTCTGCTTCGGTTGTTTGTCTATTTATTGGTCTGTTTGCTTGCTCATCGACTTTTTATAGGTGCCTTTTTTTAAAACGAAAACATTGGCTTAGCTGTCCGCTTAACAGCTGTCGCTTTGAGTGCATCTCTCACTCCATCTCCATGTCCATGTCCCAGTGTTTGTTTTCAATTCCAATGCCTCACAGCTCCAGTGGAGCCTTTTGGGCTTTGATGTTGTGGGCAGCGTTTGAGTGACTGAGTGCTGGCTTTTAAGATCGAAAGTGCTTGGAATGCGTTTTCGATAGAGGTCCATCCATTTTGATGCGTTCATATAGTTTTGACACGGCGTGGGCTGCTATCAAAGGGGTCGAAGTCCTGTGTATGAAAGTCTGGAAAGTCGTTGGGTAAATCGGCCTAGTTTTATTGCAGCAGTTTTAAAGACTTAGCGCCTAAAAGGATTTGATAATATATCCATAAACTTGCTAAATCTAAATGCTTGATACACACGCTTGGCACTTTATGAGGCAACTTTTAAGTTGTAGTTGTTAAGAAACCTATAAAAATAAAAGGCAACTTACATTTTTATAAAGTCTTAAAAGTTGATAGTCTTCAGTAGTTTCAAAGTTAGGAGTATTACTTAACAAGCTAAACTATAAATTATACCGATCATTTTATAAACTGTCTTCAATCTGATATGCAGATATTAGGTTTAACACTCACTTAGCGACCAGCACACATTTCTCTTGTCATGTAAAGCCAATAAAATTAAATAACACTGAAATTATGCGTAATTAAACGCATTATGCAAATGCGATGTAAGATAATAAAGACAATTAAATAACTTACACTCGAAACGAGAGCGTCAGAAACAAGTTAGGCCTACAGCATAAAAGTGCAATAATTCCAATGGAGGAAACCGTCGGTCGGTGGAAAATTAAGGGGAAATTGTATCCATCATTAGAGGCAATACTTGGAAAATATTTATTTGAAAAATTTTTGTTTTTTGGCCGGACCAAATTATATTCAATTGCATTGACCATCATCACCCCGCCCACTTTTTCTTGGCCATCGGCAAATTTTATTTGATTTTAATTGCTGCCATAGCAAGATGTTTGCCATTTAATGGCTTTATTTATGCGTGTAGTAATCAAGTTAATTTTTACGATTGCCGCCGAGCGCGTTGCAGCATATAACAACAATAACAACAACAACAACCACAACGACCGTAACAGCACGCCGGCAACAACAAGAAACCCGTAGAGCTGCTGTGAAATAAATGCAAATTTTCTTTTATGATCAAAAAGCACAAGTTTCACTTTCGATGGGAACGAATCCGCGCCGGCTTGCCGGCCAGCCCAAAACGAAATATTCGAAAAAAAAATTAAAAGAGACAAAGATGACATGCAATTGAGGAGGGAGATGATGATAAGAAGCCCTTAGGACATATCTTCGAGAGGAAATGCAAAAGAAAGAAAGCCAAAAGGAGAAAAGCCACCGCCCACCCAGGAGATCGCAGGTCTCCAGTGTCCAGTATTCAGTTCCCAGTCTCCTGTCTCCGGGGAGTTTTCTGGTCAGTCACGTTGGCTGCCTGTTGCCCTCTGCCGCATAATGCCATAAATTATGAATTAATCGTATCAATCTCTTCGATGCGGCAAGTTGTCGCTGACCAAAAGATGCGCCTTTTATCGTACCGAAGCTTTGTTAAACGCATAAATGGTGGGAGTGAAGGCTGACTGGCATTGGGATTATTGGAAGATAATATTATGACCCTTATGTTGAAAATTTTGTTGCTGATTTTTAGAATTAAACTTGGTTTTAACTTTTAAAAATTTAGAACCTTTTGATATATTTATATTCTGTAAATTTGTCTTGGCTTATACAAGCGGTTTTTTTTTAAAATATTCCCCATTCGAAAACAAGTTTGTGTCCTAAGTCTTTCGTTTCCGTACATTTTCCCTCTTCAGCGGTTCCAAGTTTTTTAATGAAAGTCGTTTCTATCTGATCGTTTCATATATCCTGCATATTATATTATACCCTTAAAACGCCTCGTTAAAATCCGATTTGTTAAATCAATTTACAATTTAATACGTTTTCATTAATAAACCTGCCTAAGTGAAAGGTTAATTTTCTTTACTCTTTTTATTTTATATTAAACGGACATTCCGTTTTATGATCACAACTAAATGACTACCTGAATTTGATAGCAGCTCAAAAATTAACTGGCCAACAATCTGGATAACAACCTGTTAAGTGAGTCGAATGCAACAACCGCCAAAAACTTCCTCATTCACGTCCGTTATCCAATAGAGTTAAGAATCAATTGCGGTGGCTGAAATTGCACAGATCAAGTTCGGCGGACACAATCGATGTTGGCTATTAAATCATCAGCGAGTCATAACCGAAACTGAACAATTTAACAAAATTCCAGATAAGACGGGCAAAAAGACAAACAAACCACGAGAGAGAGAGACAGACCGATCAACGAACCGAACCGAACCAGCCACACGATGATTAGTGAACGCCACAAGAGCCGCGATTTGGTTACGATACTTGGCCTGGTCCACCTCCTGCTCCTCGGACTAGCCTCTGGTCATGTGGTCGAGGTCTTGGCTCAATCAACAACCGCATCCACATCGCAGACGCAGACTTTGGAGACGAAGACGAATGGCAGTCAGGATGAGGCTGGTCTGACACCCGGTGCGACAACAGGTGAGCGAACAACAACCGCAGCGAAATGAAAAATATGAAAGATTTGCACTTTGATTTTGTTTCGCCAACATAATTGGGTGCCTGGATGCCTGGGTGCGGAGAGTGGGCACTATTTTAATGGCCAGCATTAGGAGATCAAACAATTTTGAACGCAATCATGCGAGGCATTTTAATGCGAATGAAAGTGAAAATCGTCTGGCAACATTGTTTCGTGGTCACAGGCAATTATGCAAGGATAAATGGGATACAGATGCATGTGCTCGATTGGGTGGGATTGGAGTGGCTCCGGGTAAGGTGAGCCACCCCGGTGTAGGCAGAGCAGCGCCCACCCATTTGGATATTGTTATGGAAGGGCAAGTAGACAGATTAAATACCCTTGCATGGTATTTGGTAGTTAGTCCTATTAAACCAAATTTATTTTAACAAATTTTTTTTTAATGATTTAGCTTAGGTTAACTACGTTAATATACAGTAGTAGTGTATATAGTAGCTTTTAAATATTTAGTTAAATTTATAATATAAACTCCTCCCTTACTTGCAAATCGATGGCCTTTTTAGTAAGTGTATTAAACGGCAATTGCTAGAAGGAGATCAAGATGCATGAGTGGCCATTTCCGCTTGTGCCAAGTGCATGTCCTCACGTCTAAGAGCTGGGAGCTTATAGCTCCGCATGCCTTTACAACCGCTCAAATGGAAAGCGATTTGTCTGGTTTTAGCTAATAATTTATCAGGCCTCCGCATTCGCAGTCGTCGCCTTCGCCTTCGCCGCCTCTGCCAGTCGGTTGATCAGTCAATCAAGCAAAGCCAAGCCAAGAAAAGCCAAAACCAAGTCGACCCAATGCGACTTTGTGTCTGGCTGACTGTCTGTCTGTTTGCCGTGTTGATTGCCTTGGTCGTGGCCCCCACTGATCAACGCCCGTTGACGGAGAAGCCACCAAGTGTTGGCTGCCAGGTGGGCGTTAGGAATCACAGTGTTTGGCGGCTTGGCCTCTGACTTTGGCTTAATTAGGAGCCTCATGGCGGGGAGCTAAACGACTCAACGAATCCCGGCAAGAGGCTCTGACTTGGGGTTCAATCGAGTGGAGCTCCAATCTCGCTCTCTGTCCGCAGGCATTAAAATCAATTTATGCAAAAAATGCTCAAAAGCGATTGAAGTTGGATAGACGCGAGAGGAGTTCGATAAGATCTTCATTGTAACTGTTTTATATTTTCTTAGGTTTTTTTACAAATTACGTAAGGGAAGAAATTTTTAAACTATTTTTAATACGAGCCTTGATTGCTGAGCAAATTGAGCAAATCAAATAAAAATTCTATAACTTCCCTCGCTTTGAGCAACCAGGATGCCGCTTTGGCCAAGTGACGGGACAAAAACATTTGTTAACACTTTAACGAGTTATGATTTGGCCCGACTCTGGCTGTGGCCAAGCCACATAGCTCCTAGCTCCTCGCTGAATCTCCAGCTTAGATGCCTCACGGCCATTTGGGGGGCAATTAAAGTTGCACATGTAAAAGTAAATTGATACGGTACTCAATCATCTTCCCCGGCGTCTTGTCTTCCACAGCTCCCCGGCTGGATCCGAACAACAACAACGAGTGGCGTCCCCTTGGGCACGGGGATCCCCTTCAAAAGGATCCCACCTACGACTACAGCCCACCGGCCTTGGATCGAGTTCGCTATTGGGCGGAGAATAACAGCACCGGTCAAAGTAATCCGGAGGCCAGGAAGAAAGAACTGCCACCAGAGGTCCTTCGCAACAAAACAAAGAGCGAGGTGTTGCTTCTTGGTGTGGCAAGTGAAAGGGTTAGAGTACCTCACTCCCATTCCTATCCACCATTTGGCTTAAGCCATAACCAGCAGCAACAGCAACAGGCTAAATATGCAGCTATCCGGAGGAGCTACTACGCTCCCACCCAACAGCAGCAACACAACCTACAAATGCCACAACCAGCTCAGCATATGCCACTGCATATGCATGGCCAGCAGCACATGCCCCATACCCATTTGATGCCACCTCCCATGATGATGATGAAGTCAAGTGCTTCTTCTGCTCCCCATTTGGAATACAGACACAGTATCATGGCCACCGGAGCACCCACCTCTTATATGAGCCTCAACCACATGAGTTCGCCGGCGCCCAAACAGACAATGACTTCTTCTGTGATTTACCATCAGCCACCGATGGGTCACCACAGCTCGTACTCATCATCAACTCCATGGATGACCAGTATGCCACCACATCGGATAAGTTACGCGGACCCACATCACCAGGAGACCATGCACACCTACAGCTTCTCGAGGCCCCATCCCCAGCAATCGATGAGCTACTCGCCCAACTCCCTACCAGGACATCAAAGTGGATCGAAGAATGGGATAAGGAAGCCTTGGCTACATGAGTTGCTCCAAAAGGAGGTGGTGGTGACATCGAAACCCAAGGTTAAACCCACAATGCCAGCCACTAAGTATCTGATGGGTACGAGCAAACCACATCATCCACTCCCACCTGTTGGTTTTGGCTTGAGTTCCACCCGCCCACCGTTTACCTACGCACCAGTGACCTTTGTGCCTGGTCCACCCACCATAGCAGTGCCCACTGTGGCCACCAGGCCAGAGCCACAGCCTGAGATTTACATCACACCGACTCCTCAAACGAGCAGCTCTGGCTTTAGACCAATGTTAGTGACCAGCACAACCACCGTGGGAACCACTCCTTCGACCACACCGACAACTTTGCCCATTTATCAGCGAACCAGCACAACAGCCAGTAATCGTTTGCTGATCCCCCAGACAAGCAATGTGGCGCAGAGACCCACAGTGGCTCCTGCTCCGAGTGAAGCCACCACCGACTCTCTTTTCTCCCACTACAAGCAACCACCAAAGCCCCTACTAGGACCCATGTACCTCATCATCGAGGGTCACTCGAAGGTTAAGACCTATGGCCAAAACGAATTGGATCCACACAGTCCAAAGATAGTGCCGGTTATCTCCAAAAGGGAGCCTGTGGTTAGGATAGCAGATCCGAATCAGAAGAGAGGGACGGTGGAGTCCTACCAGGTCAAGCATTTGCACACCAAAACCACGCCCATGACAACGACGACTACGACTAGTAAACCCACTACCATGAAGCCCTCAACCACAAGAGCTCCTCAAAAAGCTCCAGTTTACAGCACTACTAAGGCTCCGGTTAGCAGTACCACTAAGTCTACTGTAACCACTACCGCCATCACTACCACCGTCACCACGACAAAAACCCCAAAAACCAGTGCGGCCAGTACAACCAAAGTGCCCATTAGCAGTACCACCCCCTTAGTTCCACCTCGACCAAATCCTGAACCTCCAAGTGGTGTTAATGATTTGCTGAGTCTACTGGACAATATGTTTGCCGATGCCCATGAGATCGCCTCCACAAGGTCACCTCCAGTAGCCACTTCCACCGCTAGCACCGTGCTAAAGCCAGTTAGTACCAAGTTGTTGCCCCAGCAACCGGAACCAAGGATTTCCAGTAAAGCAGGGAGCATAGAGAGTCTTCTCGAAGATGACACCCATGAAGATGATAAAGCTGGCGAAGATCTAAGGTCACCGATTTCCACTGAGACACCACCTCGAGCAACGCGTCAGGTCTTTGACTATGATCAATTACCAGAGTCACGGCTTAAAGACGGGGTCACCACCAGCGATATTATAGAATACAATGATGATGATGATGATGAGGAGCTGGAGGAAGACGATGAAACGGCCACCGATGGTCAACTGGAAAATGAAGAAGATGATCAGGAGGGAGATGAGTCCCACAATCTACTCAAACGAATCGATCAATTTGTGGATGATGTAGACGATGGCGATGACGATTTGGAGGATCTAATCGAGGGTCTAGACGAGGACGAGATCGATGAGAGGCGACAGCAGCATTAGCCCAAGATAAGCATTTTTCTTAAACTGCGCTCTATACCAAATCTATCAGAAACTTTTTCTCACGCCTAATACGTTCTTGTACATAAGTCAGCTTTAATTGAATCTGTATTTACTTGTTGTTAGTTGTTAGGTCCTGCTGACGTCACAATGTGACTGCGTTCTATACCCAATATAATTCGAGCAAAGAGTTTTCGTTGTGTAATTAAGCATTAAATTATTGAAATTTTTCTTACGTTTTTTAGTGTGTAAGTTAATTTAAATAATAACTTTGCATAATATAATAAAAATTCGATAATTGAAAAATATTTATGAATATCAAAATCATTTCTTTTTCGATCAGCTGAGAGCGCCACCTAGTGTTCGGGAAACTGATTTCTACATTGGTAAGCTATAATGGTTTTTACAATGTAGAAATATAATACAAAAACACATTTTTAAATTTATTTAATATTAATAAGCAAAGGTAAGTGAATAAGTGTTTGATAATTAATGAATTAATGTTAATAATGTTGATTTTAATAATTATTATTCTCGCCAAATCTTCTACAACCCGAGGGCACAAATTCAAACATTCCGCCAAATTTACTTTCCAGTAAATAGCGATCGTTCACTGCTCGATACCGATAACACAAGATAATGTGTCTGACAGTGTTGGCATAATATCAACAAGTCAAAAATGATTAATTAAAAGAACACATATAGGTAATACGCTTGCTAGCACTAGTACAAAAATTAAATATTATGTATTTTGCATAAATTGTTGAGCCAAACTCCGATTTTCCCTACCAAGGCAGCTATTTCCACTAATATTCCGGCATCACTGATGTTCGACCTATCGCTTTGCTTTGTTTATTTCCAATTGGATTTTCCAAGCGCCAGTTGAGAACTCGCTGTCGAGGTGTGCGGTTTACGGTAAAAAGAGACCGCTTCCAGTGCGTGACAATAAGAAGAAACAACCACTCGCCAATTGGATTAAATTGTGAGCAAGGTGTGCTAAACTGAGTAACAAAATAATATTTTATTAAACCAAAACAACAAAAACTTCAAAACTTCAAGTTCAAAACGAACTCAAGTGCTAAAAAGTTCAAGTGAGAGTTTTTTGTGTGTTTTTGTTTACCATAAACGATCATCGTTCTCTCTCTTACTTTCGCTTTTGTTTGAAGTTAATAAAGGCGGAGTAATGAACTTGAATAAGAATAAGAAGAAGATTCGCGAATGCAGATGTTGAAAACGAAAATGTGTTTAGTCAAAAGAAACAAGTGAACAAACACGTGCAGAGTGGTTTGCTGACTCAAAACCCATTATGTTGGCTTAATTTTTATGATAACAGCAGCCAAGTTGATAAACAAAAACTAACAACAAATCCTATGTAGTATATAAAAGTATGGAGTACCTATTTTTATGCATACTTTATAGCTGTCATAAATTAGTGAAACTATCTCCGTCTTCCCTTGAATTGAATGAGCAGTGATAATGCCTATATAGCTAAATGTGAAAATTTCTGTGCATATATTTGCCCAATGGCTATATAACCTTGATCCGGGCATTGCGTCGCGGTACGAAACAAAATACATTTCCAAAATGTGGCATCGTTGCCATCAAACAGAAAAAGCCAAACAGTAAAAACCAAACAAACTTCTATGCCAAAAAACCGGTTCACACTGAAAACCCAAACAGAGAGTACTTCTGATCAGAGATAAAACGAAACCAAGTGCAGAGAAAGAGAGTGTGTGTCTCTGGTTGGAAAAACAAATTCCATTCCAATTAGAAATTATCAGTCGCACGGCAAATGTCAGACTCTGGCTGATAAGAAGATTGTTTGTTTCCTTCTGATTAGAGAGCAGCCGGCGAATTTTCGTGTCTTTTTCCTCTCGATATTTGTGCTACTACAGTGAAAATTCCCTATGGCGTACTTTTTTAAATAAAAAACTGAAAATATTAAATGAAATGCGTGGTTTTTCTCTTTTATTGTTAAAAGCTCGGAAAAGGTTTTAAATAAATATTTCTATAAATATTTATCGTTTCCAGAGTGACTTCAATTCTCGCAATTCTCCGCTAATTCAAGTTATAAATAGTTGACTGTAGTTCGTCAGCATCCGTTTTACATTGTAAGGAGCAATGAAATTGTGATTAGGGTGGCCCAGCCAGACATGTCTGCCCTGGCAACATGATAACGCTGGGCTTATGCAATCTCCACCATTTATGAGCCGGACCATTGATAACCTTTATCAATCGCCGTTCGATCGGGAGAAGCTCAGTACTCAAGTTGATGGATTCACTTGAATTACTGACCTACTTTTATCGCTGCTATGAGAAGTTCTTCCTTATATGGCGGCAACCGGTTCTGGAAGTAATTATCCATACAAGTAGCCTACAACTTAAGTGTCTGGAATATTTCCAAGATGTTAAGGTCGCCCTAGGCGTTTATGTACTTATGTACTCGTTTATAACCTTATTACACCATTAAATAAAATAAACAGTGGACACTGGGTTGACGAACCTAATATCTGTTCAGGCCCGATAAGTGCTGTAATTACCAATGCACCACCCCCACCTTAAACTGTTTAAATATAAACCGAAAGTTCAACAAACTAATCGTCAAACCGCAGAAGCATTTCAATTCAGGTTCGGTTCTCTTTGCCACATGCGGGTTTTATATATGTTCACAACAGCAGCGGCCAAAATAATAGAATTATAAAATTCTGAAAAGAATTCTCAAACACTTAGGATAACAGATAAATAGGTTACATATTTTTTAAAACTATTTTGCTAGTATGTATCGTATTTGGTGCTTGCATCACGTTTTTTTTGGAAAATATCTTACAAATGTATTTAATTTTTTTTTTTTTCTTTGTGACTTACGTCTTATTTACCCTTCATTGTGTGGTTTCTCACACGGATCTGTAATATATATAGGTATATGCATGAAATGCAGTATCTCTTGGAGTGCTTGCATATACAATCTGGTACTACCCTGGTCCTCAAAGCCTGACAATTACTCATCATTCTGTTGATGAGCCATGACGAGCTTCGACTTCGAGTTCCGAATGACGTTTCGTCACGGTGACTCGACTTAAATAATTCTGCATTTCACATGTATTTCTTAAACTTCAGTTCAAAGCACTAAGAAGTAAGTTGGAATTTATAAAATTCCAAAGTTCTCACTTTTCTATAATATTAAGTATTGCATTCCTGTCACTAGTATTTTTATAAATGACATTGAAACGCAATTTACGCTCACTTTAAATTGATTTTTATGCGCATATGCGATAAGCAGCGATAGTAAACGAACTTTGATGCCAAATTAACAAGGTATCAAATAAACTAGTCAAATAAAACAATTAACTCAGGCAACAACTTGCCTCCATAAAGTGACCTAGGTGTAGTTACTCAAGAATTCATTTTCAACAGATAACCCTCTAGTTTCGTCATAGAAGTTTTTGCATATATAAAATCTAATCTATAAATATTTAATAATTGCTGAGACAACAATTTCCTAATCGTATCTTGCCACCAGTTGTTTGACACAAACAAGTTACGTGACTCAAATCTCAATCGAGAATCTTAAATATATTAAAAAAAAAGAACTTTAAGATATAGTGATAGTAAAGTATATTGCAGGGTAAGAGAAAGTCAATTAAGGGTTGGGTGGGGTCTCTTAAGGTTTAATGACAATGCTAAAGCCCTACCATTTGGTGATCATCCAGTTGACATGCGATCTCTTGACTAAAGTAGCTAATGTCAAGTACGATCATAGCAGCTTTACAATTGGTTTTACACGATTTCAGTGAGAAACTGTTGGCTTATAAACCAGACAGCCTAACCACATTATCATTGTCGGGTTCAATGTCTATGCAAATCGGTATCTGATTACTTAATCAGCAATCGCATACGCAGATGAACTTTGACCGCATTAACTGCGAAATCGCGAAATCTGGACCCAATTATTCGCTAATACAATAAGCTCTACAAAACAGTATTTATATTTCCGACTTTTTTACGATTCGCTTCGATAAACAATGAACCGTTTTCATTAATATAAACCAAGAAGTTGTATTTGATAAATACACCATATTACTTAATTACCCTCATTAGTTCTTATCAGAGTTGTGAATTTATTCAATGGATTACCAGCTCCAGTAAAACCATTACTGTTTATCTCTGCTAACCTCATCCAGTTCCAATCTGAATTATTTCTGTGTCAAAACAAAACTACTTGAACTTTTTATAGGCGATACCAAAACAAATCTTATCTTTCAATTGCAAAAAGAATTTTTGATAAGCAAAAGCTAATCATCATAAATTGAAATTTTTATAGGGAGGGTCAAGTTCTGTTATACCCATAATGACCACCAATAAGGACCCCCAAGATAAGGGTGCTGAAAAAGCAGAACCGTCCAAAAATGGCGGTTCCGGTGGTGTGGGCATCATGAAGCGTCTGAGAAGATCAGCTTCGGCCACAGAACACAATTTAAGCAGCCTGCGTAACCGCAAGTCAACCCAAAATCTGTTCGATCAGCATGGCAATCCCATTGATCTTCGACAGTATCGGAAAGTTTTGGACAAGGATGAAAATGGCAATGGCACGAATGGATCTGAAAAGAAGCTGAGATATAGAAGAACCCAAAGTGTAACTCGCGCTGAGGAAATTTCCAACAAAGAGGAGAAACAGAGGAGGGCTCAACCCGGCAGACCGTGAGTAAAGGAAATTGAAATTTTTTAAACAGCAAAATTGAGGTTTTAAGTCTTTCAGAATCCATCGACCACGAGATTCTCTAGTTTTCTTGGAGTTCGGGATTTACTAACTTTACAGGTCTGGTAAACTGGGGATTTCTACTCCTTTGCATTGGAGGTCTTCGTTTAGGTTTGGAGAATCTGCTAAAGTAAGGCTAATTATGGAAAATTAATTTTAAGGAATGATTTAATATATGTTTCGGTACTTCTTAGATATGGAATTCGCATCAATCCCCTAGACTGGTTCTTTTTTATTAGTGGTCACAATGAAGGAGAAGGTCACAATGCCCTAATTCTGAGTATTTGTAAGTCTCATAATTTTAAAGTTAGTCCAGCCCACACTCATAGCCATTTTTATCCTTCCCAGACTCTTTGGTTCACATTTCCCTGTGTTTGGCTGTGGAAAAGGGCCTTGCCATGGTAAGTACTCACTTTGATAGCATCTTACGCCAAATTTTTTCGGTCGCGACTTGAAATACGAGATTATCTTGAACATGGCTTATATTTGTATATGCTAAATTTTAAAATATCGTGTTATTGCTAAAATAACAATTTTGTAAGTTAATGTGAAAGTTCTTGACAAAAATCGATTGGTTACTTGGAAGTATTCCGTATCAAAAGCCAAAACCAACCAAATTTTAAAAACATAACTATTTATTGTTTACACAACTTATTCATAGGTACATACAAAAGATAGATACAATTTTTCAATGACAATAAACTGGGCATGCGATGATTGATAGAATGCGTATATAAAGATAAGTGTTGTGAATGTATGGCGAGGTTTGATTGCGATATAAGAGCTCCAAGTAATTTGTTTCCTTTAGGCAATGCGTACACCAGCTTGATCACAATATTTCTGCAGCACTTGCTTGTATTCCGGCTCCAAAGGCGAAAGCAACGTGGGCAACTCTCCTGTCCTCGACTGACCGAACTTGGAGAGCGAGGTGGCCAAAAACTGGCGAGCATCAGATATCTCGGCCAGATGATCTTGCTGGTTGGGTTGAGCATGAGTGAGCTGAGCGAAAGCCACTTGATAGCCAGCATCGGGATCCTCAGCTACTCCTGCTGCCTCTCCTATTTCGAGCCCCTTCAGTTTCTCAGGTGGTCGCTCGAAAAGATCGATTAGAGAGTGCAGCAGACGTGGCCAGAAAGCACCATACTGTTGCTGCAACATTTCGGGCGTTTCGGTGAGGAGTTTAGTGACACCTACAGCAACCATTTTTCGGTCCTGTTCCTTCGGAACCTTGCCCATTTCAGGGATAAGCACGCGATCCAGCAACATACCAAACATACCTGGCTGTATTTCATCTATCAATTGAGCCAGCTGACCGCCACTATACTTGATCACATAGAAGCTGAAGAACACTATGATCCCGCTTATATACTTGGGCGTTTTCGAGAGAGACAATCGCTGGAAAAGCAATCCAAAGATCTGACGAAGATTGGGCTGTATTTCAGCGGCTGGGTAGTAGGAAAGAAGGTTCTTTAGAAGATAAAAGCCTTCATGATCGTTGGCCTTGGATGCAATCATCTTTTGGAAAATTCCGAGGATTCCACTCTGTAATTAAATTTGAGTCAGTTAATAGAATGAAGTCACTTTATAAGGTAGCTTACCAATTTTCCCAAAGCTTGAATCTGAGCTGAACCCTGCTTAATGAAAGCTGAGATAAGCCGAATCAATGGTGTGACATTGCCCGTTCGATCCCACAGAGCTGGAGATAACAAGCAGGGAAACAATGCCCAATATGGTTCCGGTATAGCACCAGAGCTTTCACGCACTTCCAGCAGCACGGAAAGCATCTGGAATACGTAGGGCATAAATTCGATAATATCCTGTTGCAAAATGCCTTGGAAAACAGGGAACAAGGCCTCCTCAAAGGAGCTCACAGCAGAAGCGTCTGCTTGACAAACAATCCTGGAAATAAATGATTTAGCAATAGGCCCTTTCAGCGAAATGCATTATACTCACTTGATAGACAGTGCCAGAGTTTCAAAAAGATAGTGATTAAAATGAGGACGCGAAGGATTCTTGGCCACTTGAGTTAGAATCTCGGTGAGCCGGGGAAGGGCAACTCCCATGAAGGGCATAGAAGCTGATTGTAAAACTGCGAAACTTCGCATAATAGCTAAAAGGGTTTAATTTATTTTATTAAAAAATAGCTTTGAAAAATTCGCCTAGAAAACTTACCCTTCATTACATACTCATTCTCTCCTGATCCTGGCAGTGAGAGAGTAGCAAACAATCCGCTGATGAGTTCAGTCGCATGAGGTCCCAGGACTTGAGGACCAAACACAACTGCATTACTGGCATCGCGCATGGTTAAGATCTTCTCTACGGAACAGGCAGCATAGCTATGAACCACAGGGCTTTCGGCGGGAAGATGTCTGATAAGGTGTGGCAGGCAGTTGGCCAGGACCTGCGGCCCCAAAATACTGCGAAACACCATTACATACTTAATAGCTGCTGCCTTAAGAACGGGTATTTCGTTGACTGCACAGTGAATTTAAAGAAAAATTGTGTTTAAATTGATGAATTCAAAAAAAAAATTATTTAAACATACTGTTGGGTCTCTCCAGCTCTGGAATAATCTGTTGCGCACAAAATTCCGGGAGTGGGACCAACTCCGAAGTCTGCGTGATTCCATGCTTTTGAGTTCCACCTCGAGACGCCCACGAAGTGACCAGATAAATTGCTGTATCCTTTGACCTCCAATTAACCGACGGATTCTCTTTGTATTTGGTCAACAATATTTCCAGATATTGGCCAAAGATGCCAAAGATCTTTTGCTCAAAGTTAACGGATAACGTCTTTACCAGATCACAAGCAGCACGACGTCGAGTATCAATGTCTGATCCTTCAATATCCCTCCGAATATACTCCTCTGGACTGTCCTCGAAAATTTCTTCATCAGATGGACGTATGTCCAAATTTGGAATGACTACTTTATCGCAGATCTGGGCAAGTATCTCTGGATTCTCAAAAATGGTCTGATAATGCTTTCGCTCGGCTACCACAGACAGGAATTGGAGGGCATGAGAAACCAACTAAGGGAGAAATTAGAAGTTTAGTTTTATTCGTTGATACTTAATGGCAACTATCCAAAGTTTATTACTCACCGCATCGTATTTGGTTTGCAGGCTGGTTTTGACCAGCAACTCCCAGACTGCCGTCACAAACTGTTCCATAAAAGGCTTGAACTCCTCATCGTATTTCTTTGCGTACAGGCAAATATTTTCGCAGACCTGTGTGCGCAGATGCTCCAGAACTCCCGCGTCCTCATCGTCCCCGGTTCGCAGTGACGGCACATCCACGGCCAATTGCTGGATAAATGCTCCCATCCAGGTGTTCATGTTATCCTCAAAGAACTCAGGCAAGTCCTGGGAGTTCAGCGAGAAAAACACCTTATTAACCAGCACCAGAGATCCGTAAATGACCTTCAGAGCCTCGGGATTATTCTCGTGCACCTTAGTCAGCTGCATTGTGGCCTGAAGCAAGTCTGTCAATGGCTTAGCCATTCGGTCCAGAACGAATTTTATCTCCTCCCATAGATCCTGTGACTTAAATTCATACCGATAGCGCTTGAAAAGCGAATGTGCGGTTTGCAACACGCCATTGATGACATTGAAATCTCCAGAGGCAAATCTTTCCACCATCTCGTCTATAAGTTGCGGCCATTTTTTCGGAAAATCATGTTTGCCAATAATACTGACCGCGTCGCTCAATTGCTTTTGCAACGCCACCGGAGAGTGGAGCATCAGCGTAACGATTAGCGTCTTGATTGTGTTTCTATCACTTTCATGGATGCGATCCGGCCCATCGCTGTCCAGGTGGGCTGCCCAATTTCGCTTCACATAGTTCTTAAATGCAATGGCGCCCGCCACCCGTGTGGTCATGTCCATTTGAGCTTTGTCTATCAGGTTAAGCAGTAGAATCGGGTAATTCTGCTGCAGTTCCGTGGACTCCAAAAGTTTTTCAGCTGTAAAATGAAGGCAGAATATAAAGAGTGTGTTAGAAATAATGCCTATTGGTTGTATTTTCAGCTATAATGGTAGACAATTATTTTTTACAGAAGTAATAAAAGGCCCTAGCCTAGACTATGTCCTAAAATTATCATTTGAAGATCAGCCAATCTCAGCTTTATTGATTAGGGGGCGATTTTATTTCACAACATTGCATAAGAATGGCAAACTTGTAGGATCTTCGAAAAGGTTTTAAAAACCGTATTTTCCTTAAGCGTCGCCAAAAATCTCTTCCCGCGCACGCACACAACAAAAATCCAGCACGCATGTGCAGCTGTGTGTGTGCCGTGTGCACACGCATTCCCATACACTTACCCGGCCGGCGGACATTTGGATCGGCGCTCAGAGTCTGCTGCAAATAACCGGCCAGCAACTGTAAATTCGCTTCAGTGACTTCCATTTTTCTATGCTTTTTCGGGGATCCTATTTGCTTCAAACAATATCAAAGATGTGGTCTCCTCCGCAATCTTGCAATATGAAATGAAATCGCAAATGGCTTTTTCGCACACAATGCTCGCAGATCTGAAGATGGAACTTAACCGGCTATCGTTATCGAGAATACTGGGAATTTGCTTAGAGATGAGTGTAATTTCTGTTACTTGTTATCGATATTTGCAAAATTTAAATATAAACATAGAAATTAAAAAATTCGTTAACCTTATTTAAAACATAAATTAAAAATAAAAGTAACCCACAATTTTATGACATTTTGCAGGAAATCATTGCAGAGAGCTTAGGCATCTTCATCCAGATAGTGAATATTGTTGTACTGGTTTGCCTGCCAGTGGTAACCATTCACCTCAAAGGGCACGCTTTCAGTTTAAGTAAGAAACCAATATATCTAAAAAAAAAAGCTTATTTTTTTTCCTTTACTTTTAAAGTGGGCGCCTCAACCGTGTGCTTCTTTTATTCTGTGTTATTCCTGAAACTCTGGTCCTATGTGCAGACGAATATGTGGTGCCGTCAGACTTACTACCAAAAGAATCCCCGAGAGCGCCGACCCAGCATAACGTTAGCAGAATTGAGTAAGCTAAGATATCTTAACCATTATTGTTAATTTAATATTTTCTTTATTTGATATATAGAAAATGGGGTTCTAGATGGCGGCGATGAAGACGAGGCTATTTCCAAGTTGGTGCAATATCCAGATAATCTTACTTATAGGGATCTCCTATACTTCTTGTGCGCTCCAACTCTCTGTTATGAGTTAAATTTCCCACGAACTTCGCGCGTGCGCAAACGCTTTTTACTAAAGCGTTTGTTGGAGGTTGTGATTGGAGTGAATGTGGTGATGGCTTTGTTTCAGCAATGGATTATTCCCTCGGTTCGAAACTCTCTAATTCCGTTCTCCAACATGGACGTAGCCTTGGCTACTGAGCGCCTCCTCAAACTGGCGGTTAGTAAATGGATACTTTTATAAATTACATTATTTAATTTAATTAAACTTGATTTTTACTTCTTAGTTACCTAATCACTTGTGCTGGCTGTGCTTTTTTTACCTGATGTTCCACTCTTTCCTAAATGCGGTCGGTGAACTCCTTAACTTTGCGGATCGCAACTTTTACTGTGATTGGTGGAATGCAAATAATATTGATACTTTCTGGAGGACCTGGAACATGCCAGTTCACAGATGGTGTGTGCGTCATCTCTACATCCCAGTGGTCCAAATGGGCTACTCCTCACGGCAAGCATCTACCATTGTCTTTCTGTTCAGTGCCTTCTTCCATGAATATTTGGTAAAAACAATAAATAATATATATATTTGTTTAAGTATTTGAAATAATTTTTATCTTACAGGTTTCTGTTCCTCTGCAAACCTACAAGATCTGGGCCTTTATGGGTATGATGGGCCAGATTCCCCTCTCGGCTATTTCGAAATCCATTGAGAAAAAGATGGGTCCCCGAATGGGCAACATAATCGTATGGGCATCCATAATTCTTGGTCAACCTCTGTGCATTATGGCATACTACCACGACTATGTGGTCCAGCATTTTAAGAACTCACTCAACGGCACCGACTATGGCAGTTAGATTTCAGAAACCACTCATAGGGGATGGTATACCACTGGAATATCTGCACTGGTCGGGTTCGTGTACTTTTTGTAATTTATAAGCCAGAATGCAAGTTAAGAAGTAAACTTGTGATTGCCACTATACAAAGCTTATTTTGTATGACTTGCACATGCATATAGTACTGATGAACACAAATAGATTGTTATTGAATGCATTTGTTACTGAATTTAAGTGTCATGTAAATAAAACGAATTTAAAAATTATTATAAACATTTTGTTTGCATTATAAAATTTAACTCAACGATGAAAATAGAAAGGTAACTCAACGATAGTTCCATCCCTTTAGGGAAACCTATTTATTATGTTGCTAGACGGTCACACTTTATATCAGTAAAGTCAAAACAGCGACAACTTATTCATTAAATTCAAAAAAATCGGTTTTCGATTGTGAATTTACTTTAAGTGATTTTTCAAATAGATTTCGCTTCTCATATACGGCAAAAGTGTGGCCACGGAATCGATCTGGTTATTACGGTATGGCTTCGAATGATTCGCAACTTTTTTTTCGTCGGCGTTTTCGCGACGCCCGGCGTATACACATTCGCATTTTGAACAGTGTGTATGTGTGTATGTACCGCTGCCTGATTAGTCTGTGTCTGTGTGCGGGTAGCTCGTGCCTGCGTCTGAAAAAACATTTTTAATATCGGCCGTCGCATGAGGCAAAAGTTAGATGTGAAGGTAAAAACTTCTAAAAGAAAAAATGTTACTAATTTCCAGAACCATTTGGAGAAGTCATCACCGCCTCCTTCTACAACAACAACTGGTGTTCAGTGCATCTAGTGGTGGTTCAGTGGCGGAAAAGCACACTCTGCATCGGAGCACCCCGGTTTCGTTAGTTTCAGCGCACGCACCGGCTGATTGTGGTCACGTAAGTGCCTGTGATTCACGTCTTTACCATGAGAACTATCCGTGTTCGATCCTGAATCCGTTTCGCTTTACAGATCATGAGTGGCAGATATCGCGGTGGTGGTGGCGGTAGATTCGGTGGCCGTAGTGGCGGCGGCAACGGCTATGGAGATGGTGGTGGCTACAATGACTTTGACAACTATCGTGGTGGCGGTGGTGGAGGTGGTGGAGTAGGTCCCGGTTTTAATGACAACTTCGGACCAGGTCCTGGACCAAATCCCTTCAACAGTAAGTAGATCCATACATCTGTAAAAATCAGAATCTGTATTTAATCAGAATATCATATTTAATAAATAAATAAAGAAATTATGAAAATAGGCGACGAAAAATCTACAAACAGTTAAAATATATTCCCCAATTCATTTAACAGCCGACAACGCTAGGTGACGGACCAAAATATCCTAAATCAGAGTATAAAATCTTATGAAACTAACCAGCATGGAGAAATTTTTGTAAAAAGCTCCATTAAATAAAATAACCCTTTTTTCCAAATTCTTTTAAAATATAATTAATAAAATTTTAAATTAAAAGTGAATATGCACCTTAATCAAACTGCATTGTCAATAATTATTGTAAGCCGGCGCGTCTAGTCGTTTATTAAAATAATTCACCATGCAAAACTGTTTTGTTTTTTTTAGTGGGACCCCCAAACATTTCCGGAAATGAACTTATGCAGCTGATGAGTGCCATGGCCAGTAACTTCAACATGAACTCCCAACCACCACAGCCTATGCGACAGAGTTGCGGCGAATTGCGCAATCACCATTGTGGATTATTTGTCGAGATTTCCGGCAGACTGATCAAGAAGCGAGTGAATCGCTTCGCGGAACTTCGCGATCGTAATGGCGGGGCCTGTCAGCTTGTTGTATTGGAAGACAAACATCCGCGGGTAGCGCGACGCATGAACAACATGCCCGAGAACACCACACTGACAATTGTGGGATTGGTTATGCGTCGACCACATAATTCGTGCAATCAGACGATGCCGACAGGCGAAATTGAAGTAGAGGTGCAGGACATCCTTAATATTCATTTTCCGGCCAGCGGAACCAAGCGAGCTGGTGACAAGCGCACATACAGCACCATGGTGCAGCAGCAGAGTAATCTCGGTATAACCAGCACCGAGTACAAGATAGCAAGTAAGATGCAAAATATTTCAGATCTTTGTATTTTGTGTAAATGAATTGTTATTTACAGAGAACGAAAACATATTGAAGTACTTTGAGAACCGTGATATTACTTGTAACGATCTAAGGCGCGAAGATGTGGGCAAGACGGTGACCCTAGTGGGTTGGGTACCCTCTACCAAAAACAACAAATTTCTTCAGCTCAAGGATGGTTATGGCCAGACTCAACTCATGATTGAGGATCAGTCGGTGAGTAAAGAAACTCTTTAAACAGTTATTTTGTGTTGATTAGATCTGATTTAAACTTATATTATTCTATATTCAGCTTAGCGACACATTCTTGTCTACTCCAGAGCAGACTGTCATTCAAATAGTCGGCAAAGTTCTGGGCAGGCCTAAGGCAAACGTTAATTTGGTAAGTATTATAAAATTATATTAATAGATAGAAATTATCAAAAAAAAAAAAATACCTTTAAAGAAATACGATACTGGTGAAGTGGAGGTCAGTGTAACACAGGTGAAAATCTTGAACCCAGACGATCCCTACGATGGGCCCATTAAGGCCAAGGAGAAGCAGCAAAAGCTATCCATTGAAGATCTAGAAGCTGAGGAGGCTGCTGTTGAAGCCTCTGGTAATCTCAACAGCAATAACGGAGTGTCCAAGGAAGATGGAGCGGATGCAGGCCCTGTGACTGCCGAACAACGATTAAAAGTGGCGGATACCAATAAGTTCGCTGATCGCACACACAACTGCGGTGAACTCAGCTCCAATGATATCAACGAAAAGGTCACAATCTGCGGATGGTTGGAGTTCCAGCGTATGAACAAATTCTTTATTCTTCGGGATGCTTATGGACAAACTCAGGTTCTCTTATCGCCTAAAACACGGGGACTAGAGGAATATGCAGAAGCAGGAGTCCCCATTGAGTCAATTGTTCGAGTTGAGGGAACAGTAATACCTCGTCCTGCAGCCACCATAAACCCAAAAATGCAAACTGGACATGTTGAGGTAGAGGCCGACCTAGTAGTCGTGCTCAATCCGGCTAAGAAAAATCTTCCATTTGAGATACGGAAGTTTAATCGAGCTGGTGAACGCTTGAGGTTAACTCATCGCTATCTGGATTTGCGTTTTAACGATATGCAGCATAATCTTCGCCTCCGATCGGCTGTTATAATGAAAATGCGAGAGTATCTAATAAACTATTTGGGTTTCGTTGAGGTTGAGACACCGACTCTCTTCAGAAGGACTCCTGGAGGAGCCCAAGAATTTGTGGTACCCACGCGAAAAGCGGGACATTTTTATTCGCTCGTTCAGAGCCCACAGCAATTTAAGCAGATGCTGATGTCTGGCGGGGATAGACAGATACTTCCAGGTGGCTCGTTGCTACAGAGATGAAGCAACGCGTCCGGATCGTCAACCAGAGTTCACCCAGCTGGATGTCGAGCTGTCTTTTACCAGCAGGGATGATATTATGCAACTGATTGAGGAGACGCTCCGTTATTCGTGGCCTAAAGATTTTGCTCGTTTGCAAACCCCATTCCGTCGTATCACTTACGAGGAGGCAATGGAGAAGTACGGTAATGATAAGCCAGATACTCGTTTTGGTTTCTTGCTGAACAACGTCTCCGATATTGTTGAGAAGAGTGGGGATTTTAAAGAAAAATACGAGGATTTGGGCGCATATGCCATCGTGGTACGGGCCAGTGAGGCCTTTTGGAATGGAGCAGCCCGAAAACATTACGAAAGTTTGGGAAAGGAGTTTAAGGGCACTTTGTTCGTGCGCAAGTTCGGTCCTACGAAAGATGTGCAGGAGAAGCTGGGCAAGCTCCTGGGCGAGGAAGTGGCTAACGAGGTTGCGGAGAAGTTCGATCTTGAAGAGAACGACCTGTTTTTCTTGGGTATTGGACCAAAAGAGGAAACTGTAAGCAACTACAATTGTATATTAATTTTCTTGGTAAATTAATCATTGGTTTTATATTTTTATGATTACAGCGCGCTATGTTGGGTCGCATCCGACTGGACTACCATGAGTTTCTGGTAGAGAATGCTAAAGTAAAGAAGCCTAATGATTTCCGCTTCCTGTGGGTTGTCGACTTTCCGTTGTTTGAGCGTAATCGAGAGACCAACCAGTTAGAGAGCGTCCATCATCCATTTACTCTGCCACATAGCGATGATCTGGATAATTTCACCACCAGCTGCGAAAACCTAGAGAACATACGCTCCCAGGCGTATGATTTGGTGCTAAACGGTCAGGAAGTTGGTGGTGGTTCCATTCGCATCCATGATCGTGACATGCAGCACTTTATTCTAGAACAGATTCTTAAGATCCCACATGATCATTTATCGCACTTACTGAGTGCATTGGAGTCCGGCTGTCCGCCTCACGGCGGGATTGCTTTGGGCTTGGATCGCCTGATGGCCATCTTATGCCGTGCCAGATCAATACGCGATGTGATAGCGTTCCCCAAGTCACTTAATGGGCGTGATCCGTTGTCGAACGCTCCTGTTCCCATTTCTGAAGAGGAGATGAAGATGTACCACCTTTCGGTAGTAGAGGAGGAGGAAGCAAGCACAAGTAGTACTTCAAATGAACAAGAGGACGATGATCCCGATCAACAGCGTCCACCTCCATCTCCCATGTCGGCGACTAGTGATTCTGAACAGCCAGAAATGGATGTGGATATTAAAGTCGAACTCGTGGATAAGGAAGATGTAGAAGAAATTGAAAAAAAGGTAGTCAAACCGTCAACCAAAGCGGCAGTCAAAGCAGCTCCCGTCGCCGTAGTATCCCCACCATCCGTTAAGGTTGATCCTGGTACACCTAGGCCAAGGCGGGTCGTTAAAAGGAAGGTGTAGAGCTGGGGCTCATTAATATTACAATTAACGGATTAGCATTTTACATGTAAGCTCATAACTTGGGACAGGGGATGGCAGCTGGCATTCGACTAAGTCAGCAATACAGCAAACACAGTAGTCGGGTCGTATTAATTAAGAGGCAAAACCCCTCTATACATACAGATGTATACTTTACAAATCAATATATGTACCCACCACGGATATTCTCAATGGATTTCAATACCAGAATATATAACATAGGACAAACCAATTACACACTCACAAACCGACCCGGCTGCCGTCATTTATAATTATTTTGGCAACCATTTTATTACAATCTAAAAAATTATACAAGAGAGCTATAGTATTTGAAGTTGTTTATATAATTATACGATGCCAGAATTACAGTTTTTTTTACTGTATTTCCAAGTTTATATCTAGTTTTTAGCCATCGATTGCTTGCTGTCAACGAATATTAATTTATATAAATGTATGGATTAAAATGAAATGGTTCGAAATTAATATTCCAAAAACGATCATCTCAATGGATGTTGTCCGATATTAAACCGAAAAGGTTTGGCATAAGGGTGCACAGATATTAGTATTGTATAATTTTTAAATCACAAAGATTTATGTATTTTGCATTACTCTGATTGATTGTCTGCTTGTCATTTACTTCAACCTATACCTAATAAATCGCACAATAATAATCGCACTATCAATAATAGCAAAACTGCAGTTTTTCACCACTCTAGGTTTAGGCAACGATTTTGATAAAAAAAAAAAACGTAGTGTTGTTTTAAACGAATGTATTTGCTGACATCAGCTTGGGCGGCTTAAGATAGTAAGGAATGGGGGCAAGGAAGGGTATTTAATAGCTTAAACCATGGATTAGGGCTAATCCACTGTTGGCACAGAAAATATGTTATTCTCCATAAATCCATAAGTAAGATTCCTTCTATAATCCCACCAGCTTAGTGCAGGAGCTTGCGTGTCATGGCGATCATTTGGTTCGGCAAATTCAACGAGGTCTTGCTCCTCCACAGAGTTATCATCGTCATCGCTTTCCTTCTGCTCCGGACTGAAGCTCGTCCAGTGCTCATAAGGATCTTGTTCACTGGGATACATCTGTAAGTTGTTAAAGTTGGATGCTAGTTTACCAAACTGGTCGATGTGATGCAGGAGGGGATCTACACCCTGATTTGGAGGTGCCTTAAGTCTTTGCGGCGGAGCTCGCCAATTTGATTGCTTTGCTCCCAAAGTGGGCAAGTCCGTCCACTTCCCTAAAGCAAATGGTGAAGTATCATTGGTGTCTATCATAAACATTCCTCTTGTAGTCGGCCGTATATTATCTCCAGCCTCTAGCAGGAAGTTTGTTGGAGGACACATTCCCAGGAGGTATGATATGTATCCACTGCAGGCCCATCCCCAAAAGCCTTTAGGTGAGCGAATGGACTCCAGAAAGTAGGCGGGTGCCCGTTGATGACTGCAAGCAAAGGAATCTAAAAGTGGGAAACAATTCCTTGAACTTTTTTTTATGAAATAGCAATTTATTAACTCACTAATTTTCTGTCCATTACAGCCAGGTTGCATGATTCCTCCGTTCATGTAAAAATCCGCATGACCACATCTCTCCATTTTTCCTTGGACCAAGGCATTCGTGTGAATCACATCTACATAGCTGGCATCGCTAGGATCCAATTTATCCGCACTACCGGAGGTAATAAATAGAGGCATTGCTGGATCCAACCCCGTTATTCTGGGCAGCGTGAATGAGGTTAGATTTCGGGCTATATAGTTGGGCACTTGAGCTCCTAATGAGAAACCTATCACATGGATATCCATATTGCCCGTCTCCACCAATCTCTCAACTAGCTGTGCGGTACAGGTGCCAGCATGTTTGGTGTTATGGACGGCACTTATATAACAGGGACCTGGCGACAAGACGCTCCAATCAACATAGATTATATTATAATCCGCCTTGGCCAGGTACTCTAGAACATAAGGTATGGCTTTATATTTTATATATATAAAATAATCTTATTGATAATAAACTAGGGATGCATGCAACCTTACTAAAAACCAATAAAAATTTTTAGTCTGAACTGTATCACCCGGCTAAAACTTACCATCCCGCATTTGTTGCAGTGGATGCAGAAACATATCTGAGTTATAGCCATGGATAATGATCTTGGTGGGATATCGGGGATTGAAGTAGGAATCTGTCAGATTGGACTTCTCTAGGGACTCATCTATGTGGAGACACTGTCTATCCATCGGATTGTGCCGTGTATAGATATAATACTTAACATCCGGATCGGGGCAACTGCGACCTATGGCCCATTTACAAGGACCGATAGTGATGTCCCTATTAGTAGGTGGTGATGTTGGAGAGGGTGTGGGATTATTAGAAGCCTCTGTGGTGCTTTCAATATCTTCAATCGGTATGGGTTTTAGGTTAAGAAATCCCCTTCCAAGTGCCCCCTGGCTAAAACTTGCTAAAAAAATAACCAGGCCATTATTTAAACAGCTTAAAAATTATCAGATTTACCCACCTAGAAGCAGCCAACTAATAACACATTGCAAGTGCATAGCTTTTAGATCTATGATGACACGGTCCACTGTATATATCCACCTGCAGTTCCAATTGATTTAAAATAATAATTGAAAACAAATTTCGGTGCCAGGTTCATGAAGCGTTCGAGCTGAAATCGTTGGAGAAACTAAGAGCCGGCTGGCCGAGTCAATACGATTTTGGCCAAATTGTAATGAGATATGCAAATGAGTGAGTACTTTTGAAATGTGTGTGATCGAGTGTGGTTACAAAGTGAGAGTTGCGGGTGGAAAAGTGAAACCGAAATGAGAATTGAAGGTACAAAAAGTGTCATAGGAAAACTATTCCAGAAAGAGTCTATTGAATGCGCTGGAAAATGATTATTTTCTGATTTTATGAGTATTCGGATACACCAATCTAAATTTGTTTTCAAAACACTAGAAAGTCTCTTATAAGATTTAGAAAAATTTATGATTTGTTTATAATTTTCGGCGATTAACTTATAAATGCATTCTCATAACACTAACTCACTCAACAATATGCACTCATAGACAATATATACACTCACCTACGTGATTGCGGTTTCAATTAACAAACGTTTACTGAATGAAAACTTTTGTTGTTATCGCGGGCGATCTTAACTCACGTACAAAGGCGAATGCTCACTGCTTTTTTGCATTTATAGGAATCGGATCTTTCGAAGAATCTTTTACCATTATTGACTCACTCTCGTTTCGATGACCCACATAGATAACTTGGATGATGGGATGATTCCCGACCCGGGTCAATGAAAACAAACTTGATTAAGATTTGCAATTTCATTCAAGTGGGGAAAAGGAATATACAAACAATGTTTATCTTCACTAAGTGGAGCATTGTTTATGGCTATAATGTGGTTAAACCTGCGAATAACAAACACTTTAAATACGTGCAAGCATGTTTGCAACAAAAAATTTTTCAGTATCTGCTAGAAAAATTCTCTGGAATTGTTTTTGATGCTTTTCCAATTTATTACCGGTACGTGTGTCTAGAACGCCCACGATTTTTCTTCTCGAAATCCACTCGCATTTAAACTATGTATATATAATATATGATATATATATCCATATATATGTGCATGTCAATATGCTGCTCTATGGAATGTCAAACAAAATGCGAATAAATGGTTAGATGGACAGACATTTCCCGCCTGGGTCTTTAAACGAGCGACATGTGTGCTTTGAATTGGCAATATTGTCCAATCCATTAAAATATTAATAGCTGATCTTCATATGTAAAAACTATAAAATCTTTATGTGAATTAAGATGTCTAAAATTAAAAAAAACATGTTTTTGTAAGATTTTTTGGTATAGGTTGTATAGTTACTTAATTTTTTAGTTTTTATTTGTAAAACTTCTTAAGCTAATATAACACAGCACTTTTAATTTCCAAGTTTAATTACTCGCACATGTTAATCATGCATCTGGATGAGGGATTCATGGCTTTATCAGCTTTGCATTTGAAGGCCTCCTGGAACTCTGGCATATTCATGTACCCTCTATTAAGTTGAGCTGCAAATATGTCCGTATGGCGATTACATAATTGTTGGGCCACTGCATAGAAGAGTACTCTTTGAATATCCAATCCGAAGAATTGCAGCACAAAAGTCTCTGCAAAGGCGAATCTTTCACCCTGAAGCCAGAAGTCGTAATCCCTGCGAGCAGCTTGAAATGACCGATAAAAGTGAAAGATATCTTCGATCTCGTCCGAACCAAGTGGCCTGTAAATAGGCGCCAATGCTGCATCATAGTGTTGCAAGGATTGCCTTTCGAGGCAATCCATGGCAGTATAGCGGCCATCGGTATCTAAAAGAAGTCGGGATTGTCTCCAAAGCTCCAAACCCTGTGTGGCATAATAGTGATAAGTAGGACGATGCAAGGAAAGCAGGACAAAATGTATAAAATGTCTTAGGAAATATGCTGGCTGATTTACATCGTCCTCGTCGATATAGGGCGATACAAAACTATGACGTAACTGAGCCCGCCTGAGGAGCAGGAGATTTCCATGAAAGGAGCCATTAACGAACCCCAAACCTGTGTAGACTTCATTAAGTTCAGTTATATTCAGATAGCTTTGAGCATGAACTTGGAGAATGCGTGCCACCTGGAGTTCCTTTTTCTCGACAGAAGCTGGCCACAGATGACCATACCAATCCCTTCTAGACAGGCTGGATCTCCGTAGTTTCTGGAAGCGAGTTGTATGGAGTTGATAGGACGCTAAGGCGACTTCCCTGGTTAAATGAGGACTAAGAATATGCCATTGCCAGTACTCCGAATGAAGCAATCTCTCGAATTCCTCAGATATTTTATAGCAATCTGGATAACGTAGTTGTTCCTTGGCCTGCCACATCACATAGTTGTACACTATTCGGGGTTCCGTTTGCCTTAGGACTTCCCAAGCTTGTGTGATCTTCTCCACATCTAGCGGAAACTTACGGGCTATTTCCAACTGTTCCGTTGAAAAGTTAAGAGCGGCAAAAAAGTGCTGAAAGTAGTCCATCGTGTTCTCATCCAGGAGGAGCTGTTCTTGACTAGGCTTAGTAGTTGTGCTCTCTCCATTTCTCATTAAGCTCCTCACAAGCGGAAGTTCTCCTCTCATTCTGCGACATAGAACCCTCATTTCATAACCTATTATGTGAGAAACATGACGATGACGATTCTGTAAAACATCAGATAGGCTCGAATGGAAATCGTCTATACTTGGGCAAGGTAGATCCTCTATGGGGCTCACATAAATGGTATCCAATGCAAAGTAGATATGGAGTAGAGTGGGTAAACCATGAGCTGCCAATTGAGCTGATAGAACTATCCAATTCAGTTGTCCATTAAGATGTTTTTGCTCCCATTGATGTTTGAGAAAAGGCCAAGAAAAGAGCACTTCTTTATGTCCGGCAAGAAAGGGAATTTCCTCAAGTAGATGTTCCCAATGCGTAGCAGAGGCACTTTGATTTGACATTTTCTTTGCTTCCCTATTTCGACACTCCGCATATAGTTGTGAAATTAATTTTCCTGGTATGGTTTCGAAATTGTGAACCTGTGTCGAAAAAAAAGTTCATTCTGTCCTGTTTGTTATATAGATAAGGTGGCAGGATTTCATCAGGGTCTTCCTGAAGATGTTGATCGAAATTCCCACAAGCATGCGAGTAGAAATCATCACATGGATCCAATGAGTCATTCTTTATCCTCACCATTTGGTACAAATTTCGTTTATACAGGTGGCTAAAAAACTGGCCAGATTCTACATCCGTATCTGTTTCCATTTCCGCATCCGTATTCCGATCATTCTGAGAACTTACATTTTGGATGACAAAAGCAAGCAAAACAAACTGAAGCTTCCAGCACATATTAATTCAATTTTATTGTGATCCGCTCGTTTGTTTTGTTACGCGAAAACTGCGCAAAAATTGGCTCCGACTTACTCTCTAATGAGTTGATAAGCCACGGAAGCTGTGAATTGAGCTATATATTCTCGATTCTATCTAAGTTCCCCAGATCTCTTTGCTCTCTTTATAGAGCTCGCCTTGACCTTAAAGATCTTTGGCATTCCGCTTTGCCTTTTTCCGCCTTTACATCGCCTATTGATGAATATAATTCCGAATAATATTTGTTTATGGATTTGTTTATAAATATGGCTTCAAAAAGATTCGCGTGTTCTTAAATAGTATTTAAAATTTCATTTGGCAAAATATTTACTGGTATATACAGATTATCAATAGGAAAATCTAATATAGGTTGCATAAATATCAGGGTGGTAGACTTTAAATATACGAAAATGCTTGCATGTTTATCACAGAAACATTTTTAAACATCATAAATTTATATAAGCTTATAGAAGTCTAACATATATTACGCATACGCAATGTGGTCACAGCTGCATTAGCTCAAACATCAAAACAAAATACTATTCCATTAGGCTTTATTCTTGTTTTTGAAACATACATTTATTTTAAAAATTCATGTCATTTTTGTATGCTTTTTCATCTGAACTTTGTCCAGGCATTTCAAAAGTACTGAAACGATTTCATCAATATTTGAGTTCATCTTAACCAAATTGTATCGAATTCGAATAATTATCTTGTTCATTATTTATATTTATTTTTGTGTCAGGCAGTTTTGTTTTTGCGCCATTTGCGCATTGCATTTTCAAAATGACTTAATGACAAGTGTCAGCTAAGGGAAAGTGTATGTTTTTTAGAGAAGTCAAGGACCCGAAGTGTGTGACAGTTGTTTACGAAAATTTTGGGTGGTATTTTTATGATGATATTGTATATGCTATCAGTTTGATTAATTTATGACGATGTAGAGAATGTCTTGTAATAAATATCTAAAAAGTGAAATATCTATTTTACTTTTCTGGGATTTAATTTTACTTAAAGAGATGAAAGAAAGATTATATGAAGATTATAAGTACAAGCATCTCTAGATCCTATTCAACCAAAAACATTTCTAGTTCGTTTGCACTTGCGGAAATTCCAAAATGCTGTCAATATTTTCAAGGCAAGTGTTTCGTAAAATGGAACAAACTATATACTAGACGACTGAATTGTTTTTAATGAGCGTATTGTTATTGTTGGTGGTTTGGCTTCAGATCCGGCCAACGGCTGCTCGAAAACTGTCAAAATGCGCGGCGCAGATTTATTTTATTTATTTTCGATGTTATTTCTACGCGACTTTCCAAAAAATCTGCACTTTCCGCCCTGGTAGTGGCGTCTCATTTTGGCCAATGGGACAAAATATTTTTTCTATATGTATATCCAAAGAAAATCACCCATACAGCAACATGAATCTGTATCCACTTGTCAGATCTGCCATAACTGCGTCTGTATGGATGCTTGCAGAACGCTAAGTATTTCATCTATATCTCAATTCGTGGACGGGCCAACGATTTTAGTTGAGCCAAAGGCTTTCACCAGTTAATAGCACGAAATTGTGTCTTTCCCCAGCGGACGAAAAAACCAAAAGGTAAAACCAGGCGACAAGTGATGTGACCTGAAGATCCCAGTCGAATGATAGAAAATTTTCGGAATTTAATAATCGAATTCAAGTGTGCCGTGCCCGTAAATATTTTCTCAGTCGTGTTCTTTTCAATTTCTTCTGTTGGAACCGGTCCAATCTATAAAACTGGAATTATTTCAATCTATATAGACATATGGTTCTTTGATTGCTCTATCAGAAACACAAAGAGCACAAAACCATCAAATAGATATGGTCATACGTAATCAAAATCAAAAATATTATGTATTTGCCATATGGCTTAAATATCTGTTGACTTTATATAAAGATATATACTTATACGTTTGGATTTTATTTGATTAGCTTATTTTAAAACAAAATCATATGTGTTCGTTGAAATTTATTGCCGCCTTTTTTATGTTTCTATTTTATTAAACTTATCACGCGCCAAATAAAAATATATTTCGTGTATATGAAATGTGAAAATATTTTATAAATATTTCAACCTTTGTCTGGCTCCATTCCAAACTAAACTATTTATTTTCTAACGATTTTTTCTGCAGCAAATTCAATCAACATGAGCGAAGCCCGTAACCTGTTCACCACCTTCGGCATCCTGGCCATCCTCCTTTTCTTCCTTTACCTTATCTACGCCGTCTTGTAAAATGTTAGCGACTAGAAGAAGGTTCTTAGAGCAGGGTCGAAGGTGAGAAAATGGGTAAACTTTGTTTGTAAAAGGTGACCAACCGTAGTAGCTAAAAATCCAAAAAGAAAGAACTGAATAGTAAACATTTAAAGTTCAATTTTAAAATCAATTAAAAGTAAACAATCAAAAACTAAATCTTATTTTTAAATCAAATAGTCAAATAATTTGATAAGTATTGTGGCCTTTTAAAACTACAATTAGCCTATTTTCCCATTGAATTTATTCGAGATAAATCCCCATCAATTACAAACCTTGAAATGTTCATCAAATCCAAAATAAGCAATAAAGTCAATAGGGGCTACGTGATGTTCCCAATTTTTCAAGATTCTTTCAATATTCAGAATCGTTTTAGGCAACAAATTAACCAAATCGACATGTTTTTCGATTCAAAGTAAATAAATATGTTAATCAAACCAACAGCTGGAGAAAAAAAACACCTTCACCAAACCAAAAACCAGAAAAAAGAAAACATTTTTCAAATGACAAGGTCCAGTCGGAAAAAAGCAATTTGTCTAGGTGCAGTCCAGCAAATAAATAATGCTCGAAGAACAGAGAAATAATTGGCTAGAATCGTATGGAATCCGAATATATATATATATATATATAATCCAAATATACAGACTGAACTATGTACATATATACAGATCTAGAAAATATTTGTGCCGCGTCAAAAAATATGAGCAACAACTGGACTCACATACAACCAAATAACCGGTGATATGTATATGTATATAAATTAATTTTTTTATATATCCTCTATATAATCGGTTCTATGTGGGTGCGTGCGTGCGCCCAGGCAATAGCCATAATTCCAAACGCTGGCCAACTTTTTGTGGAGAAGTGGAATTCAGATCGGAAAATTCAGTTATTGCGCGCCTTTAGCTACGAACGGTTGGAAATATCTCCGAACAGTCAAGAAACCCCCCACAAGTGTGTGATTTGTGTTTTTCGATCGATCGGTCGCTTACCTAATTCCATATTATTCCTTGTAATCAATATAGCAGCCAGCAACCAAAAAAATTAAAATCAAAATGAATGAGGCCAAGAGTTTGTTCACCACCTTCCTCATCCTGGCCTTCCTTCTGTTCCTGCTCTATGCCTTCTACGAAGCCGCCTTCTAGGCCCATCCCAGTCACCATGACCACCACCACCAACCATCACCCATCAAGTATAGCTTACATGTTGAATTTCAATTCCAAGCCGCCGGCCATCCCATCATCTTGAGGTCCGGTGGAGCTTCTAGGACCCTACGCGTTTAAGATGTTTAGCATTTAATGGATTTCTACTAGTAACCTAAGCCAGGTAAGCATTTTCCAACCCCTGCCAATTAATTCAATTATCAGTCACACACATCAAACAAATCACCAAAATATTCTCAAATCACTGATGAAAATAAACCTTGACTAAATTTTTTGGCACCACTTGGCAGCTCGATAATAAATAGAATTTCCGTTTCTATTTTTTAACGACAAGATTTCGACATGGCCCACTAAACACCTTCCTGTCGTCACGGCCCCCCTTCATTTGGAAACATTAAAAATCATTTTCACACGACATTTTTCGAATGTCGCAACTTTGTGATTCAACATTATTTTTTTTTTGGGATTGAAAATATCCCCCCTAGTGCAAAAACATAAAAATGTTCAAAGAGACCATTTTTTATGGCCAGAATTTATGATTGGCTAAGGTGGATATTATAATTAATTTTCATTAAATGTTTTCGAATATTTCAAAAAAACTTGAAATAGTATTTCGACTATAAATCGCTATTTTTATTCGAGAAATTCAAATCTGCTGCCTCCGTGAGTTATTTTGAAGAACCAAAAATAAATCTCAAAAGAAGCTTATGGTCTTTGAAACAAACAAAGCCATGCTGACCATTGTTTATGCCAGAGTGGTCATTTGAACAAACAAAATAGAAAAATAAAATATGTACAAATATATTTATCAATTGCCAAAACTTTACGTCAGAGGAAAACTTATTTTTCCTTTACTAACAAATAATTGCTGGTTTGTACAAATTAAATTTAGAAAATAATTTCTTGCAGATGACGTCAAAGCCACCAGCTGCCAAAAACGGAGGCTCGGCAATCAGGATGATCATTTAGCTGATCTATGGCCAGCCCCTGCTATGTGGTAAGTACCATTAATTTCGATCCCCTGGGATGCGCTCCAATAAACTAGTTCCCTTAATCTTTCTCCGTTTGTTTTTTCGCAGTGCTCTGCCACATTTGAACAATCTTTGAGGCGTTACAATATCGATCCATTCGGATACAACATTGCTGCCGGCCTTGGCGTCATCTGTTCTAATCATAAATATTATTTTGTGATCTTTCTATATTTTTGTTCGGCAATGGAATCTACTTAGTTTGCAATTAAATTCATAGACCATGATGTACAGTATATGCAAATTGAGAACAACATCAGCAATCAATGTGAACGATCAGAAATTGGTTATTTCATTGTTAAACAACACATTTATTTCGCATTCGTAGTTATTAAGACATACATAATGTATAACTGCATTTTACTCGACTTTTCTTAAATCATTTGTGAATAACAACCGCAAAAAAGAACAACATTAAACTGCAGGAATAAAACCAACAAAAAACTAGTTATTGCTTTTAATTTTATTTTTATATTATGTTGGGATTATCGATTTTTCCTTTTTTGAAGTATTAAAAGAAGTTTATTCTTATTATAAAAGGTATAAACTAAAAGAAAGAATAATCAATCATAATATGCTGTTGAGGGTTTGAATGAGCATAGGTATATTCAATTTTATCAGCATACTTTTAGGCTACGTCGGATAACGAAACGGTAAAAGCAGTTTATTACCGGTTTATTGATTTTTATTTGCTTAGCAAGAAACTGAAAAATATTTATTCTAGGATTGAGCCATCTCAATCAAATTTAAAACAGATAAAAACCAAAATTTCAAAAAATTTAACGAATGATAATATTAAAATGGTATAAATTCTTTAAACATAATTTTTTTTAAAACTGTTATTGCGAGGATTTCAATTAGTAAATAACAAATGAAAAGCAATTTGTTTTACTAGACATCATAAAGAATTCTGTCATGAGAAAGATGCCAGTCACTTGCCTATTCTCCGTTTCGGATTATAATGTAATTTTGTGTAATGGTAGGCAGTTCCTTAATAAATCATTCAAGTACTCGAACTTAATTTGCATGTTGGCATGCAAAACAAGGCCTTTAACTACTTGCCAAACGAAAATCATAAAAACATACAATGCCCAAAATAAGCGAGAAGTGCAGGCAATGAAGCGGAGACATCGTCGTCGTCGGTCTTTTGACGGCTTCCGACTGCAGTTGGCCACTTTGCCATTTTGTCGGTCAGCAGTTTCGCGCGCAGGCCAACCGGTTTCATGGCTAAAACCGTCCAAAGCCCCCTCTCCGCATCAACTTCGCCAAAATTGCAATGGTTATGCAATGCGGCAGAGTTTAGTGCATTTTGGCAATTGATTTTGCCAGCCGGTTTTTGGTCGTGCCTTTATCTTTTGTTTTTATATTTTTTTATTTCTTCATGGCTTTGTACAAAATTGTTTTTTTTTTTATAGTTAAATGTTTAAAGTCTTATGACTAAGAACCATATATTTACATGACTCCTAACTTAGCTGAAAGGCTTAACAAATCTTCAGTTTCTTTTGTTTTTGCTCGAGAGCCTCGATTCTCAATCGCTTGAATAGTTGGTACCCCAAGTAGGAGCGAATAGGAAGGGGAGCTAGCTTCATGAAGGCATACTGAAAATTTAAAAAGATTTTTAAGTTTATTAATTGTTTAAAATTAATTTAAATTGATATATTGAACATACCTGAATTCCATGAGTCCAGAAACCATTCGTCTCGTTCGTTTTTCCCAGAGTAAAAACGGCGGAACGGGCAAAAGTATAAGCATTGGGGAAGAACAGACCACCCTCCATCACCCGATCGGAGTAGGCGTTCATTTTAGTTGTCACAAAACCGGGTAAAACTAGTTGCACATGGATATTATGCTCGGCCAGCTCCAATTCCAGGGCCTTGGAAAAGTAGGTTATGAACTTCTTGCTTGCTGCATAGACGGTCATATTGGGCAGGGGCTGGAGTTCCGAGGTGGATCCCAGGTTGACAATGGCTCCCTTCTTGCGGCCAATCATCTGGGGCACGATCTTGCGGGTTAGCATGGTAACCGATCCCATGTTGACGGTGAGAAGATCCCAAAGCAGGTCCTCCGAAACCAGGTCAAAGGTCTCCGGGTGCTCGTACATCATGCCCACATTGTTGACTGTTAAAAAGAAAGGTTTTTATAATTTGTAGAATTCGAAATTTAGAAAAACTTAAACTATTTGTTATATAAGTAATGCCTAGGTAAATGCTTAAATAATAATAAGCAAGCAAACAATGATCATTACTCATAACGATAAAATATTACTTATAAAAACTCATATCAACATTTCAGTGGCAAATTAATGCCGCTGGCCAAGATCAATGTCAACTCTTATCAGCCAAAATTTTATTAAAAACGCCTTGAGGCGTTCGCAAGGTTGCCGAAATGTAAATTGCTGAAGCGTTTATGAGTCTGGTCGGCCGAATAAAACCCCAACAACAGCGCATCGCCTATGTACTTGAACATCGCCTAAGCCACTCTTCGCCTCGCCAATAGACCAAAAAAAGAGTCATTATAATTGCACGCAATTATTATTGTTTGACATTGGCAGCCGCACAAGAAATAGTCAGAAAAATAAAGTAAAACGTAAATAAAAAGCTGCTACTGTTGATTGCTGTGTGTTGTTGACAATGATTTATGTATGAATTAGTACAGTAGATACCGGATAATAAATGCGTTTGAGAACTGGAGCTGTGTTTTGGCAATAATAGTCTCTTTCTTAAATTAAATCTAAATATAATAACATAATATTTAAAATACTATTATATTTTAAAAATGTATGATATCGACTTGATCATTACTCACCCAAAATGCCAACATCAATTCCGGCCAGTTCCTTTTCAATCTGATCATAGATCTCACGTCCCTTGGCAAAGTCCACAGCAATCCACTTGGTCTTTACTTTGTACTGGCTTTCTGTAAATTGATTCCAAAATTAAGGTAAAATTGTTTACATTTTAGTAAGTAAGCAGTACTTACCAATCTCATTGGTGACGGCAATCAACTTCTCCTTCGTCCGCGAGATGAGCACCAGATTGAGACCCTGTCGAGCCAGCTCCCTGGCATATTCCTTTCCAATGCCATCGGTGGCACCAGTCACCACTAAAGTGAAAGGAAACGAATGAAAACTTGATGAGTACAGGTGAAGGTTGCCAAAAAGAAGTGGATGCCACATTTTTGCTATTCTTTAAAAGGACTTAAATACATGAAAAAGTCTACTCGAAAATGTTTTTTATTTTAATTATTTTCAAATCTTATAGAAGGATGTAAAACTTAAGGATTCAAGGTTTTATAATGTATAAAAATATTTAAAATGTTCTAAAAAACAAAATAAATATTCGGAAATAAGATGGTAATTCAATGAGGTTTATGGTTTAAACAACTTTTAACTATACTTATTTTTTTTTCAAGACCAATTTCGTCACTTTCTTTCGTTTACCTAAACTTTTAGCAACTGAATGAAGCTAAAACCTCCTTGAAAGAGCTTTTCGAAAATAGCATTTGCCTGCTAATTAACCCGCTGCATTCGACTGGGTCTGTTTTAATCACATCGTCAGTTGTTAGTTTTTGTTGGTTGCCGAAACCTCGGCAAATATCATGAATGGATTTGGATTTGGCCGCAAAGAAGTACTCAGAAGCAAACCGGCTATCGTGGCAATTGCAGCAATGTTGCCACTGGCAGCTGGTTATTGGTTGCCAAATATTTGTGCAACGGAAACGCGAAAAACACGGCAGCAATATCAACACCGGCAATAGCAACAGTTAAGAGTACAACGGCAACACCAATCGATTGTTGCGCTTGCGTGCTGCCCGATAATTACGAATGACGTATATTTTTGCTTGGTTTTGGCACTTCAATTGGTGAATAATCAAAATCGTTTGATAGGGTTCATAATTCAATTTGGAAAACCATGCAGAAGTCGATCACTTGCTGAAGGTCATCCATTAATTAAGCAATAAACGGCAGAGGCGATAGTAAAATTCATAATCATTAGACCGCGAAGAGCAGCACGAGACTTGAGCCAATGAAAGCGAAATAACTAAATAATATAGTATAACAATAACAAAACGAATGCAAAATGCGAAAAAACGAGAAAATCGCAAGCCGGTTTACGAGTTGAATGACTTTGTGTGGTCCATAAACGAAAATATAAACAAATCAAGTTGTTTGAATAATTTAAATATTGTTTTGGTAAATCCTTATGAATAGCGGTTTATGTAAAAATCAAAAGATTGAATATATTTTTAAGGGCATTTTAAGTTACATCATTTTTAGAGAGTTTTTAAAGAAAACTTTTGAAATACTTTCTTATATCATACAAATTTCTAAATAATCATGATGATTGTGAGTTTTCATTGATAGTAAGAGACCCGTAAGTACCTAATGATAAGTTAATGCCAAGATAACTACTCATGGTGACAACTTAAATTAATATGAAAATCACAATGAGTAATTATAATTGTTAAATTTTATGAATTTACAGGACTATATTCCGGAAATTTTGAAAAATGTTAAATTGTCCTTAGAAAACATTAAACAATTGCACCTATTTAAACAAATTTTCTATAATTATTATTTTAAAATGCCACCGAATCATGCTGACCTAATTATTTATTAATAAAAATCATGATCGACGAATGTTTATTTTTAAATGGACTTTGTCTCAAAAATTTTAAAATAAACTGAACATTTTAATACGAAAAGCTGCGATATAATCGAACATTCTGATAAGAATTACTAGGCCATTTGGGCAGATAATATAAATCATTATGGAAACTCATAGTGTTTACTGATATTTGTAATCTAATCTTTTGGCTTTTGTAATCCTCTAGCTTGGACTAAGCAATAAGTGGTGTGGGAAATATTAATACATTGGTAAAGATTAATTTTACTACTGTCCCAGTCTGCATATTAAATTATCAGAAAAAATTAATTTTAATGTTGTAAATAACTGAACGAATCGATAAGGGTAATAATGTAAAGAAGCACACGATATTTTTATTAAAACTTAACGCTTTCTCTACTTACTACTATTTATGGAGTTAATAACTAATTTGATATAATATTTAGTAATATTAGGAAATGAAATATATTGTGAAATGAGCTAGTGACTGCCAATTCTAAAAGCTCCTAAGTGCTTCTCCGTTCAGCAAAACACAACCTGAAGAAAAAGGTAAACAATTTGCATTTGTGACAGTGAGGTAACCAAAAACGCAAACCTCAAATATTGACAGACCCCAAGGGTTAAAGTATGCAAATCACAGATTGAATAACATGGAAAACATATAGTTTACACTACTACAGTATGAAATTCAGGGGTATAAAGTGTTACTCGATCTAAAAACTCACCTGCCCATTGTCCAAACTTTTCCACCAAAGTCTTTGGTAACTGCGGCTGGAAGAAGGGTTCCAGGACAGCCTTGATGATACTGATCAAGGACTTTAAATTGTCGTAAAGGAACGCTAGGATACTAAGCGAACCCACTATATAGATTGCCGCGGAGATTAGCTGCCAAATGAACGCCATCCTTAGCAAAGTGTAAATGCTTAATTCCAGAACTGGCTGCATGGTTAAGAGAGTTCTCTTTATATAGTCGAAAAAGCCAACTTTCGGTTGGTGATAAGAGCAAATTCAAGGGATTGTGGAACGTATGCTTATCACTACACGCCCGTGCTGATTATTTATTGTTTCGTTGAGAATTACTACTATACCACTATAGCACTATATACCAATTTATAATCGCCCGACGTTTGCACTATCGGCCACTGTCTGTCTGCCTCTTTTACCGGAGGCACAAGTTGCAAGTTTGAGCACCGATCACGCACTGAATGCTTGGCCACTGCGGCTTCGTTTTTTTCGGGGCTTCGGTTTTCGGATTTTCAGTTTCGGATCTGGTCTTCAACAAGCAACAGTTGTAAATAAAAAACAGAGACTTAAAGCGGAAAGACTACTGCAGTTGGGGCTCTTTTCCGTGGTTTTACTCAGCATTTGTCGGTTTATTATTTCATAAAATTATAAATTTAATTTTTGTTGCCTTTTACAGCGGTCTAAAGATGTTGAAAGACTACGTGTCTGGACCGGGTGAATTATTTGACATTTAATTGTTGTGAAAGAAATGACCCTTTCTCCCAGTCTTGGCTTTTTCACCCGCGTTCATCAGTCGTAATGATGGTTTATTTACTAAATGCATAATAAGCTTGCTAGTAAGTTGGTTGGCGTAGAACTAATTGCAAACAATTAAGCGAAAGATGTGGCGAATTGTCTTTTGTCATGCAATGACCCTTGTCACCTGAGACAGTTTATTTGTACCGATTTTGCTTTACCCCTTTTTTTGCATGTCGCTAAATGCTTTGGAAGTGATATAGTTTTCAACAAATAATTACTATATTTAAGTCACATAGGGTACTTAGTTAAATTTAAGATATTATAATTATTTTTATTTTTAATATTCTACATAAAATTTTAATTAATATTCATGTGTGAATTTAAACCATTCTCAATAAATGTAATACAGAGTTACTGCTCAGTCAATGGTTGTATATTGTTTAAAGTTAAAATACTGATTTTGTAGTTGCCAGTATATATATTTATATATATATATATATATATATATGTGCTTTTTACTGACAGATTTGAAACAGTTTTAATACGGCTTCGCCTCATTATCTTTTGTAATTTCAATACCATAAGTTTTCCTTATCAGCCAGAAAAAATGCATTTCCGAACAAGCGGGCGAAACAAACGGATCAGTGCATTTCTGTGACACAACAAAAGATTTACTTAGTTTCAGAGTATTAAATACTTTTTCTCTTTTTAGTGAATGAGAGTCGAAAAAGTAATTTCGTTTGTACTTTGAGCAGTGGTAAAGCAAATGTATTGAGCCATTAGGTAAGTCGAAATGAATAAAAAAAGTCATCGAGACTAATGGATATCGGAAATGTCCCTCAAACTGTTGTGGTGTAAATATCTCTCACAATTTTTATAGAAGGTAATAAATGACATTTAAATCGTAAAGATTATATTTTTGACTTGATAAAATATAAAATTTATTATCGCACAATATAAATGGTCATTCTGGTCATTAGTTACAAAATATAATTTTCCACTTGTTGCTTTCTATGGTTTTCTCTATTTATGCCGAAACAGTTTTCCAATGGTGTATAAAAAGCTCGTTAATTTAAAAACACTCAACGTTCCACAATCCCAAATATTAAAACATATGTTACTTTATGTAAGTCTAAACTTACCTGCAGTCAACGAACCAAACTGTTTGAGTTTTTAAACGCTATAAATAAAATCAATACTTTATGAGGAAAGGGCTGCCGGCCGGCTGAGTTACCGCCTATCCAGCCGAATATTGATTCCAGACTGAGGAATATGGCGGTTGAAGCTCTTCGAGGAAGTCCCAGAGCTTTCCCCAAAAGTTCTAAATGTAAGTAGTACCGTCATTTCAGCATTTTTAAGGCTAAATGTGTTTATTGTTAAGAAAATAATCCTCAATATATACAAAATTACAAGTCTAATCACTTTATTTATATATTATTTAAAATATTATTGACATATATTACCAAACTATTTAAGCATTCAAAAATTATAAGAGCTCGAAAAATGCTCTAGTTCGAAATTTCGCATTATGTTTAGCAAAGTTACGAACCCAAGCTCTGAGTCTTGAACCCTCCAGGAAGTATGCTATGTTTTATTTACAAAGTCAAATTTGACAAAATTAATCAATTCAAAGTTCACTGTTAAAATAATGATTTTGTCTCAGCTATCTGTATTTTAATGTCTTTGAAAATTTTAATTTTTCTTTGGTTTATCTGATATTTTGCTGAAAATTTTATAGGCAGCAAGGGTTCGCACTCGCCACGTGAAAGCAGTTCCCACTGCATTTTGAATGTGGTGCCAAAAGTAGCCCGGAGTTTCATCCACTCCATCTCTCAGCTGATCAACCGCACTTTTGGCATATGTCGAGGCCGAAGGGATAAATAGACCGCCCTTCATGATCTGCCTTGAATACGAATTGATTTTAGTCACTACGAAATTCGGGGACAGTAGCTGGACATGGATGCCAAAAGGCTTGGCCTCGTGACACAAGGCCAAGGTAAGACTACGGGTGTATGCCTTCGAGGCGGCATAATAAGCCCCATATGGCAGAGGCTGCATTTCCGTTCCTGAACTAACGTTCACAATAGCTCCCTTGATCTTGGACGCCTTCATGCGCTGGAAAAACAAGCGTGAGAGTTGGGAAACGGCCACCACATTGGTGTCGATTATATTCTGGGTTGCTTCCTGGGTCCATTTCAGTATGGGAGAAGGTGTGCCGGATCCAACATTGTTAACTGTGTAGAATAGAGATTAAGTTATACAGAATGTGGAACAATTTTTTGACTTCACTTACCCAGTATAGATATGGGTATATCGGCAGTTTCCTTTTCTATATGCTCATACACCTGCGAGCCCTTTGTGAAATCAGCAATCACAATCTTTGTCTGTGTACCGGTTCCGATTTCAGCTGAAATAAAAATGTTTGATAATAAAAATCAATTGTTATATAACAATCTTTAAATAGAATAATAGATTTCACTGCACGAAGTGCTAGCCTTCCTACTAAAAATCCATTGCATGGCTTTAAATCATAACTGCCGATAACTGCTTTGCGTGTTCTTCAAAAGTGTCATGTTGTTTGGTCAAACATGTTATAATTATCGATATAACGGGAGCAGTAAGCCAAAATTCTAAGCCAAACATGAAGTCCAACAAATATTTGTATAACAACTTCATCGTACTTCTAATTTGACTTAAAATCTCTTGATTTTACTCTTGATTTGTATAGTGATAAGCTTGTAATATAAAGCGAAAATTTTGTTATAAAATGATTACGTAAATTTATTCTATTACCTTCACATTTTTACCTTTCTCACTATCATTTTTTGTTAAAAAAGACACAAATTTACTTGTCATTCAACACCGTTAACCGGACTCTAATCTATTCACCACTTGACTTACCAATTTCCTTGGCTACCGCTTGGAGTTTTTCCTCGCTTCTGGCAATCAGCACAACATTGATCTTCTGGCGGGCCAGCTCCTTGGCATACTCCTTACCAATGCCATCGCTGGCTCCTGTGACAGCAGCCCAATCTCCGTAACGTTCCTTGAGAGTGGGTCTATTATCACTAAAGTATCGAATTTTTATTAACTTGTACGGCGTTCTTAACTGTTCGTAAAGATAAGAGGCTAGGGCGTAGAATCCAATTGATACTAGGAAAGTTGATAAGGTACAAAACATTTTTACAATTTCTCTATTTTTAATCCGATTGCTAGAGCAGAGAATACGTGTGTTGCGATCCGGTCGACTCCCTCAAACGGACTGTGGTCACGGAGCAATTTGCACACTTTTCGCCGGACGGGGCGATGAATTTAAATGGCATGAATTAATAGAAGTCAGCGCTATCAAAAGGTGTTCGACTTGCTGTTAAAAATGCCGAAAGATTATATTTTAATCATAATCGCAAGTGTTTGGTTTGATCAATTATGGTTTGCCAAATGGTTTGACTGACTGTTTGCCTGGGAATGGCCAAATTAAAAAGGCCCAACCGCTTATATGGGAGCATTACACTGGAAAATTGAGTGCAGGGTCGTGCTTTTGGGCTCAAAGATCAGCTAGCCTAATAGAACAGGTGAAAGTCACTTATAAATTAGCAAATTTAATGTACTCAAAAAGATAAAATTAGACACGGCAATTTATATTTGTACTTAAATCATCTGTAAACATTGCGAACTTTTTAGTTAATACTAAACAATCTAATTTACTATATAACCAAAGTGTATTTTTTAGTGCCTAACGTATTGCTGTTATTATTGTTTGTTGAGTACTTTTATATTTTTCCATAATTCTTTCTCAGGAATGATTCTTCTCTTCAAAGCTAAAGATAATTTAAAAAAGATTTTAGATATTTATTTCACCATCAGGCATCTAAAGAGTCAGTCACCTTCTAATCCTCGACTCCATCCGCAGATGACATCATGGACTGTTGGTCCTTGTCCTTTGTTCACCAAAAATGCACTCTATACTCGACACCACACTCGCACATCACAATTACCGCCTTTAAGCAGCATTCATAAATTAGGGAGGGCACAGAAATGGCATTTTACAAAACGCTAAGTTCACTAACGCCCCCCGAACCAGCCGGGGAATCCCCTTGGTGTCCCATGATATTCACCGATCCAAGTGCTGACTTACGGTGAAGGATATCAGGAAACGCTGTGAATCGAACTGCGGAACAAGAGCACGACATGGGTTATATATCAACCATGTGTGTCGACACCCGGGAAAAGGGATGAGCTTTTTGGCTGCTAGCAAATCCATTTTGAAAAATATATATTTCCAACCATTTTTCCTCGTTTTTGGCTGCCGCAAAAACCGCATTTATTCAAGTGTCAAATAAATTCATAGTTTTTCGGTCCAAAAAAAGGAAAAAGTCAAGTTGGGGGCGTCGACTGTTGGCGTCGGCCAACTAATTAAGTCGAATGGTTTTAAGGCCAGGCCAGAAAACCGCCAGAACTCGTTCGAATCTAATGGCAGCCTGAAAGTATGCAGCGATTTTTGTGCCACCAATTTTCAGAATTTATATGGTATGTTGCTGCAGCGAGTGAGGGGCCAACTTATGCTAATCACATTTAATTGCTTTTTAAGCGCACTTTCTGGCAGTTAAGCTAATTAATGTGACTCATACGCATTGTTACTATTAAATTGGGAACCTTAAGTTTGCAGCGGAGGGCTTAAATATATGGCTTGGCATTACCAAAAATAATGCAAGCGAATGGCGCCAGTTTTCAGTTCATAGCACATATGCCAAGATAAGAGGCTATCCGAAGATTGGAGTGGGAGGCCAAACTGGCGCAGTCATTGTCAAAAAGTCAAACAATTTGAATTATGCCTTGCAATTTGTACATCCGTTTTGACTTGGCCCGAAACACTGCTGGTCCTTCGCCCACTCCTCGAGTCCTCGACTCCTTTTTATATATGAGGGAAATTATTGTTTGCTTTGTTTCGCGTTTGCCGCTGGCGGTTATTCTATTTTTATTCATATGACTATGAGACCAGCTCATGTAATGCTCATTTTTACAGATTTTTATTGTGGTTATTATTGCGTTTATTTTGGCCAAGAGTGTGGGAAGCAAAAGTTTTGTTGCTTAAAGAACTCTCTCTCTGAATGCTAAGACCAACAGAAGTAATGGTAATGTCTATGCACTAGAATTTATTACAATACAATATAATAAACTCGTAAGTAAGTTTATTATTAAAAACTCCAACAAAACCAAAAATCATTTATATATTTTCACCGTACGATGAGCAGGTATAAAATTTGCCGAAAACAGACCTTATCTATACAAAAAGATCATCATCATTCTGGACTACAATTTTGTCTTTATTTCCCGCAATTAATTGCCCCGGCAATCATTTGCAACGCTCTCTAATCTCTGACATACCGTTAAAGCGCATTGCTGGCACTGTTGACTAGCAGGATGCTTAAGGATGTTTATGTCAGGCACTGAATTTTAAGTAGCTCCAAAGGAGGTTTGGCTTGTCGCATCGTTGAAAAAAACAAGAACGGCTGCACAAAAAAAGAGTTGTCAAGTGAATTCGTGACAGGCTAAATGGAGGAGAGATTTCCCTTTTATCTCAACGAAAAAATTCGCCCCTTAAATGGCGCATGAAAATTAGCAAGCTGTCTGTCGCCTGCCATTATGCGGCACACTTTGAATGGTTCTTCGACAAATTTCCCCTGTTGTTTTTTTTTTTTGTATTTTTGATGGTTAGCCATTTAAGGCTAAAGGATTAAACGGTTTTATATAGTCAACAGTTAATTAGCAGTTGGTGGTTATCGCAAAAAATGTTGCTTTGTTTTTCGGAAGGAGCAACTTTTGGCCATAAAAGTGCAATCAGTGGTTAAGTTATGTCCAGGATGTGGGAAGTTCATATGTCCGGGTCGGCACCTGCAGGCGAAATACTGGCCATAAAAAATGACTAACGATTAAGCCAAAAAGGAAAACACGGATCCGTTAGGGCAAGGCAGCAAGTGTCGTTTTGAAAAATTCAAATCTCGTTGCCAATAAAAGCCAATAAAACTCGTAAAATAACTCAAACAAAAAAGTGGGTGGAAAAATCTGTGCGGATGTTGCTCGTTCAAGTGTTTTGTGTCGCAATGTTGCGGGTGGCCATAACCATTGAGTTCTGATTCTTGCGGGTTAAAGTTGATCTCCGGAGTTCTGCAGATGCATTTAGTTGCTTTTTCAGCTGCACATTGCTACAAATGTGAGCATATACATATATATATTTATAGCCAGGACTGAAAACGAAGAGGAATACAAGTGGTGTCATCGTTCCCATGACCGAAAATAGCTTTGCAATTGGATGTGGCGTCTACACCTGTTGGGAATATGTCGGCGCAGTCAGTCATTATTAAGTTGTACGAAAAAGTGCGGTTCTATTGCAAGTACTTTAAATTCTTTTTGGCTTAATATGATAATAATTAAATGCTAGCATATGGTGGCCCAGGTGTAGGCCTGAAGTTTAAATAATTGTTAACACGAATACTTCATGTAATTGTTACGTTAACCTCCTCCATGCGAACAGGATTTGCATCAATCAAGTTCTTTTTTAATGCTGTTTGCCAGGTGGGGCACAAATCACAGCATTGACAACGGTGAAACTTTCACAGTGACAAGACAGCATTTTTGCCCTGGTTTTACAGAACCAGAAGTAGTCAACTTTGATCAGGCCACGATGAAAATCAAAGAAAAGCCCATGAAGGCCCAGCTGAATGCAAATGACAAATGTTTTCGCGTATTTCAGTGATTTTCCACTGCCTTTCTGCACTGCATAAGAACGTATTTTGAATGCAGACGAGACGGCTGACCGACAGAGTCAACAAGGCGAATTAAATTAAAATGCGGATGGTGTTCGTCTAAGCTGAGGTTCTCCAATCTTCGGGAAGGGGATACTTCACTATGGCCCCCCTGCCGACTCGATGGCCGATATTTGAACTGCATTTTCTGGTGCTGGGCAGACAATTCCTGGCGCTATCGCGATGCCAAATACGCGGCCAAGAAAAAAAATCGCCGACAGCGACAAAACAAAATAAATATATGTGTATATATATATGTGGACTGAGAAAGGATACAATGTTCTAAGCTGGAAGGATGGAATATTCAAACGTTTTCGCATCCTGTCAGAGGATGCCAGCGAGCGGCAAAAACAATTTCGTACATTTAAATGCCAGCACATGAAACGGAACGGGATGATTCCTTCTTTATGGCGTCCTCATACTCGTAGTGCTTTTTCCCCAAAAGAAAAATATTGTCTAAAGCGAAATGTCGCTTTTGTCTTGCCCTTCGTACAAAACACATAAATCTCGGCATATGTGCATTAAATTGCCATCCCAGATCGGCTAAAGTCTTCCCCCTTAAAAACAAAAGCATACTTTAATTGCCACTTCAATTTTCAATTGTTTTTCTATTCGCTTAACTTGCACCTTCCATGGCCGTTCTGTTCGGGATGTTCCTCCTCTGCTCATCTGTGGACAAACTTAATGACCTGAAAACATTTCGATAATGTGGGTGACTCTTCATTGTCTCCGCTCGGCAGTTTGTGCGGGCTTAGGAAATTATCAACTCAACGCCTTTAGCAAAAACCGAAAAACGGATGGAAGGTAATTTCCAGGAAAACGATTAGAAATTCCTGTCGGTAAAAGGAAACAAAAAAAGGGAAAATCCCATTGGTTTTCGGGTTTAAAAGCCTTACAAAAAGGAGTTAAAGATAAGGCTAACAGACTAACATATTAGGCTAAGTCTGAAAATGTTTGAAATGCCTGGGTGAAGGATTAAGGTCCTAAAGCCTTAACTCTGGTCAGTTGTTCATGGGTACTTTGTAATATAAATTATATTATTTAAAATAAAAAATATTTAAAAATGTTTATACTGAATCGATTACTATACCCAAACATCCGTAACTTTCCCTTTGTCCATTCACTTACAAAGTCCTTCGGCTACCACTAAAAAAATGCTGCGGTTTTTCAAGTCAAGGCGAGTCAACCCTTTCCATTTTTCTCCTCCTCCGATGTCCAGCAATTTGGCAAAAACCAAGGGGAGGCCACGTGACTAACATAACCAAATACAGTTATAGCCATCGCCGACTCGGTGAGCAAGTGCTCGAAAAATGTTTTGTTTGGCAAAAATCAAGATGTGTGGCGTCCTCTCGCTTTTTCCTCTCAGCCAGATTCCCCAGCCCAGTTTTTCATGGGCTTTTACTGCCCAGTTAGAAGAACTGTTGGCAACAGTAAAGAGATGCTTATGAAAGGGGAATATGTGAACGCTAGGGTAGACTTGAATTTTAAAATAAGATTTGATAATAATCATTTTAAACGAAATTAATAAGATAATTTTTAAAATAAACAAAAAGTATTACATAAATGTAAAAAATACTTGAAAACTTTAAGAGGGTAAAAAAATATGTAAGAGCTACACCCTACCTTGAACTCGTATGTTTATCTTTGGGCTGGCTTTTGTCTCGCTGAAGTGGTGCTGGAATTTGAAGGAAAAATGGTTTGAGGATCGAAGCTGGCGCTGTTGTCCTTTGGCGCTGTTTGGGCAATAAATAAACGTTTAGTTGGTAGCGGAAACAGGGCGACAGCAACAGCAGTTCCAACGATTCGAATGGGGATGGCATTAGATGGAAGGTAGGTGGGGCTCCGGCATGAGGAGTCCGAGAGGAGCGAACTTGTTTTGGCCTCTGGCAGCACGTGCTGCTGCGGTCAACGTGTGGCTCGCATTGTTGTCACACTTTTTGCTGCCGGTGGTTAACTGACTCCCATCCATTGTCCTTCGACTTTCGTCCTTTGCCGGGTGGTGCCCATTAATGGCCGCGTAATCGGTGCTCAATTAACACATACGAGTGTCGGCCCCCTAGAAATGCACTACGATAAAAAAGCGAATGAAAATTATTTCCAAATTTCCAAATAAAATATTATCCTTCTTAACAACAAATAAGTTGGGAGTAAAACGTAGTAAACTTTTCTTTCACTTAATCCTGCTTATTTAATGTTAATGACTTCTTCCAGTCTGAATTTAATTTCTTTCAGTGTCGTTACAACATTGTGGCCTTTATTTAACATGCATTTATTAGAAATTTATTAGCACTGGTTAAAATTTTACATCGAGATTTTTGCTTTCCGCTTGCATAAAATTTTTACACTGGCGCCACTCGTTTCATAACTCAGACAAAGTATCCACTCAGAATGAGAGCGTATGGCTGAGGGCAGGAGATATCCCTAAGTCCACTTATTCTGATTGGCATCGATGCCCTATGACGCTGTGTCCTTGCATGTGCTAAAACCTGTTGACCATTTGCATTCATTTAGCTCAAGGAGTTCTCGTAGGGCCTTTCCTTGTGGCCCTTCAGTCTTCGACTTGGTTTCTTTCTTCCTTTGTAGTTTTTGCACTTTTTAGTGCCTCGTTTAAATTCTGATTTTATGGCAGCGTTTATGCTTTTGTCGAAAAGCAGATATATATTTACATATATATCTTTGGTAGATCTGCTTGCTCGGCAAACGAATCTCAACTGCATTCATAATTGGGGTGAGCAAATTGATTGTTGTCTTGAAGTTTACCTTTCTCAATTTGGTTTTCATTCAATAAGACAGTTTGCCAAAATAACCACTTGATTAGTCATGTTAAGCAATTGATTCAAGATTACATATTCCTGACATTCAATTTTGAATTTGCTTTTTAATAGAAGGAAATCGTGATAAATTAAAGAAGATAAGAGGATCATAAAATTAAAATAAAATCTAGACAATTTTGTATTATTTCCTACACTATAATATAGTATATTATTATTTTATGATTTAACAGATTTAAAATATTTACAATTCTTAATTTTCAAATATCTTTCTTTATTAAATAAAGTGATCTTAAAGAAAGATCTTGTATTCCCCTTTCCATGTTTTATGCCCCGCCAAAAACCACGTGCTAGTCATAAATTATCTAATTGTGTTGTTTTTCGTGCTCAATACCGGAACACTGGAATATTCAAATATTTACTATATATCTCAAAAATATTCAAAACTACTCAAAATCTATGAATAAGAGCAGAGAGCCCGCAGCAGCAGAGGCAAACGAGCTCTGTCGCAGAGACGAAGATTTTCCGAGGAGCACACGAAGTGTCACGATTTGAAAGAACGGGGAATGGGGGATCGTTCGCTTGGAGCAGCGCCAGTAGGGCGGAGGTCAGGGGGCGGGAGAGCAGTGGCTGTGGTAGCCTCTGCCAATGTAAGGGAGGCGTAGCCCTTTCACACTTGAAAAAATAATTTCGTTTATTCTTTTTCAGGGATTTGTTTTGTTATGTTGTTAAATAAATAGTATTTAAAAAACAAATTGTTTTTTTTTCGTTTTTTATTACAAAAATTTTTGTGGAAATTAAAATTTTTATAAATTTTCTTAAATTAAGGTAAAGCTCAAGCTCTCTTTAAAATAAATAAATAAATGAATTTCAAATTTTTGGAGATATTTTTTATTTAAAAAGAAAACTTCGAAATTTTCTCTGAGTGCATAAGGGGGACGAGAGAGACTGCAAGGAGAAGCCCCCGACGACGATGACGACACAAAAAGCAGAGACGATTGCGACAAAGAGAACGCCGGAACGGAACGTGAACGTTGCAATCGTTCGAGGGCCTCTGGCTCGCTTTTTGGCAGGCAGCGCGGCCAGTCGTCAGTCAGTTGGCCAACAAACTGGTAGCGTCTGGTGTGGCGAGCCAACAAAGGCTGGCAGGGCGGCCAACACCGGACCCGGCCCGAATCTAAAACCCGGGTCCGGGTTGGATCCGCAACATCTACGGCTGCACGGCTGCCAATTGAGCGGAGTTTGGGTCTCAATTTGACGCGTAGCCAGCCAAGAAGAGTGGCCGGCCAACAACAAAAACAGGTGACGCAGGATGTGGCCAACAGAAAAGTAAGAAGGAGGACCAGGCAAGAGAAGGAGGAGGAAACGCAGCGCACTTTTTTTTTGGCCACGGTCCGCGTTTGATTAGCCAACTCAAACATCAGGGCCAAGATCAGGGCAATTGACAGCTTTGCTCTGCATCTCTTTCTCTTTCTGTTTGGCAATGTCACAATGGCATACAGTGGTCTATGGTCACTATGGATGGACCACAGTGGACTCTGGGCAGTATTAAACATCTGACGCTGCCCGCCATGATACTCGCGTCCGTCTCAATTATACAGCAAATAAGAAACAATAAATAAACAATTAAAAAGAAGGAGTATTGCTCCGCAACTGCCAACAACAACCGTCAACAACCAGTTGCTCTGTGGTGCTAAAAAGTGAGTGTGTAACAGTGTGTGCCTTGTGAACTGAACTGACCAACGTGCCAAAAATGAAGGGAGGAGGTGGGCCATCTGGCTCGGACCCAAGCAACAAGAACAACTGCGATTTGGCAGGAGCTGATTGTTTCATCTGGCCAGGCTTAATGAAAGGACTCGTCCAAGACCTGGCCACAGCCGCATGTCAAACGCAGCCGGGCAAATGCCATCAGAGCCCCAACGGATAAGCATCGCCAGAACATCGGATGATGCTCCTCTCAATAAAGTTTATAACAATATTCAACCATGAAAAATAAACTAAATATTGCTCAAAGGACTATGATCCGTTACGGGGGCCCTAACAACAGCTCCCGAAAAATATAATAATATGTTCAATAAATAATAATACAACTTCAATTCTGAATGACACGAAAACATAACAATAAACAATTGTAATAATAATTACAAAATAGTAGACAACGAAAAACATAAAACCACAAAAAAAAAGATACTTAACCTATAACTATTATAAAAATAGTTCAAATAGTGCTTAACCCAAATATGAACAATAATCGCATATAAAATAACCAAGAATTACTCAAGAAGCAATAAATTGAGCAATTATTATATAACCTCCAGCAAATATGAAGTTATTAATAAATAAAACCAAGCAAAACAAAAAACATAATATTGCAGTCCAATACGTCTATAATCCAACGTCAAAAGTTTTATAACGCAATGAAAATTGTTTTATAATAAGCACTTTCAAACATTTATAATATAATTAAATCAGCGCAGGATGTCTTCGGCGTGGTGAAAGCATAAGATGTAAAACACAGCTAAAATGGAAGGAAAGTAGTTATTTGAAGGATGAGAAAGGAGTGGAAAACATCTGAGCGCGGAAAAGTGCTGGAAAATGGTAAGTTAAAATTATCAATTTTGTTTTAATTTTTTGTTCAAACAAGTACAAGACATGAGATAGAACAATATTTCACTAATTACGAAGAACTTAAGCATATTTATCTTAAAACGGGTAAACTAAATAACGGTTATATTATAGACAAAACACTCTCTTATAACATAAAGAATAAAGACAATAAAAAAATTTGATTTGTTTAGATAGCGGTTATGATTAAACTCAATAACTTACTAAGAGTCAAATAACCCCTTAAATCGTAATACAGAGGATGAACGCACAGCCTGGGAACAGCCTGGCGCCACATAAATAAACCCAAATGCAACACAGAAATGACAACGGGAATGCTAAATGCGCCGCAGGAGGGCGTGCCCGGTGAAAGGACCATCCAACATTTAGTCAGGGTTCCACAACGAATTTATAGGCCTGGCCAAAAATGTTAAAGAGCTCTCCCACAAGTAGAAATCCCTAAACCTCCTCCTTAGATTCCTGTCACTGACTGCTTATGGTTCAATGAACAGCCATCAAGGATGAGTTGTCTGGGTTAGACGAAGATTCCCAACCAGACCTTTAGCCAGACCAAAATCCCACCCATTCTCATTCCACAATCAAGGAAGATGAAACGAAATTCATATATCAGAAATTAATCTCATAGACAGATTTATTCTTTTATGACTGAACTCAAACAAACACGCGTTCTTACAAAAAAAAAACACCAGAGTACATTGTACTCTATACAATTAAGTTTTAAGTAAATAAGTAGTATTATGCCTTCGACTTTTGTAGTTCTCGATTGGAACCATAAAATTGCCTAGTTTTATGTTGGATTTTCGAAATTTTAAATGCCCAAAATTTATGAGCGTCTGCACTGGAGAAGAACAACAACAGGCAGCAGCAATCAAAAAGTTGTACAAAGAGATTTACGATCCATTAAAACAATTAAAAATCTACCCATTGCTCTCTAAGTAGTTAATTGGCCAGAAAGTGGAAAGCAAGCAGGGGAGCCAAAAAATTAACACGACATTTAATTGCCAAGGACTTAGAGCAGGACATTCAGGCAGAGCATTCCCTAATGTCTTCACATTAATTTTGTCTTCGCTTCAGTTTATTTTTTCTTTTGCATTTTTTGCTGGCAATGGTCGAACATTTTTTTGCATCTGTTGAAAAGGAATTTGTTGACACCAACAATGTTTCGGACATCCTGGCAAATAATTCTCTTCTATTTTTTTTTCGCCAGGAAATTGGCAACTAAGCCAAGCCAAGTCCAAGGCATTGTGTCCTTTCCCCTTGACTGGGTGCATATGTCCAACAAAAGGTCCTCCCATTCCGCCGCTGGTCACTTCGCTTTATCTTTGTTTCCGCCAGATATTCGATTCCGGTATTCAAATTCCGATTCTGTGCAGCGAAAGGCTTGAAGATTTATGGCCTGCATTGATTTTATTGATGACGGTTCGAATTTTTAAACGTCCGCCAAGTCGAGCAATTAAAACTAATTGAATTGCCAGTGAGAAATTGTCAAAGGAACTTTAAATGCATATCGACGGCGATATTTAAGTTGAACATTAATTCCTACCCCCGGCTGCTTTGTGTGTCGGAATCAGACAAACCATAATTCTCAATGGCCTAGACGGGGGCAAATAAAACAAACAAACAAATAAATCGCCAAATTATGATTTTGGCCAACGTTTCCCTTTGCTCCTTCTGCAGTCATCAGCAGCGAAATAAAAAATAAAAAAAATGCAGAAGAAGAACTTTGTCTGCCTTTGGTCCAGTCCAGTAATGATTTACTTTATTTGCATATTTTTGCACTTGTAAAAATGCACAAACGATTTTTCATTTTCATTTTTCTTAAAACTTATTAGTGCGGCCCGCCATCCTTTGAACTGTCCGCTTCTATTTTTTCTGAAAACTTTGGCTTTCCTTTGCCTCTTTTTTTATAATGATGGTCAGGATGGTCAGGCCTTGGTTATTTATTTGTTATGCATTTGGCCCGCAACTTTGTCCTGCACTGTGTATACGTTATGTGTGCTGGTTGGGGTGGCGACTCCTTCTGCATTACGTATACGCCACATTGTCGCAGTCTGCAATTGGCAGCGCCTACAAGTCGTTAGTAATTTTTCTGCGCTACTGCAGTGGCTAACACTCAACAAATTTTCCATCTTACAAGGCGTTTTTTATGATTTTCTTTCCCTATCTGAAAAATTGTATGGTTTTCTCGGAGAGTTCGTTCAACATACGTTTCTTTAATATTTTCTTTTCATTTTAAATCCAAAGAAACAAAAAAGCTACTCTTAATATAATAAGAAATGAATTTATATTTGCCATCCATGTTTCCCATCAGTGTTAGAGTGTTCAATCTTCTTTACCACAGGCTTTCCAACACTTTTCCCTCTTTTTCACCCCTTTTTTCCTTTCACTTCCGACTTTTCCTGCGGACCTTTTCAACGTTCCCTGGAAGCCAAGCGCCACGAGCATAAACATAAACAAACACAGCCAGCAGTCGACGTCTTCTGCCAAGATTTTTGGCATCATCGTTGGCAACGCATCCTGTGGAATGCGAATCGCGTGTCTGGCGCGTGTATTGGGATTGGGATTGAGGCGTTGGCAGCTCTTTTCCTTTGGCGGGGTGGCGCCTCTAACTTGGCACTCTCATTATGATTTTAATTGCTGACGCACATTTTTGACGAGTTGCCCAGTTCGTCGCTACGTCACCGATTGTTGTTGAATTGGCCAAAGAATTCTTGGCCAGACACCAGCCAACAGTTGCCAACAGGTGTCCAATTATCATTATGATTGTGTTTATCACCCACCAACACACGAATGAAACAAAATAATGACGTTTGATTGGCCTTCGGCAAGGCCGTTTGTCGTTGGCCAAATGTCAACGTCTTGTAAAATTTATTGGCCAATATTCAAGCAATTTTTTTTTGTATTTTGAGTTCTTCAATTTTTTTTTGGTTTTTGGCAGCAGTTAATATTTGCAGCCTGCCAATTTCCCGATTACCATTTTCTATTTATTTTTTCGAATTCTCGGGTGTTTGCATTTTATTTTTGCTGCTGTTTTGATTGACTTTCAGTTTTCATCAGATTTCAGAGCGATGACAACGCTTCTTTAAAAGTATATGCAGTTTTTCACTGCATTTTTAACAGAGATAAACAAAATATATACACAAAACGAAACTTTGTTCCCGATTTTTCGATTTATCAAACCTAAATAAATAAAATATTGCTCGAATTTGACGGTCTTGGATAATGTTCCTCTTAGAAGTGGGAAAAATATAATACGTTGATATATACAGATGATGAACTAAAATGTAATTATTAGCACAACTTTACCTCAAAATCTTCGAACATGTAAATCAGAAATAGTTATGCAAGAGAAATCCATTTTAAAAGCCTTCATTTGTTAAGAAAAAGAATATTCAAGTAGCTTTGAAAATAATATCAAGTGATGTAACAGATAAAGGGTTCTACTTTGAACAATAATGATGATTGCACAACAACATTCCTTCCTTCCTTACCCCCAGTTTAACCCAATTAAAAGCTTGCACATACGATAAATAAACTGCAGGCTAACTGCATCTCAAGGTTCATTTGTTTACCATAAAACACACACGCCGACGTGCAAATTACGAGAAATTCTAATTAAAGCTAAGAAAAACTAACACTAATTACAATTTGTGCCGTCGCCCTATAGACAGAGGCAGAAACACAGACAGATGGAACCAAAAAAAAAAACAAAAAAAAAATCAGAAAAAGAAAAATAAAAAGAAAACGTACCACACATTAAATACATTTTCGATGAAGCAACTGAAATAGATTAAAACGAAATATACAACCAGATGCATCTGTATCCGTGGCCGAATCTGAATCTGTATCTCAGCCAGTGCGAAAGTATTAGTTGTGTCCACGAAAATAGAAACAGCGGCGACGCTTTCAACGCGTCTTTGCCCGCGTCAATTGCGCGTCATCGCAACTCAAAGATCCAAGAACACATAGAGAGCCAGAGTCTGAATACTATTTATATGTTGTATATAATGCAAGTGATGGACCCCCCATCCGTCCCATATATATATCTTTATATATATATATTCCTTTTTGAGGTACATAAGGGCAGGCGACAGTTCTGCGCAGTTTTCTTGGGCTTTTCGCTTTTTCGGTCTTGACGTTTTTATCGCTTTTCTGCGACTTTCGCCTTCGGCTTCGATCTTCGGCGGGCCGCCCGTCAAGTGTGTCCGAAAATAGCAAGGTAAATGAAAAATTCAACACGTCAAAGCGAAGAAAATTCAGCCACCAGCCACCATCAGAGAAAATTTAAACAACAAAAAAGAAATAGCATCAACTTTTAGGCAAGGAAAATGCCGAATTTCGAATTTCGGCTTCTAGAAAAAATAAATAAATGCGATTTCTCCCTCTGAAAACCATTGAAAACGGCAAGAACGTATATAGATGAAAATCAACAACAGCACACAGAAATAAGAAAAATAAAAGCAGGGAGATTTGCTTAAAACGTCAAAGACTTCTGTACATCTATAGGGTATATGATCCTATAATCTACATAGATTTTTTTCTTTATAAATTCGTTCCGCCTGTTTTCTATAATAAAGATTTCCTCAAGGGGCATTAAAAAATATATTGTTTTTGTAGGCATCATTTTATCATCATTCTTTCGGTCAGACTTGTAAGCGTTTGAATAAAAAATATTAACTAAAGTACAATATATACGAAATATAATATAAAAGAGATGAGCAGACTAAGGAAGATCATGAGTTATAAGATCATTAAAACAAATTATTTCTGCATTTAGAGCTAAAGTTGATAATTATACTTAAATAATTTTATTTAAATTTCTTAGAAATTTAAAGAAAAACTATTTTATAAGTTTTTATTAACGGATTTAAAACGGGAAATGATCAGGACTAGATTTCCTGATTTTCTGAACTTACATAAGACCACTTCAAAGCCATCACTCATTTGACACTTTCAGACTTTTCGACCATGTCCAAGAGTGAAAGAATAATTGATGGGGAAGAAAGATGGGGACATTGGCGAAAATAGCCTAAAAGGTTATTTATCATAATTTGCCAATGATTGTCGGACTTAGCTCATAAATTTATTAGGCAGCTGTGTCGCAGGCAATTAAAAGCAAGTGTTGTCCCTTAACATCGATAGGAATCTCTCTGGGATATATTTTTGGACCACTTCCCTTGGCCATAATTTACGTAAATTTAACACGTGCGTGTGAAATTAGAGGCAAAAAAAGGGGTGTGCAAGATGGTAAATTGTCTGGAATGAATAATTTTTGGTGCTGGCCGCAATTGGCAGCTGTTCAATAACACAGTTCCTGACCTAACTCAATGGGAAAAACTCTTTCGAAGTCATTCAGCCGGAGAAAAATGAAGAGGGGGTGCCGAGGATAGAGGCTCATTCCACCAAACGATCAGAGCAGACGGCATGTCTGCCGCGCGTCTTGGGAAACTTATTGGCAAAACTCCATGATCATAAATTATGTCGGCTTCATTTGTTTACGCATCGGCCGGCAGGTGGCGCTTTAATTACATGACAGCATCGGCATGGTGGATTCCCGGCAGAATCTCATCGAGCCGCTTGCCAAGATTCATTGCCATACCGCCCGTCTTTCAGATGCTTTCTTTCTTTCCCATCATTTTTCCTACAATTTTCTTTTTTTTTTTTTGGAAGCGAGCGTGAGAAAAATTCTAGGCAAGATTTTGGCAAGCTACCATCTTGGCAGAGGCCCATTACCCATTCCTCCGCTGAACATCACCACCGTGGCACAGTGGCCCAGGTCTATAAAAATTCAAGATAAGAATAGATAGGCGGTATGAATCAAGTTTGAGGAAGCCGACTCCTAATGAGTTTTGCCAAAATATCTCTTTGTTAATGAATGGTCAATGATTAATAAAATGAGTTAAAATTATTATTTTAAGCCTTAATTATATATAATTAAAAATTATGCTTAAAAAAGCCCATTGCCCATCTAGCTGAATATTAAATTCACAAAAATGTATCCTGATTATATCTAAATCTCTTTCTACACAAAACTTTTATTATATATCTTTCTTTTGGCAGCACCAACTAATGCGATATCTTTTTGTATCCCTTATTGCAGCAGTTAACGGCCCAAAGGAAGCCTCGTTAGCCAATTGAGGAGGAGACCCAGAAAGTCGAGCCGATTTTCCGCTGCAACCGCCGAAGGCCTGACCAACCAATGGCAACGCTCAGCGGCAACGAAGCCCGGCCAATGGGGCGAAATCCAAGGGAAACGGGGGGAAAGCCAACAGCCCTGCAATGCATTTCTTTTGGCAACGTGTCAAGCGGCCCCTCACACACACTCACAACAAAGATACTCTGCCCCGCTCACATGCGCATCGAGTGGTATACGTAATATATCAAGTATACGCCTGTTAGCCGGGCAGTCGGCTTGTGAGTGTGTGCGAATGGGCAAAAGCAGTGTTGCCAACTGCATTGTCGGGCTGCCAGGATACAACTACAACCCCCGACCCGAGGACACCACCGCACTCCTCCCAGCCAGGAGGCCAACGACGAGTCCTTTGCAAGCAGCGTATTGGCTGCAGAACGACCGGCGACAGGACGACCAAACACCAATCAAATCGGGGCTTGTGCGCACTATCCCGGCCGTACGAAAAACAAGAAGCACGGCATCCAGGACCTCGGCCGGAGACCTTAGGCCGATTGCCAAATTCTTAGATTATATGCCAACAGTCTCCTATATTTTAGTTCTATAGATTTAAGCACATGCCCAAGCCAACGCCCCAGAACATCGGGGGGCGTGAAACATTAGTTTATCGATAGAGTTATTAGTTTCAAGCAGAAGCTAAACGAGGAAGATTCAAGAATGCATAAGAGAAAAAGAATAAAAACTGTAAAGCTTCAGAGCGGCACAACAAATCTGATGGTTGTTTTAATTCGTCTTGTCTTACTTGTCTTATTTTAGTACCGAATTAATTTTTCATATACAGATTACCAAGGAAACTATAGACTTAATTGCAAAGCAAACCTAATAACGACATAAAATCTTGAAAAAATGTAATTTTTATTTATTTATTTATTTTTTATTTATGATACTATTGAGAAACGACCGGTAATCTATTATTTTATATCTTTGAAAGAAATGCTTCTTTATTACAAGACTTCGGAATTCATCAAATGCCTTGACTTTTTACCAATCATCCTCCGAGGTGAACGGAAAGTTAGAATGTTTATAAACCGTATTACGGGTATTCTGATCGCTGCGCCATTTCAAATGCTTGACCACCAGAAAAGCTTGAATGAAAAAGACGGCTATATTAACGGCCAAAAGACTGTAGTTTTTGGGCTTTATAACCACTGAGTAACGCGACCATATTAAACCCGTGACCGCCAGGGTGGCGCTCTGGTTCAGCGAAATGTTTGAAGCAGGACGATTCAAGGTATCACTCAGTCCAGCCAGCACCAAGGTCTACATAGAATATAAATAAAATTACATTTGATTAAAGCCTAGGAATCTACAGTCAGTTAAACAGCATTTTACCCATTTAAACGCCGGCGCCCAAAAGAACACAGTACGGGGACCTAATTAAAAAGGAGAGGATCGTTCATAAACATTTTTTGTGGAATAACTTACCAGCTGGGGAATTCCAAAGTGGCTGAGCCGCGACGGGAACAACCTTATCTACAGCACTTATGGTTGCATTGTATAATTTCGACAAAGGTCCTGTACCTTTAGACATTCTCGAAAAATAAAAAAAAATTCTAAACCATAAGAAAAATTTGGAAATTTAATAAACCTAAGTGTGAGTTGCAAGGCTGAGGGAACTAAGATTAATGTTTTCAAAGACTTTTCTACGGTATTAATTAATATTTTAATATGGTTAGCTTTAAAATTAAAAATAATTTTAAAATGCGCGCTGTTATAGGTGAATAGCGGACTATCGATAACAACGAAAACCGCGATAACTTAATTTTAAAACTATGGTCACCCTAACAGAATCAGCTGTGAAATAATAAAAAAAATTGACAAGCAAACCGAATTGAAAATATTTCAACAAAAAACAAAGAAGTTATAATGGATCGCCATAGAAGGGAACGTTCACCTCACAGGGAAAGGAGAAGGGAACGCTCTCCATATAGAGCAAGAAGGAGAGAACACTCACCGTACAGGGAAAAAAGGAGAGAAAGGCAACAAGTGCTGACATACAAACAACTGCAGAAAATGCCATTAAATCTACGAAAAAAGGCAGTTCGAGAAGCCCGTAATCGCAATGAGAAAATCCGGGGAAATCGAAAGAAGTGGAAGAAAGCTCGCCAAGATGTTCCCACCCCTACCCGCCGTCTACAAAATAACTTCGATCGATCCGAACACAATGCCATGCTGGCCAGTACTTCGCAGGAACTACGTCAAATTTTGCAGGATTTTGAGACTCTATCGGACATTCCCCACGATATCACACCGATTGAACTAAGGGGCGAGGTAAGAAGATCCTTTAAGAAACAGAATCGCCAAAAACTGTATTATTTCCAATTTCCCATCAAAGTATATATTAATCGATATGTCAAATGTTTTTATATTTTTCTAGCTCTGTCGGAAATTAAACTGATTGTGCCATTTGGCTATAGCAAATGTTACAAAATCACTTTTTACATAAGTTTTTTATCAAAACGTTTTTTCATTAAATCTTATCTGTCTCTCTTGTAAGTCTCTTCATAAGATGTTATTGATCGTTTCCAACAGCATTCCCATAACAAATTACAAGTTTTTCCACGTATAGCCTTAATCGGCATATTAAATGCCAGACCGCATAATTTCCTCACATTGTTAAAGTCCAGGAGAAGAAACTGCTAATTTTGATTGACAAAAGTAGATCGCCTACAATTTTCAACGAATATCAAACATCATTAGCGTCATGTACATAAATCCAAATAACCAGATACGCCTCCAATCCACTCTTACCGGTTGCAATTAGCACTTTGAGGTGTTCGTTCTTGCAGTGCTTTCGTCACTGAGATTGGTAATTGACTACTGACCTACTGCCGAACACTCAACGTGCTAATTAATGGACTTTGATTATGAAGAACCCGGTTCCCGTTACGCGGTATAATTGCATACCGGGCGTATTATACTACCATAAATTTCATAATTCTAGATAGCCATCGCCGAGGGACAGGCCACAACGATCCGAGTGCGGCGGGATGGTCTCAGCACCCTTACTGTGGTGGTCAGTATTACCTTGAATTTACTTAAATCGCAGCTGCTTGCACTTGCTTTTAGAATGATCGTCAATTGGCCCCTAACAAGGTTTGACTCCGACCGAAAGTCATTCGATATAGTGGCAGGGAAAGTGGGTCAGAATTATTCTGCAAAAAAAGTTCAATAAGTTTTTTATTGAAAGTCCTCAATGTAGTTTCCTGTAATTCTAAACTAAATTTATATTATCATTTCTTATAAGCTACAAAATGTATTAATGAAAAGTTGCATTAGTTAATGTAAGTGCAAATTGATTAAGATTACAAATCAACATTATTTTGCCATTAAAAAAAGTTAGTCCACAAATTCTTTATGAGATATTTGTTCTTCGAAATGGTAATAAGCGATCAATACTTAAACTCTTAAGTTTCGACTATAAAAAGTTGTTTCGCATAATGGCTGTATTAAGCTTAGGCTCTAAGGAACCTACTCTCTTAAAAGCGTAAATGAGCATCTCTTCTTAAACAATCTTTCTCTGGCTTGCAGCTCCACCAGCGCGAGCCGACTATCGCACAGCTAAAGAGGGCAATTGCTTTGATCTCGCGCGCACAGCACAAGCGCAATCAGCGCGAACGGAACGAAGAGCGTCTTCGGCGTCGGGGAATCGCCGACGACTCCAACGATCGACGGCAGAGACAACCTGTTGTGGTGGCAAGTTCCACCGGCGAGTTAGTTCACTCCGCTCAGCGCAACGGGCATGATCATCGCGCGTTCGTCTCGTGGCGATTTTTATGGCGCTGTTTTGGACTGTTAAACGTGGACACGAATCAGCCGATTGACGACCGAAGCTCCAGTGGCCGGGCCACATTAAAGGAGCTGGGAATTAAGAACGCCGCCACCCTAAAGTTTGTCCATCGTGTCAAATATTTCGGTCGTCAGCGACAGAGTTAAAGGTAGCCAAAGCTAATGATACATACGATTGTCAACCGTCTTCGAAAGTCGGGCAGCAAATCGCGGTCAATATGGATCAACTGGTTTGGCTTTCGTTTTGCATTTCACTTGGATTTGCGCTCCTTGGAAGTTTCTCTGCTGGTCTGCCGTTTGAGGATGGCAACAACAACAACGTAAAGATAACACGCCGGAGTCTAGAGCTGACCCAAACCATTAATATCCAGCGTCAGGAGTACATGCAGCGTCAATGCGAACTTCTAGGGGACCACACACAATCGCTAGAGGATCTCTCCGAGCTGCAGATGGATCACATGATCGTGGACAGAGAACATAAGCTGCTTTACTGCTATGTGCCAAAGGTATGGTTGAATCGTCTTACTTCCCTTCCTATAAAAACGCTGGCTTGGCAAATTAGGGTCCGAGGAAGGGTTTTATCGTTTTTTTTACTAATTAAAATTTTGAACCTAATTTTGATTAGTAGTGGTTCGTTGAATTTATTTTCTTTGAATTTAAAAAGATTTTGCTTAAATCTTGTGTGTGTATTCAAATTCAATTTCTTTGCAAAATGCTCAGTCAACGACCCATTAACATTATTCTTTTTCCTAAATGTATATCAGTTGCTTTTTTCTTTAAACAAGTTTCTTTTGTATCAAATCTTGAATCTCTCTATTAACCACTTTAACTTGATCGCACATCAAACATCAGAAATCACTAAACAAAGTTTGCGGTTGCCATGTCGCCCATTGAAATCTCCAAGAAGTCAAAAATCAGCAGCTGTGTCTCAGTTTTCAGTTTCTGCCTCTGCTTTGTTTATAGAAACTCGTTTTTTTTTCATTTTCAATTTAGAAGCACATGTTGAGCTTCTGGTGATCTTGCGGCTTGTGGCAACGGCATGAATGATTTCAATCGAATGTTGATTTAACCCACAAGTTGATTTAATCTTTTTGATATAACATCACAGACAGTCCTTCAAACAATCAGATTTCAAACGTTTAGCTCCTTACAGTGCGACTATTATGAGTAGATTTATAGAGGGTTTTTATTACGAGTGCATTTGATTGCTAAGCTCGCGCCACTTCTGGCTTATCGAAAAGGGGAGTCAATTCTCGTGTCAGCTTTATATATATACGAATATATGTGCATACAATATAGTGCTGATTCCACGCGATTTAACGATCAATTACAGCGGCAAGAATTCCACTGCAAGCAGCAATAACAATCTCTGTCAAATTGGCGGCAATTATATTAAAGTTTTTCTGTGTAAGTCGTTGCCATTTCATTAGCATTTTCCAGTCATCTCGAATTGCTAATCTCCTAAGTTCAAGTCAAAGGCCAATGTCTTAAAACGTCTGCGTATTGTTTCTGTCTTACTATTTGACTTCAATTGATAAGCCTAATTTAAATATTTTTATAAACAGAATAAGATTTTTTATTGAGACCCTTTGGTTTCATCCTACGACGTTCAAGCCACAGATAGCGATAATCTATCTATTAAATTAAAATTGAGTTCCCCGCAAGTGCCTCTTTTTAATTTGCCTAATAGGATTAGGAAATTAAATTTTTGGAAATCAGCTGTGGGAAATGGCTTTAAGGTCTTTTCTTATCAACCAATAAGATATTAGAAAACATCGAAACTATAAGATTAGATTGCAAGGTACCGGTTTTTTTCTTAGGTGTTTGAAGCTAAGTGAAGTGTGACAAGTGAGTTACCGAAATAGCCCAGTGTTTAATATTTTGCCGTTGCCCTTTGAACCTTAATATCTGCCTATTCATTATGGTAACTCGCACGATTAAGTAACTGCCAGTGTTTATGTTACCGTTATCAGACTTTCATAAATGGGTATGTATGGGTTAGTATGGGCTCGATACGCACTAAGGTTTCAGTGGATTTAAAGATTAAAGAAAAATTTCCTGTGTGAGGATAATTTATAGCCCTCTAATTTTTTTGCTTTAAAAAAAAAGCGACAAACATTTTACATATATTCAAGAATTAAAGGCGACTTTTAAACTTATTTCTCTGAAAAATAATCACTCTGTTTACTATACTCGGTTTTAGCTGAAACTATCTGATCTCGTAGAAAGCACTTAGTTAAAGCCAGTCCCCAAGTTCATTTTATAGAGATTGTTATACACACAATGCTATTGAAGTGTTCCCCTTGCTTGGGGGCGTGTCTGTGGAACATGCCACCTGAATGCCTCGACTCACGTTCCCTGTTATCTTGGCATTTCTTCAATGACTATCATCGGACATAAGCGCGACTGGTTTCTATTTCACCACGCAGGAGGGGTCAGTGGAGCGTTTACAATTCTCAATTACTGGTTTCGCATTCTCATTCGCCACTTGTTGAGTGGCTAGCTGGCTTTACATTTTCCCGGTCCATTCTTCCATGAAGCCGTAAATTGTTTATGTTTACCCTTGGCCAATAGCCTCTCCACCATCTCTTTCCCTCAGCCCCCCAAAAAATGGGGGCTCGCCACTCTGGACGGAAACTTTATGTTACCATCGCGTGTTGCTTTAGTGCCCATAAAGAAATTGCGTTAGAGTCAAAATGTTGCGTTTATCGCTGCTTACGTATTGGGAGGTTTTCATATATTATTGCTGACCTTTAAAATGATCATGTAATCTGTATTAAAAAGGTATTAGCAGTCTGAAATATATCTCAATAGTTTGAAATATTATTATAATTTCTTAATAAAGTTTTTGTGACTTCCTAAGATGAAATATAATTTATAGGAAGCTATGTAAATCGATCTCATTTTAAACTACAAAATAAAACAAAGTACTGCTGACTTTTCTGAAGTGTTTAAATTTTTTTTTTTTAACATTTTAGAAAAAAAACTGAAACTGATAGAAAGTTTGTATATAAACGGACGATCATTATTGATTAGTGATTGACAATGTAGGATTTGACTGAGGGAAATCTCAACCTTTTGTTTAGAAAACATTTATGCCTTTCACTTTAGACGGACATTTTGACATATCTTAACCTCGTCGCTGATCTTTTTGGGTTTTTTGAATATTGCCTCACATTTTTACCTCATCCACTCCTAAACGTAGATCTGCTGTATATGGATTTGTTTGTTTTTGTAATGTGAAATGTTTTTGCGGTGTTTAATTGTGCTCGACATTGCCCGCCCCACCAAATGTTTGTATATACTCGGGCACGTATTTACGTGCATAGTTTACGTCCATGTTGTTGTTTTTCCTAGTTCTCGTAAGTTGACTTCAACAGCTTGACTTATTGCCCAATGCGTCCAAATGTAAGGGAAACCCATCCGGCCATTTCTCTTGGCGAAAATTATAATTTATTGCGCTAGGCAATTAAAGCCAAAGTAATTCAACTCATTGTATTTGAGGAGATTTCATTTAACGATTAACCCTCAGAAAGCTGCTAAAAGGTAGGGCACTTGTCTCTTGTTTCTTAAACAATGTATAATGTTACAAAAACATCTTGAATTTCTTTGGAAATTTGATTGCCAGCCGCTTTCGCTTTTATATAGGAACGAATTTAATTGGCTCGGTGGCCTCTTTTCCACTGAATGATTTCGTATTTGTGAATCTGAAAATAATCTTATAATTAGCGATAACATATACGCCTCAACACCTACTTAACTTCATTTTATTACATGTCCAGTTGGTTATTGATCATGAGCGCTCTATTTACTTATCATTAATATTTAATTACAGTATCATTGCTAGCAATTAAAAAAATACCCAATTCATAACCCATTTTAATGACTTAAAAATCAATGAATAGTTTTAAAATGAGTGTACAGGGTGACACCGGAACGTAGAATTATCAGTCTATTATCTATATTAACAGCTCATTTAGACTTTTATGGAAGAAGGGCTGATGTGTTCCTGCTTACCGGTGATTCCATATAATTATGTACGTTTACTTGGAAAATGCGCAAGCAATGGGTGAATCACCCAATAGCCCCGAAATCAGTAGTATTCTTTGAGAAAAGCTAACCTTCGGACTGAAATATTTCATAATGTAAACGAAATGAAAGTATTTCTATTGTTTATTTTGTTTAATTACGGCTGATGAATAGTGTTCAACTAAACACAAGTATATTTCTCTATTTTCCAGGTTGCCTGCACGAACTGGAAACGGGTGCTGATGATGCTTATGCATAAGTGGAACAACGGAACTGATCCTCTGCAGATTCCGGGATCTTTGGCGCACTCAGTTGGAATGTTCACCAAGCTATACGATTTATCTGAAGAGGAACAGCATAAAGTTCTCAGCGAGGAGTATACTCGATTTATCCTGGTGCGACATCCTTTCGAGCGTCTACTATCGGCATATAGGAATAAATTGGAGGGGGATTCCCCCAGTGCTCGGTACTTCCAGTCGCGTGTTGGTCGTCAAATCGTTAAAGAATTGCGACCGGGAGCTACCAACGATTCGTTGGAGCATGGTGACGATGTCAGCTTCGGGGAATTTATCCAATATCTAGTAACTCCGGAGCTGAGTCGAGCCAATCAATCAGATTACAATGAACACTGGGAGGTTATATCTAAGCTATGCAATCCCTGCGTAATGAAATACAATGTAGTGGGTGAGTTTAAATTTCATGTTACCAAGAAAGCATTGATTAACATACGCTTATCACCTTAGGCAAATACGATACTCTTCTGGACGATTCCGCGCTAGCTCTCTATTTGGCTGGAGCTAACAATCTAACATTCCCCACTGGCCACAAACCATCAAGCACTCGGGCCAATCTGCGCAATTACTTTGATCCCTTGCCCATCGGTGCCATACGAAAGTTGTACGATATCTATGAAGAAGACTTCCGGCTCTTTGACTATGCATTGGATGAAGTCCTTGGCTTTGAGTTTGGCTGACTCTCTCTACATGCTCTCTCTTTATATATATATTTTCAAGTCACCACGATAACGCTTTCCCCTGGAAAATATTGTGATCTTAGACTAGGACTCATAGGATTAAGTGAACTCCATTGCGAATATTATTTTAGTTCTGTTTACCTCTCCGTGCACAAATGTATCCAAGGGTGTTGATAGTAGGACTTTATAAATAATGTTTGTTTTTCCATGATTTAATTATTTTTAAGAAACTTAATGTGTGAATTCATTGTATAATGGTGATGAAACATCCAATAGGCGTCATCTGTTAGTGTTTAGTTTATAAAATATGGGTCAAATATAGTTTAAACGTATTAATTGTAACTGCCAATTCGATAAGATTACTCATTCCTGTAACATTGTACAATTCCGTTTTCCCAAAGTTGCCAAGGCTAAACAACTTTCATTCTACAAATTTAAATACACCTGCTGTAGTCAACATATTATTGAGAATATATGTTATTGAACTTAAACTTGCACATTTTTGGAACATTTAACCCTATAAAGTATATCTTCCTTTTATTTGGCTGTTTGTGCCAGCTTAAAAATCAAACTGAAATAATTGATTTTTGGACTTTTGATTGTATCAATTATGAATGTGATTGTGTCATAATTGATAAATGTTTTTTAATTGATAGTGTAATGAAAGCTGAATCTCGATAGAACTTAGAAAAATCATTGAATGGGTAATACTTTTTAAAAGTATCCTCGACAAAAAGAAATCAAATTATTAAAGCAAAAGCTATTGTTTTTTTAAATATTTATAAATTAATATTTTCGTTTGTTATAATCCAGATCAAATTAGAAGGTATAACGTAGTCTAAAGACAGAATCAACCTATCAAATCTACGTCAGTTTATTGCTTTCTCAATGGCGTTCGTGAACTTTGTTATCAGTTGAAAGCTCGCTGATAACATTGAATAGAAAATAGTTTTTCTTTAAAAATCTCCCTTTGATTGCATTGGAAGGAAGCTTTCATGTTTTCGTCAGAGCGAAATAAAAAGCTCAATCAACTCGACGGCGTCGTAGGTTGTTTATCACCAAGACATGGACAATTAGTGGTAAGCGTGTGCTATATATACATACATATATAGGTATATAGAGGCGACCCATGATCAGCGGTCAGATGAATTTAAATACGCAATATTGCCAATAAGCGAAGGCGAGACGGCGCCCAACGCATTCGGGGAATCTTGGCAAACGTGGCAAATATCTGATAGATACTTTTATCACCGTGATGGTTCCGAAATAAACCAAGATAAACATACACCTGCCAGGCCCCTTCCGGCGAAATCGGTTCAAGGGCACCGCAGGTTAAGAAAGTTACGATCCATTTGAAGAACTAGATCCACTTGTTTCTAAATCGTTGGTGTTATTTAAAAATAAATTAAAACAATTGTAGAATTATGATATTACACATTACTGTAAAAATACTACAATATTTTGATAAAAAATATCAACCATATTTTATATATTTGTTGCAGTGCCTTCAATTAACTTCCGTTTTCGTTATTTTGGTTTATTCAATGACTGCTTCGTTTATTCGCTACGTCTGTTTTTCGCTTTTTTTTGGCTGTCTCAATAACAAACTTTAAGTTAGACATTGACAAGACATTCGAAATTATTATTGTTTTTTTTGTGTGTGTTTTGGGTTGCGTTTGCTTTGGCCGAACAATATGCTTATAGATATATGTGTTGTATTTTTTGTGTGCGCGACAAGCAAGGCAAACGTATCATATTCTCACGATTCCTCCACATTCGTGCTCTTCCCCGCGGATCATAAGTGTCAGTCCTTGAATTTTCGCCACGATTTCCGCATCGCTGGCACGCCTTCTGCATTCCGTTCCGCCCGCTTAGTCATTGTAGCTGTAGCGCTGCTTCACACTCCGGTATTTCTTTAGGGAGTAGAGGGCCTCCACCTCCTTGGCCAAGTAGCGGCCTTGAGCCAAAAGAGCCACGATCTTCTTGGGATCCTGCTCATCCTTGTGGTTCATGAAAGCATCGTGGATCTGCTTCCTGAACTTTTGCGGCCCGTTCAGGCCGGGATATTCACGGCCCAAATACTGCAACTGCAAGTGTTTACGCAATGTCAATTTTTGTGGGTTCATTTCAGGTGGGTGGGGTGGTGGTGCACGTGCCACCCGGAAGATGCAGAACTTACGTGCTTGTAGAGGGTAATGACTTTCGAGCGCAGCTGTGACATCACCAGTGGTCAGCGGAATTTGTTTGTTTGTTAAATGCAAGTTATCAACTAAATTTGTTGCAGCTTTATTCAGCTTTCGATTAATTTATTTCAAGCGAAGTGAATCAGACGACTGGTAAAGGGACTAACGCGTTACGAACTCTCCGCTAGTGATGGCAACGTGAACCACCTTTTGGTGGGAGCCACGAATGGTTAGAGAAATTAGTTTATTCGTGACTCATGAAATAATTTGAAATGTTTTATGAAAAATTAAAAAATTATTTAAAACAAATACCAACGATTATTTCTAATGTCAATCGATATTTAAACCATTAATAAATACAACATTAAATACATCGGCTAGAGTAAAACTTACTCGCCTTAAGTGGATAAGCAGTAATGTATATCTCAAACAAAAAGCAGCGAAAGTAATTAGAGTACGATTTTAATCCTAAATTTCAGTTTTTCATTTCACTTCATTTTCAAATGCTAACCGCTAAATTGTACGATGTACAACTATCGCACGTAGCCAAACGCTACCAGACCGCCGAAAACTGCTGGCTGCGCAGCCCTAGTCGGTCAGCTGTATACGAAGAAGAAGAAACGATGGGAGTGTTTTCGTTCGAAGCGAAATTATTTTTATTATTTTCGCGCTAAATAGCAAGCGGTTAACGAGTAAATCGACTTTTAATCATTACCGATTAGTTACAACTCTTGCTGTGATAAAAGGGCAGCTCGCTGTCTCGATGAAAAAGCGTGAAAATACGAAGCGAAAATTGAGACACCCGCGACCTCTGATACAAAGTGGGAAAAATCGAACCTGTGTGTGTGTGTGAGAGAGTGTGTTGCATCGTATAGTGTGTGTGTAGAATAGTAAATTTAATTTAAAATTAAAAAGCCATTCGTAATGTGTGTAATCCATAATCGTAAGATACCCATATATATAGCCTGCGATCGGTGATAATGAGTGCGACAATGAGTAATCGATAATCTCAACTGCGAAACCTGAGTATCAGCAGCAATAACAACAACACATTAACAAAAACAGCAGGCACAGCTAATCCTCCCCGCCCACATACACACACACACGCTGGCAGAGATGGAGGCACTGGAAGTGGAGGACACCAGCGACGACAGTCTGCCCATGGGATTCCCAGAAGTGGGCACCTGGAACAGCACTCACAATGTCTCCTTGAACGACATGAATCTGGATGCGCGTATGGTGAGAATACGCTTTGATATTCATTAATTTACAATGCGAAACTAAATACGCCTCGTATGTACATATGAGGGCATATATAATTTGATTAATACGTCTGGTATGCCAGTGAATCAACCGACAAATGGCTTTATCTCCACGTTTAATGCTTTAATGGCCGAAGAGAGAAGCGGGAAGCTTATCAATCAGTGGGGTTTGGTCATTGACACACACTGCCCCTTCTTTCTGATAAGATAACTGGAGTCTAGGATGATTCTATATAATTCTTATTCCCTACATTCTTTGCCGATCATCTTTATTTATAATCCTTAGGTACTTCCGAAATAGGCGATAAAAACGATCAGTATTGCATCTCAAAGTTCAAATCTTATCTAACAATATTGGGTTTACATCCATTTCATAAGTCATTCCCATAATCCCATTTATACTCTACTTTATGGTTTATAACCTTAGGGGGTTAACTTCGAAATTAATTTTTTGAAAAAATAATAATAATAATAAAGTTAAGTGCATTACAACAAGACCCAATAAATTTTTTATTTAGTAATTAGGTGTGCGCCCTATTATGAGAACTCATAAAAACAAAATGCTCAACGCAAAGAATTTTGCTTTTAACTGATAAGAATTTTCAGATCATTTTTCAAATTAAATGCTGTTTTCTTAATAACAAAAACATAATAAAGTTCTACGTTTCATTTGAGAATTATAAAAGTTTAAATATTTTTCATTTTTCAAGCCTATTGTTTAAATCTTTCAATCTTTATGAACAGCTTACAAATTTTACTGAGAAAAGCTTGTTTACTCATTTTTCCTGAATTGGAGTACTCATACGAGTATAGGTAGTTCATATTATGTACTATATAGAAAAATTGAACTCCTGTCAATTAAAATTATATAGAAAAAGTACTTAGACTTCATAAAAATTCACCATCCTTTTCTATGCGTACCTATGTTCCTTTCAAGTAAAAAATAGCAAGTGTAGGATTATTACTCCAAATTATTCTGATTTGTTTAGGCTCTTTAATAAACATCTTAATTCAGCTTTTCTTTCAATATAAACGACTCTTTTTCATTAAATCTCCGATGTTTGAAATTCATTGTAATTTTGCAAACTGCCAAACAAAGCTGCTTAAAGGTAACCAAAATTGAAACAAAGTTCACAAGTTTATAAAACACAAAGCACTCATAAGAAAGCTGTCAATCCTTTAGAGCTCCAAATCAGTAGCAGTCTATACCTCGTTTTTAGCACACAATCATCAAACAAATCATCAAAATTTTTATATTTCGCTAAGATATTCTGGCAGCGTTAGTTTTCGTGAACTCAAAGGAAAGCCCCCAAGAGGAGTTAAAAACTTTACGAACCGTGCCGCATCGTAAACTTCCTAATTTCGGCCAGAATTTCTGGACGTATGCGAGATATGCAGCCGTTGAGAATGCTGATCCACTGCCTGGCTACTAAGCAGGTACAGATGATTACCCAAATACGTCGGTCCAGTGGTGGCAGCAGCTATCCGGAGGTGGTCTTTCCCGACGACCAGGACATCGAACCGGAAGATGAACAAGAATTGATGGATCCTCAGTATCCGATCCTTCACGGCCGTCACACCGATCTCTTCTACATGCCGCACTGCGTGGGTCCGGCGTACCAGGGCCTCATCTCTTCAGTTGATCAGCCATATGAAACTTCCTACTATGCTGCGGATGGGCAGTTGTTGGTCGAGGGAAGCAATAGTGTCCTTGGGTCTGTAGTCGCACCTACCGACATGTGTGTCGTGGCGTGCCCCAAGCTCTTGGTAGCCTCTATGCGTCGTCTGTTCTATCATCCGTACGCCGGTTTTGGCAGCTCGATGAACTTCAGCATTATTCGGCTGCGATTCAAACAAGCGGATATTGACTTTGCTCTTCGGTCCTTTATACTTTTCGCTAACCACACTGCGCGCGAAATAATGCATAACGGCTACTGGGCGGACTTTATCAATCCGCTTACTGGTCGCGCCCACTTCCGGGCTGCCCACTCCAACCGGAAACTATGTCGCGAGGCCCAGTTCTTTGGCCGTGGGTTGTCCTTAACCAATAACAATGGCTGCACCATTATCAAGGAAGAAAAAAGCGACCAGTTCACCGGCTGCATCTTCACGGACACACCCTGCAAGGTCCTCGAGTCGTGGTGCTCTTAGAGGATCATGAGATCGCCGCACAACTGCTCATTTCCATGTCTGTGATTGTGTACGCATTAAAATCGAGTTAAGAAATCATGTCTCCCAACGACGAGGACTATTTCCGCAAATTTTACGTAGTGCATTTTGATCATTTTCATTTCGATAAAGCCGATAGGGGCAGTCCCTTTACATTACCTGTATATCCAAATTTTGAAATTTTACAATTTGATGATGTCTTTTGTAAATGAACAAGTGGCTGTTAAATCGGGTTTACCACCTCTCTTAAAAAGGCGATGATAAATGGAGCCGGACATGTTGAGCATTTGCATATTGTTTTATAATTTTAGAAAATATATTCTCCTGGCTATTCAGATGTCTTTATTTACTGTATATAAAAAACTTTATCATAAAATGACAAAATAAATATAGAAATGTTGATTTTATTGCTTAAAATAATGGGATGACTTAGGCAGCAATAAGCTTATATTGTAATAGTTGGCAAACAAATATTTACTAATGATCGTCAAAAGAGTATAAAAATTTTCTTTATATAAAAAATATATAATTTTCTTTTCAGATATGGCTTCTAGCTTCGCTGCTGACCACAATCACCTGGGTGACGTACATCACCTTCTACAATTCTCGCGTGATTGGCATGTTGATCACAAAGATAGCCAACCGATGGTTTATCAAGGGCGCGTATTTTAAGATTGGTTCGGTAGCCTTAAATCCACTGGCTGGAAAGATTATGTTTCGGGATTTTGTGTATATTACCTATGACTACACAGTGCGAGCGCAAGATGGATACTTCATATTCCGCTGGTGGCGCTCTTATGTGCCTAAGGATGTCTCAGAGGGTGAGTTGGAACTATAAACTAATATAGCTTTTAATTAATATTACACATTTGTAGATCTTTCCCATTCGGACACGAGACTATCGGTTCAGCTAAATGGTTATGAGCTGCACATATATAACAGATCTGACTTGTACGATACGTTGGAGAAAGCCTTTGGGCTAGAACCATCACTGCTCATACCGACGGATGTGGTGAGCAATGAGGAGAGAAACAAGCTGAAGGAGCACCACATGAATTTGGAAAATGCACGGCAAAGCCAAAGGATTCAGAATGTAAAAAATTCGGAGGCAATGCAGGCTACTACTTGGCGAGATTTGATCCCAGTAATCAAGATTGACGTCTGCTCCGGACGTTTTGTTTTTGGAAACCGATTAACTCCTACCACTCTTTCCATTTCCGTGGAGGAGGCCCATTGCACATATAGTACCAAGCCAGCTGTCTGTAGATTGGATCACTTTATGCATTTTGTTAAGGCCAAAGTCGAGAATGCCAAAGTGCTCTTTTGTCCGAGTCCCAAATATACTGGTTTGATTGATGAACCACCTCGATATATGGGCGAAGGCTTTGTGGTGATGATGTCCAATCAAATGGATTTGTATTTCTACATGGATGAGCCAGGCGTCGTGCCGGAGCAACCCGTACAGATTGTCCTCCCCAACGGCGATGTGGTGGAGCCTTCACCTCCAGTCTGGGGCATAAATGCTAGGTGCCTTAAAGGAACCGATTTCAGTTATGGACCTTGGGCAGATCGGCAAAGAGATCACCTGTACAAGTATTTCTATCCTTCTGATTGGAAGGAGGCGGAAGTGACACCCACTCCTCAGCCTGGGGAACTTCGTAGCTATCAATCCTTCGATGTTACCTTGTGCGTGCTTAATGAAGCCACCATTGACATTCTCTTTTCAAAAGAGAAGGAAACGAATGCTATGCACATAACCGTGGGACCGGCTTCATATGTAGAGGTTACAATTCCATGGGTCACCCAACCTGATGGTTATACGTCCAAAATCCAGGGACAGCTCTTTCACGTTGAGGCAACCACATCGTTACAATATCGCAGCTTGGCCGAATTTGAATCCTTAGAGTACAAGGTGCGAATACACTATCCGACCAAATGGAACGCACCACAAGATTGGAGTATCTCTCTTTCCGGCTGCAAAACTAGTGCTTTCATTGTGTACAAACACAAGTGCTTCTTCCAAGACCTCATCGAAGATTGGGCGAATAAAGCTAGGCCGGATATACTCAGTTTTGTTCCGTACACATGCAACTTCAGCATCCGACTGCACGAGTTTGAAATCCTGATGCTGTGCAACGAGTATAATTGGATCGATTGCAGTAGTGCCAACCAGGAGAACAACCATTTGGCCTTCTGTGGAGATGTCTTTGAGATGAGTTTCGCCTTGCCATTCGATGATTTTCTGCCGAAGACGGTTACTCTGAAATTTTGGATCCACGGCGAGGGCTTGGACTTAAGCTTGTACGTACCGGAAGTGTCCTCGGTGCGTCCTATAGTTTTAGCCATAGACGAGAATGCACGACTGCTAACCAGGGAAGGCAAACTGATTCGGCGCCCAGAGTTGTACACGAAGAAGTGGCGTAAGATTTGCCAGCGTTCTGCCGGTTGGATCGACTGTTGGGCAGTGCCAATTTTGGCGCTGTCTATTCAGTATGTTTATCATCCGGTTCCGCCGTTAGGACCGGATCCCCAGGCGGATATAACGACTCCGGAAAAAGAGGAGATTCTACTTAGTCCTATGCGAATACCAAAAGTTAGAAAATCACCTGTGAGTAGCTGGCAGCAGCCACCGGAGCAGTATAGTAAGTTTGATCCAGGAACATTAGCTGCGGATCATGTTACTGTGGAACTGGAGATTGGTAGTTCAGTGCTAATGGCCTATGGAAATGTTCTGCGCAACTTTATCAACCTTAAGGAGAATATTTTCGGTGAGGACCAGAATTTCACGGACATGGAACAGTCGAATGTAAATATGAAGGAGCCGGGAGCTGCACAGCTAAATCCCAAGGATCAACTCTTGGCCAAAGAAAAAGAGCTGGCCAATAAATCAATTTCGGAAAATCAAGCGCCCGAAGAAAAGCGGAAACCATTTGATCCTCGGCTATATCGTCCCCTGGAGGTGATGGTTTCTGTAATTGTGCATGATATTCAAGCTCATGTTATGAAAAATTGCAATGACGATGATCCGCCGTGTCCAGTTGTTTTAATTGAGAGATTTGGCTTCGAAATGAATAAGAAATATCATGAAACCACATTGCAGGTATTAGTGAGTCCGTCGTATTTGCTAGCCTCGGATTGCTTGCAGCGTTCGCAGCGGGAGCAGCATATAAACCAGGGCCACCTGATGCTGTCAGCAGTCCAAGTTAGAGGACATGCCATGTTCAGTAATGAGGGCTGTGCTCTGGACGAAGATACTTTAGAATACTCCTGGCTTGTTGAAGTACAACTGGGTAAACTTACCGGTAAACTAACTCTGCCTCAGCTGGTGAACGTGGTCACAGGTTTGGAGACACTCATCCTTCTGGCCATTGACCCCGAGAACTGTTTAAAGTCACCCAAGACAGTAAGGAACTGCCACCACGGTGTGCCGAGCAATTTGTGCCCACAAACTAAGGAGGAGAAGAAGTACAAGTGTCCGTCATCCGAGGATATAAAGTACAAAATGACTCGCGTTTCGGTAGATGCAGTTGATGTCTATCTGATAGAAAGTGGGACTGCCTTGCATGCCTGGATCTCGCCCATTCGCCTAGCTAATTGTAATCTTCACGGCCAGCGCGTCAAGTCGGGGGATCTCTGGGCTGCTGCCTTCCATATTACTGCGCCTATTCATGCTGCATACGACAAATTCATCATTCAACACCAACACCACAGGCAGTAATCGGTCAGGAAAACTAAGGCGAGCGGATCAAGACTCCTTAAAGTCTCAGGATGCTGGAGGATCACATTACGCGACGCATGGAAGATCTGGGAAGCGCAGCTCAAACTCCTTTTCACGGCGTGATTCCCGAGAAGAGACTACACGGAAGCTGAGGGATAGTTTCTCGGAACCACAAACCAAGCGTGCACCGGACACCTCAGAGCTTTCTGAGAATTGGGTAGAGGTGGGCTGTACTTCATTGGGACCCATTTTGCTAGAAGGAGCTTCCGCCCTGCCCATTCCAGATCACGAATTACATCTTGTGCAGCATAAGTAAGACCATAAGTAACCTCTTGTTATATGGATTTTCAAATTTATATTCTTTTTGTTAGTTTCCTGCGTGAGCATGATGCCAAATTCAAGCGCCTTTGGTTCCTGTGGTCTCATAATGGCAGTGCCCTGTCCTCTGGCAGTGAGATCTCCCGTTGTGGCTGTATCGGTGGATGTGTCTTTTTTGGAAGCAATAGAAATGGCCAGAAATTCTTCAAACCAACGGCACAGGATGTCCACGATAACTACAATATTGCTCGATACTTGTAAGTAAAATTTCAAATTATAATAGTTACTTTTCTTTTTTTTGGTTCACCAATACTCTCATTTTTATAAATAGTATTGCCGTGTGCTGTTCCTATTATCAACAGCGATAGCGTTTTGAATTCAAATCGTTTATAATTGCAGTAATTGATATGTCAGAACGGAGTGATATCAGTTTTGCTTCACAATTGTGATTAGCGAAAACACCGATCGAATTTAAATTAAGATTACCGAAAAACCTTATTATTTTTTATCAAAGAAATGATTTGTTAAGAAAAACTTTTAAGAATAATTTGTTTTTATAATATAACTTTAATTTATTAACTCGAATTCTAAATACAGCATAATCAACAACAATAAGGACTTTGGTTTCGGCGAAAGCATCCTCCACCAGGGTCAACTTGTCTTCCACACCCCGCCCTACAGTTTACATTGTGTTTCTCTCTACGACACAGCGGACTTTAATGGCAAAGGTCGGCTTTACAGGCCGGCTGGTGATCTGCGTAACGGAAGTCTGAAGAAGACGGATCTCTGCTCTCTACCAGATGGCACTAAGTTTAAGATTGGGGCAAGCGGAACAGCCGGAGTCGAGAAGCCGGAACCCAGTTGTCGAAACAAATCACGAGAGAGCATCGGTTCACCGAATACTCTTGAGAGAAGGAGCAAGCGGTATCCTTGCACAAGGCAAACGTCCGTGGAGGTACCCTACGCCCGTTTGTTGGATAGTCCCTCTAAGAAGCTACAGATGCAACACGAGGCATCGGCAGGCGACATCGGAAGCATACATCGGCGCGGCTCGGACTCAAACAGGCTGCGCGTGTCGCCACCCAAGACGAGCATATCCGACTCAAGACTAACAGGGGATGTTGTGGACGATGAACATGAGGTGAGGTGCAGCTGTGTTAACTGAAATTTAAGATTTTTCAAAGATTTTTCGTTTTCAGATACCAGACGAGATGTCACACTCGGCACCTCATTCACATCCCTTGGAGTTTGAGATTGCAGATATTGCGCTTCACGTTCAAGGATTAGGAGGAGATCAGTTGCCTCGTGAGGTGCAGCGGACCATATCACTAACATCAGAGAATCCCTCAGAGATGTTCTTCTCCGCCGAAGAAGACATATCTAATGTGATGTCGCAAAGAGGATCCATGAAGCAGCGGAATAGTGGGAATAGTGGATCAGTGGTGCTGTCTGGAAAGAAGAGATTCTCATCGGATTTAAGGTGATTAGAATTAGAATTATTCTGGTTCCAAATTTATTTCAACAACCATGAATTCCTACCTAGCATTGGAGCCCAAAACGATAACGGAAGCCACACATTGCCTACGTATCGCAGCGATCTGGAGATCCATGCTCCCGATGGCAACAAAACTCTTCCAAAACGCCCGCAGAGCACCACCGAACTGGTAATGCTAAAGAATCCAATATGCAAACACTTAGATTATGTATACTACCATGTTAAGTCGATTTACTCAGTGATTTATACACACCAATCGCGTTTAGCTTTGCTGCTTTGAAGCCAAGTTTATATTTCACTCTATTTCTCACTAAAACCAATATCACCCATTAATCAAGGCGGCAATAAAAACTCATTCCGAAAATTTATTCGATTCGAGTCCCTTTCAGTGCATGCTTCGATCTTTAAAAATAAGTTTATCTATATACAATTATAAACTTAAATAATTCCTTAGCAACGATTTTTCAATATCAAGTAACTTAAGCCAAAAATGATATTGAGAGACCGTTACTAATTTTGTAAAACTTTAAACCACTCCTAAAATCTATTCCTTTCCTCAAACCTCGACTCATCTTAAATCGAAAACCAAAATCAATCAATGAACTAACCAAATCGATATAAAAACCAAAACCTAAATCAAAACTCATCCAGAACGAAGACGCGAGACGCATTCACGGTCTTGCCACACCAATAAGAAAAATAACAAATATCTCATCACGACCCGAGTACCGACATTTTGTTCATGATGTGAGTAGTTCTTAGTACCAACAACGAACAACCAACCAACCTCTTTTAACTAACAAGTAGCGCAACTAAACCGAAATTTGAATGCTGAAAAATCTCTGTGTATCTGTAGATCACTCTTAATTTACCGAAAGTTTAGAAACCTCAACGATCGAAAATTGCATGAATGTTTAATTTTAGTGCATGAGAAGGTTATTTTTTCTAAAAGATAAATGTAATATTAACTATGAGGTTAGAACTACAAGGGTTTTTTGATCTTTAGATATATTTAACTTTTCGATGCTTATGTTTTAATAAATTTGTTAGTTTTCAAAATTAAGCACTATTTCAACCGCTTTTTTAATTATGTCATCTAAATTCTGTTAGCTAAGTCTAAAAATATTTTAAGTTTAGATGATGACGAAAATTTGATAAATATTATTTAATTTATTTTTAAATTTTCAAATTCATAAAGCAGATCTAAATCTTTCCTGCACTTCAACATGAAAGTTCACGATTTTCTGCTTGTGCCCTTGGATATTGCTATTTTAGTTGTAGAAGCAGAAAAGTGTACAATTCATGTACAGTATCATTCTAATGTATGTTTTTCCTATTCACTCAACAGGCTGATTCCCGTGGCTCATCGTCTGGTACACCTTCACTGTCTTCAAACTCTTTCATATCTGCCATGTCCTCACAGGAGGATGTGGCTTTGGTCAATCTGCATCAGCAAGTCAACCGACCCATCATCGACTCACCTTTACTGATGGCCAGCTACCTAAATCATCTGTCGCAAGTGAAGTGCTTTAACTGGAATGGATGCTCCTTTCCCCTGGGTCCAGATGTATTTTCTACTCCTCTTTTTTCTGAAAATGAAGATGGTGGCTTAACCTATATTGGAAGCAAGATGTTACCCCACTTTGATCTATATTCTTGTTGGCGTGAGATTAAGGTGGTTCCTCGATATGAGAATGCCACTGGTAGCAACAGCTCGGCTACGTTTATGGGTGGACCAAAGTCACATCCGTGGGATCCCAGTGTGTTACTGAAAGAAGAGGAATCGGACAAGACCACCAATGGTTTTGACGATGGCGAATTCATGAGCCTGCAGGCGGAGGGAGGAGCGGCCTGTACTTCGGTGGTGGCTAGGCTAAAAGGGCAATTGAATGTCTTCTTGACGCCGCTATTATTGGAGGGATTGCAAAGGTAAGTGATGAAAATTTGTACATATTTGTAATTATGTTTCAATTGGAGAGTAAATAATTCGAACCCAATACAATACTATTAAGAGCTTCAAAATATGAATGAACGGGAGAAACAATGGTAATAACAAAATTTCATTCTTCGCATTTATTTTTGTTATCAATATATTGCGCTTATAAAATATACAACGAAGTTAATCAGGCATTGTGACAAAAACAAAATGTAACTCAACTTCTCTTAATGCGCAAATGGCCGAGATTAAAGCCTCTCAGCGCCGCATTGGCATTGATCTGACCGCCCTGATCACGGGGAAATGAATCCATCAGCTTTTTTATATAAGTTTCTTTGGAGTTCTAATTGTTTTGAAATATATATTCGAAAAATAGTGTTATTACCCACTCACCTCGGGGGCATCGTCAGTTTCTTTGTTATCTCGCTTGTTCCTTCTGTACTTGGATTCCAAATTTAAATCCTCCATGGGGCTGTTATTCCCTTCAGTGAGTTTGTCCAGGTTCAATTTCTCGCTTTGGCTCCGATCCTCACGCAATCGTCGTTCGCCATGATCGTTTGTACTTTGAATAAAGTCATTTTGCATTTGAATTAAATAGCGAGGGGGATCACGAGCACTATTGGCAATGAAACTATATTGGAAAATAAGAACACAAATATTTTTGGAATAGAGCGACCAAAACTATATTACCTGTCAGTATCGAAAAAGGTTTCCGGTTTGGCTGGATCAGCGTCTAGGGGCAGTAGCTCATCCCTGGTTATTGTTTGCTTTCTATTATCTATGCCTTGCATTTGCTTTTCCAATAGTTTTTCCGCTTCAGCTTGTTCTCTCTTTCGATGGGAAATACTGGAGAGCTCATGGCGCTCGTAGGGATAAGGTGAATCTGCTTCTTCTACCACTGGTTCGTTACCAGGCTGCTGAAACCTTTCTATATTTGATTTTTTCTGTTCCTGACATATCTTTTGTTCACCTTGATACATATTAGTTTGATATTCATCATCAAAATTTAGCTGATGTCCCTTTTCTGAGTTTAAATGCCTATAAGTATATTGATTTTGCAAATCACCATTGGCTGAATGTTCCTCCTGATAATTACTTGGGCTTGCTAACTTGATGTAAGGTTTTTCTTCCTGATCTAAATTTAACTGGTGTTCTCGATTAAAATTGCCCTGATTTCTTATCTCAAGATTAGCGTTGTGTTCTTGCTCAAAATCAGCCTGGTAGTCCAGATCGAAATTGGCTTGGTTCTCCTCTTTTAATTTAGATACTTGATCTTGTTTCATCATTTCGTTATTATTAAGATCAGAGTTAGTCTTAGCTTCTTGCTTAAAGCTTACTTGATCTTCCTGCTTTAAATTTTTCTGACCTTCATGTTCCATATCCTTTATATCAGCCCGAAAATCCTTCTTGAAATTCGATTGTGTCTGTTCTAAACTAACCTTACTATTTTTTACTAAGTCAGACTGAAGTGCTTGCTCCATATTGTCCTGATTTACTAACCCTATGTTAACCTTATTTTCAATATTGGAGTTTTCTTTATCCAATTGTGCGGGCTGATCCACATTGATCTCCTCAAAATTTAAGGATTCATCCAATAGTTCCCCTTTATCATTGAATTCGGGTATGATCTCGTCACCCAGCTGTTCTATCCCAGCTAGCTCCCTTCCTGGAACATATTCAGCTGGAGGGTTCACTTCCTCTTCCTGAAGATTGCTCATTCCCTCCTTACCTCTAGAACCCCTGCTGGCATGGCACAGGAAATCATCATCCTCGCATTCGAAGTCATTTTTCGCTTTCTTGCACTTCTTGTTTTTTGGCTTAGGACATTTAGTAGTAGCAATGATCAGGTCATCGTCCATATAGCCACCAGATTTAGGCTTGCAGTTATCAATAGGTCTATTGGTGCAAATTCGTGTGGTTTTAGGCGAGCAAGTTGTTTTCTTTGGACAGCGCTTGGTGGTTGTCGGGCATGTGGGTCGTTTGCTACATTGACTTGGCTTGGTATCGTCGGAATCCTCCTCATCCCGGCAACCATCATCTAGAGCTACATTTAAGGGTTGGGGCTTTTGCTTGCTCTTAGCGGCCTTCGCATGTCTACTCTGTGCTTTTAAACTAGCTGGCTTTGAAAATGTTCATTCGGTCAAAAGGGAAAATCATTTGCGTGAATTACTTACCGTCTGAGTCTGCATCCTCGTCTCGACTCATGTGCTCATCGAGCAGCTTGTTTAAGGAATTTAGGTCTTCTAGGGTTAGATCTTGAAGGCTTTCTTGAACTTCAGCATCAGTAAGGCCATTTGTTAGATCGGGATAGTCAGCTGGATCGGACAACTGTGCAGTAAGGACATTAGGTTCCTTGGAGTTAATCTCGGATTCCTGTAGGTTTACCTCTTAATTCCCATGAAAACGCCATGTACCATATACTTACCACAGGATACGCTCTAAGCAGTAAAGGGCTAACACTCCAAAGAAAGCAGATTCCAAGCAGTAACATTTTATATCCATAAGAATTAAAAAGGTTTGCCGGTAATTAAGTTGAGCATATTTGCAAAGCCTTCTTTAAAAGACAGTCTGAGAGTAAGGTTCGTTTCCGAATTAAAATAACGTTAATCAATAAAGTTACTGTATACACAATTTATTTGGATCCTTAAGAAGTTAAACTAAAAATGTGTATCTTTACTTGAACTGAACATTCGATGGTCAACTTCGTAACAGAAATAGAAACCAAATTCTTTCGATTGAATTGCAACCTAATTAAGACTTTAGACGTAAGCTATATGTAAATTAACTCTTCTGTTTGGGGGCTATCTTTTTGGCCAAAGCCGTCTGTTGGTCATTGCTCTTCTTTTTGGGCTTTTTCGCCTTCTTAATGCCATCTACTTTCACTCCTCGGTATTCGGATTTTTTCTTTTGACCCCCAGTTGCTGCTCCGTTAGTTTCCTTTGCCGCAGTACCGTTCTCCTTGACCTTTTTCTTGTCCAATCGTTTTTTGGCGCCTACAGAGTTTTGTTTCTTGGCTTTGGTTTTTGAAGACGTGCTTGATGCAGCGGATGCGGCAGCAGCGTCGCGTACTTGTTTGGCACCTAGTTTCTTAACTTGATAGCGCTCCACGTTGATTGGCCTGTCATCTAAAAGGGTTTGATTTAGTTCTAGAGCTAGGCCCACAGCGTCAGGTTTCTGGAAACAAACGTAGGCCACGCCCTTGCAGCCCTTGTCGCCATCCTGAAGGCACCGAACGTAGTCAATCTCGCCGCAGCTGGAGAAGATCTCGCGCAGTTTCTCCTCGTTTGCCGCTGCGAAGGTATATTCAAAATTAACGTCGAGGTAATACTAATCTCTGTTTAAACTTACAGTATTTAAGGCTGCCCACGAAAATCGTCCGTTTGGCATCATTGTCATTTGGTTGTTCATCTTTTCCCTGTCTATAGGTTTCGGCTTTAGCAGCGGGAGTCACTCGCAGATGGTTGTCTTTGAATTGTGATCCATTAAGGGCCAGGGCCTGCTTGGCAGTTTCTGGATTCTGAAGCACCACATAGGCGTTTAGGGAGCCGGCCCCCTTGCGCTGTTTGTGCTTAAAGAGCTGCTTACCACCGGCTGTGCGCAATCGGATGGATTGCACGGAACCGTACTGCTGGAAGAGCTTCACTAGCTGAACGCGCTTGGTGTTAATTGGCAGATTGCCCACAAATACGGTGGCTGCTTCGTCCTCAGGATTGCGTTCCCGTTTAACACCTTCTGTTAAAGGGAAATAAATTCTTAGAATGATTATGAAATATGGTTAGGGCTTAACATTACCGTCTTTCTTGTTATTGGCCTTTGCCTTCTTGGTAACTTTTCCTTTTTGTTTTTCCACAGCTTGGTCCTTGATTTTCTCCTTAATAATAACCGTTTCCGGTTCTTTCGTGACCTCCTTAGGGACCAATTTATTTTGTTGCTTTTTCAGTTTCTGAGCCTGCTTTTTGGCTTTTTTCTTTTCGATTTTCGCCAGATCTTTCGACGACAGTTTCTTGGGACTCTCCTGGACAGCGGCCTTTACCTCCTGCTTTACTTCTTTGCCCAACTTCTTTTTGGGCTTTGTTTTCGCTTTTTTAGTTACCTTACCATCCTCGGCAAGACCGGTCTCTTTTTTGGTCGGCTTTAATTCATCTTTTTTTAGTTCTTTTGGTTTTGGTGTTTTCATTTTTAAACAATTAATGCCACCTTATATCAATCGATGTTTTTCCCACACACGTGTGGCCTAATAGTGTGACCGTGAAGAGCCCGATAATTTATAACATCGCATCACATGGAAAAATATACTATAATATGAAATAAATGAAATATACCAAAAATATCGTTATTGTGCTTTTAAAATTTAAATTACCACATAAATTATATATATATTTTATTTGTTTCTTAAAAAATGTTCTGTAGTTTATTTTTTAAAATTTTTAAAAATCAAAAATGATCTTATAAATAATGGCTTATTTTTCTATATTTTTTTTGTTTATTTGAAGAATGGTTGAGGCGGCCATCCCAACAATTCAATCGATGCACCTGCTCTCAGTAGTTAACTTTCATCCACACTTCCTGCATCGCTAAGGTGAACAACGATAACATCCTGAAGCGGGACCAGAGCCTGAGCTACTGGTCGCAGGTGCATTCCAACTCCAAGCGGTCCACAACCGAAAGACACCTCCAGGGTCCTGGCGATTCCTTCCTTAGTGATGTCTATGAGGAGAGTATTTCTACCAAGACTCAAGGATTAATTGTGCTGCCCAAGGTCAGCATCACCATGTTGCAGTCGTCTATTGTTGAGGAGATTATCTCAGTGGCAGCGTTGGATAATGTACAAGTAAGTACATACATTAGACGGAAGTTCTTTTAAGTGAAAGAAATTAACATACAAATCTATCTTCTTTGAAGGATCTGAGCTGCGTCTCATTACTCACCTTCTACATGGAGGGCATCTCCACGAAGTTCCATCTGGGTAAGACGACGCGTGCCTCCATGCACAACGTATACATTCAGCAAACGGTCCAGTCGGGCAGTAGTAACAAAAAGGGTGGCATTATGAAGGGCACCCGTGCTCTCTTAGCACATCTCTCATCGCAAACGCGGCCCGACAATGTCCAGGGAGAGCCCATCCTTATCGAGACATCGGAAAAGCAATTGGAGGAGCTTGTCATAACACTTGATATTGGAAGGGCCCATGCTCAACTGCGTCGTCTGAAGACCGAAGGCCAATCTTGCGCCCAAGACTCACCTATTATCGTCACCGCCATTCCAGAACACAAGAGCAAAGTGCTGTTTGAATGCCTGAAAATGCCGGAAAGCACGGGCATTGAAAGCATTGGCTATATTATGTTCGAGTGTGGCTTAGAGGGCGTGGGTGTAAAGATAGTGAAGCGTTCGCACTTTGAAAAGTCAGAAAACAGCAAGGAAGAGCTGGCCGAAATGGCGGCCACTGGAGCAGTGGCTGGCACTTCCGCCGGAGGCTTTAATATTAATGAATTGGTGGGTCAAGGTGATGGAGCAACAGCTTCCGGAGATGGCGGGGCCACTTCGAAGGCTGAGGCTGCTTGGAGGTTAATAACGAAAAAGCCTCCCACTCCCAAAACTCCGAAGGAGAAGTTTCTACCTGCCTCTGAAAACAATGTGGGAGACAGCTCTTCTGCAGCTGAACAAAGAAAATCCACACCCAAACCTCCTGATGAAGATGTGGAAAAGGGAACCAGTACAGCAAACGCTCAATCAGGAGCTCAGAAACCTAATGCAGGGACAGGGACCAATTCTAAGGATAACTATGACAATGTTTTGTCCAACGTCAAGGAAACGGATAAGACTTCCTCTTGTGTAATTGAACTGAAAGCGGTTTGGTTCAATTTTGCAGCTCCACCTTGCGTGCCTATTACCCGCAAGATCGATCTGACACGATTGGATTGGAACCTTTTGAGCACTGCGTCACCGGCAATCACGGCATGGATGAATCCCAGCAATCGACTGGCTATCAAGATCGTATCCTTAATGAAGGCTCTACATACGAGGCAGACAGCAGTGGCTGCTTGCCTTATGGCAGAGGCCATGGATAACGAGAAAATACAAAGAAACCCCAAGATCAAGAAGGTAACAAAGGAGGTATAATTGTTTTTATACTTATCTTTCACTTTGTAAATGCCTAGTTTTTTTTAAAGTTTTTTTTTTATTAATATGTATTATTGAAATTCTTTGCAGAGTCGCTATGGCAACAACTACACGCTGCTTTCGAAGACACTGCAGGAGGATCCCAGTTGCCAGCTGTGTTACATCATGCAGAAATTGGTTCTCGATGAGGGTGTTCATAGAATTGAGCCGATCTTTAAGCAACACGATGTTCCGCATCTGAACACTTTGCGACAGGTGAGTAAAACACCGACGTTAAATTTTCTATAATTGATTATTTTTAAATTATTTTATAGGGCATCATTGTGCTAAGTCGGCAGTGGAAAAATACTCTTTATAATCCAATTCTGTTTGAGCACCAGTACAAGAACAAGTTGGCCCGGCCGATCAATGTTACCTTTTCGTTTCCGCAGAACGATGAGGAGGTCGAGAATGATGAGTGCGAAGGTGATGTTGAAATGGGCGCCTTTGCGGGCGTCGGCGAGAATCCGGAAGAGAGTGAGAATGCATTATTACTTGGGCAAACACAGCATCATCGAACTCACATTGGTATTTTTTTGATTAACGCTCTCCTGCCCGCCGTCTGTGGCGGGTGGTTATCTCCTTTTAACCTAGTTATATGTATAGTTATAGACTTTCTATATTTCCTCTTTCCTGGTTGATGCACTTGTTGATTGTTTGTTAACCAAGTCAAAATATTGTGTGTGCGTGTGTATGTTGCTTTGATCTACCCTCTATTTCCTTTCTTTTCCTCTTCTCTCTGTAAATACTCCAACCACACAAATGTTATCCACCGCTTTGAGTGTTCACCACTTCATTCTGTTTGATGCTTAGCGTTTGCATTATACTTGTACTACAGAACAATACAACTCTTCTATCCTTTCTGGCTATTTCTATATCTATATCTATGGAACTAAATCTAAACTTAAGTGTGTTGTACATTAAGCGAAAAGTTTGTAAGGAGCCTATAATCTTTCTTTTATCTCCGTTTCCTTAGAGCTTATTTTCAATTCCAATTTTATACGATTTCGTTCAGTGTACAACTTCCCAAGAAGAGTGCTGTCTTGAAGAGTGCTTGACCAATATTCATAACACTTCTTTATTTAAAATTCTTACTAATATAGAAAATAATCAGTATGGAGGTGTTTCATATGGGCATGAAGCTGGTAACCATGGAACCGCCTCCCAGCGATCAACATCGACTTCGCCAAATATACACCATCCTCGTCGAGGGTAAGTTCTTATTATCTTCTCCACTACATTTCATTAATGTTATAATTGTGATCTGTTCTTCTTTTTAATATACGTCCGTGGCCCTCAGCTTAAATAAAGTGCATAGCAAAGCCTCGAATTATTCACATGGCAATTCATCTCGTTCTAGCATTCAAATGCTGCCCATTATTTCTGGGCTGGTAGAAAAACAGGTTCCGGAATTCGGTATGAGTATAATGCTTTAAAATTATTGAAATATTTCATAATGTAATGTATTTCTTGTCTGCAGAGTACGGTGCTTTGCAAGAGGGGTCCTTAAGCTCTACCAACTCTGTGAACAAATTCTGGTTGGGGGCCGATAACCACAAGGAGGACTTATACTTCTGGATGGCTAAGCAGCAAGATAACAAGAAGAAACACTTTACCGAAAAGGAAAATGCTCGGCCAGCTCCCCCGAAAATGCATGGTCATACGGGTCAATCTCGCAGTGGCGTAATGCAGGATTCCATAAAGTTGCTGGATGCACATTTGATATTTGAACCGCTGCTTACCTGTTTAGGAGTGATGCCACAGCAGATGATCAATAAGTTTTCGAATGCTGACATATCTTCCTTGGAAAACTTTGGAACCAATCTTTCGCTGATCGGCACTTTCGATTCAATTCGGGTGGACATTGTGGTCAGCGAGGCGGGCGATAAGAAAAACTCTGCCCAGAAACCAGCCAAACTGAATAAGAAATCAAATGGCGGTAGGGCCTCCATTATGATGGACACTCCTTTATTCTTATGTGAGAGAGTCGGTGTGGAGTTGGAGGTATTAAAAATGTCAGATGGCATGGTGGATCAGGCACGTCAGAATGTCATATATATGTCGCGTCGCCAACTGAAGAAGCACACCAGCACTGTGATTAATTTTAGTCTCAATGTCCGATTCATCTCGCAGCAGGTAAGTTTCTAAAGTACATATAAGCTAAATTAAACTGAACTTTTTGTTACTTAGGTGAATATGCCGCTGCTGAGGCTGCTACATCAGATTTGCAATATGTACCAAAATGTAAAGGATGCCCAAAACGAGTTCCACGACCAGCCCGAACTAAGCAAAAAGAGCCAGACCAAAGATGAATGTAGCTTGGGTAAAAGGACCTTAAATATTACATCATAAACCAAAAATAACTTTTTTGCCTTTTAGCTTCTGAACCAACAGACCTCCTACCATTTAACTCGGTATCGGAACGCTTTGGTCATGGGGAGAATTATTCAGATGAACGCTATGACAAGTTTAATGAAACCATGCCCACGACGTTAACGAGACCGCGTCCTGGAGGCTTGGCTCCCATTATTCAACTTACACCCTCTCCAAATGCCAAAAATAGGCCTCAGAGCTTCGCCCAGAAGCTTCGATCAACCGGAAAATCCGTAAAGGGCAAGTTGGGCTACACGAATTTAAATGAGTCCAGTTCATCACCTCTGAGGGATAGTCCAACAACGTCGCTCCATGAACAGAATATCCTCAAGATGTCCACGGAGTCGAAAGCTTCACTTAATGGAGCTTGTGCCACCAGTGTTAGTGGAGATTACCAGAACACGCTGACCAAGGCAGGAATGCCAACGATGGCTCCGATGCTAGAGACACCTAACTGCTGGAAGACCATATACCACCTTTTGGAACTGTATGGAACGATGCCGGAGACCAAAACTGTGGTTCAAAGAAGTTCGTTAAACGAACACAAAAGCAAGCCAGCGGGCTTCGCCCACGATGAAGATGACTTGGCTAGTGCTCCAACACCTCTACCCCAGCACCGCGAAATGCTACCGGTAGATGCACCATCCCAGGAGCGAACGCGTCTGATTGTCTTCGGGGTGGCCAAGATCCATAAAACTCGTTTGCTAGCTACGCTTTCCGGTCTTAAGCTTGAGTCGGAGATAACAACCCTCAATAGCACAGCCACATGGAGAAAAAAGGCTCGTCCTGTCTCCTTGGAGTGCTCTCTTACTGGTCAAGTGGGGCGAGCGATGATTGTGCTGCTTGAAGGTGTTGCTCCCAGTCAACAGTAAGTATTAACTTTTCTAGTTATAGAAATATATATATCTTATATATTTATTTACTCATTTCAGAACCGTGGTCAAAGTAACCGTGGGCAAAAGCCAGACTCTGTATTCGAGCCTTTCGAAGAGGGGAAAGGATAAGAACAGTGGTCTGCTATCGATTGGGGCTGTTAACATAGACATACCACAACATCCAGTGGCTTTGCATGGAATGATGACTCGAAGCTCTAAGCAATTATCGTCAACTCTACAAGAGCTGCGAGTAAAGCGTAATTCCGGTCGGTCCACTATCCGTTCGCATACAGCCGAGGAGCCAGAGTCTCCGTTCCATGCTCGCAACTCTGGAGGAGCCAGCAGTGGAACAGGAGTAGCCAGCGAAATGCGGGAGCGTACTGTTTCCGGTGGAACAGGAGCCCAACAGCAACCGCAGCAGGCGGCTCGTCGTGCAGCCCAAATGGCGCAATCGAAAACGGGGACGGCACAGCACCAGAACGGATTGCTCCAGCCTCTAGTGATGCAATTCAATGTACTGCTGCAGAGTTTGTCTATAAATGCAGCTCTACTTCCTTCGCTACAGGCTCAATATCGAATGAATCACGTTAGCTCAATGGGTGTGACCGGCCAAAGGGCAAAGTTTGTCATCGATCTGCCCACGCACACTCTCAGCTTCAATACCAAAATTCAGGTAAGCTAAAAGTATTTCTTAATTAGTTTCAGATTTTTAGAAAGTAAATTTGTTAAACTGCTTTTTTTCAAAAAAATCATTTAATCAAAGTGCAGTTTCAAAGATATATAAAATCCGAGTATTACAGAATAATAGATATGAATGACGTAAAGTTAACAGGTTAAAATGCAATTAAATTGGCTTAACTTCCTTCTTAAGCCAGGTCAAAGTGAATTCGTCCCCTTCGCGAGACAAGATTGGCGAAAGAGTTTCCCAAACTTGCTGATGATAGCTATTGAGCAGCTTTACTTCTACATCGGATAAAAGCTCCTTTTTGATCATTTTAGTTTGCTTTGGGCACATGGTGATTGTTTTGAAAGTTAAGGCTCCTCGGTTGGCAAAATTGTGCGCCACTTGTCCGGGCACAATCTGAACAATGTCCTCGACACGGATGCCGAATTCTCCATCCTGGTAGAACCCAGGTTCATTGGAAATAAACATGTTTGCCTGGAGACCAGGATCATCTGGCATCAGTCGAATTCCCACACCCATGGGTCCCTCATGCACATTTAAGAAGTGACCCACTCCATGGCCGGTACCGTGACCGTAATCCAAGCCAACGTCCCACAAAGCCTTTCTTGCCAAAGTGTCCAGAACCTGTCCTTTAACCTTAGCCGGAAAAACAGTAGAGCCAAAGCTCAGTTGGCCCTTTAAAACGCGAGTGTAGGCTTCCTTCTGGAATTCGGTGGGTTCACCAAAATGAAGAGTCCTCGTCACATCCGTAGTACCATCCAGATATTGAGCTCCAGAATCGCACAGATAAACTTCTTTATCGGTTATCTTCCTGTTGGTTTCCTCCTTTGGGTGATAGTGTATAACAGAACCATTGGGCCCAGAAGCACTGATTGTGGTGAAGCTAAGGCCCATGTACTTATCCTTCGATGATCGGAATGACTCCAGCTTATCGGCACCAGATATTTCATCAACTTCCGCGCCATTTTTCACTTGATCTTCAAGCCAGGCGAAATACTGGCACAGAGCGACACCGTCGCGAATGTGGCTGTTAACAAATCCTGCGATTTCGACATCGTTTTTAATCGACTTTAGAACACAGATGGGTGTGACCTCTTGAACCCTACGCGATTTGGGTATCAAGGCAGTTAGATAGTAACTGCTGGTGGGTGCAATCCAGATTTTTGAATCCTTGCTGGACACAATCTTACTGATTTCCACACCAATTGAAGCGTAAGGCAAAACACTGATCCTAACGTTGTTCTCGGTCTGATGCTGGGCAAAATCAGTAGGTAATTTTGCAGAGTCCACAAAGAGTAGTAGATCGTCAGTGGTCACAAGCAAGTATGAGAAGAAGACAGGGTTAAAATCAATATCCGACCCGCGAAGATTTAAGAACCAAGCGATTTCATCGAGAGCACTAACGACTAAGGCATCAACATTCTTATCTTTCAATTGCTTGCGTACCACTTCCCATTTCTTGGCGATTGTTACGCCGGAGTATTCTAGTTTCAGGGTGATAATCTTGTTGGATGTCTGTGATGGCTGATCCTTACCCCAGACCTCATCGATGAGATTGTTTTCAATGGGCACGAGTTGGCATTCCGCAGAGTTGAGCTCCGTTTCGATGGGTTTCCATACGCGGAACGATAGCAGACGGGGATCAACGCCCACGAAGCTGCCTTTGGGCAGATTCTTGGCCAGCCAGGCTCCTATCGACGGCGTGGTGGTGAGACCATCCCTCATCAGCACCCAATTGGAGTCCAGTTGCTTCTCCGCCTGCTGATAGTATCGACCGTCAGTCCAGAGCAGGGCATTATTTGGTGGTTACAACCGCCGTGCCAGCGGATCCATCGAATCCGCTGACAAAGGAGCGCCGCTCGTCATGCTGACATTGGTACTCCGACTGGTGGGCGTCGTCCGATGGCACTATGTATGCCGATATGCCGCTGGAATCGCCCACTTGGGCCCGCAGCATCAGCTCCCTCAGCTTGGCCAGAATCTGGGTGGTGTTCCTCTTCATCGTAGTTTCCGAATGACTGCAAAATAACTTTGAAAACACAAAATCTAATCAGCTTAAGATGATAAGATAATCAAAAGTAATCGCATTCTTTATCCCATAAATACATAAATAATCGGGAGCATATAAGTGCCACTCACACAGTGATTGTCAAACTATTGTTTAAATGACAGGGTGCAATTTATTTTATAACCGGTGCCTTTTTTTTGTTCGGTTTGCAATGACACATTCAATTCTGTAATTTATCACAGTGCAAAAATGCTGCACACAATACGTTATTATACCATATCGCTTTTTTGCGTTTAGTATTTTTTTTTTTTGCACTTTTACAAAAAAGGTAACACTGTCAGCTGCGAATTTTTAAACATACGCGCGAAATTCAAAATCATATCAGATGAATGTTAATGACCTTTTTTGGTTTCTATCTAAAAGCATTAAAAATATTTTAAGCTAAAAATATTTAATGCAAAATAATATAAAAACAAATCAAATTTTTCTTGTTCCCCTTGTAGAATGAGATGAACCTGCCATCGGAGGCATGCATTGGCCTGCCACCTATTCACGTTCTGGCGGAATATATTCCAGATCATCGACAGGATCACACTGAAAATGTCGAGGGCATTGTCTTGCGGCAAGGTGGCTACGTGAATGCCAGTGCTGAAATAGGAGAATTCGAGCGATGCCTAACCACAGATCTCCTGAACCACCTGGTCTTTGTGCAGAAGGTATTTATGCGTGAAATAAACGAAGTGCTGCAGAAGGTTTACGGAGGCGAGAAACCCGTGCCTTTGTGGACGGAGGAGAGTGGTGATAATTCCGGGACAGTGCAGGAATCTTCGCTCAAGCGTATCCTTTTTTCCATAAACATTTCGATGAAACGCATACAATTGACGGCTACCACGCCTTGCTCCTCGGCGGTTCGCTTTGAAACCGGAATTTTGGAGCTGCAGCTGTCAAATCGTGTGAAAAACCTCGGGGATATGAGCAACCGCAAGCTCTTTTTCAAGGCCCACATCGATTTTAATTTATCCCTGGGTCAGATTATCCGTAACGTAATCTTCGACGAGGCTGAGCCGGAATTCCAGCAGTACGCTTTCTTCCACACTACCATTAATTTGAGAAATGCCTTCCAAGATGAGCTCCTCAACGAGGACAAGGAGTTGATACTGCTCACTCTCAAGAGACCTCTGGTCTATGTACAGCCAATTGCCGTGGACAAGGCCATTCTCGTGTGGCTCAATTACAAGAATGCCTACGAGTATTGGGCGGAAAAGCGGGCCAATCTGTGTCATGAACACGCCCAGCACAGCCAGTTCGCTCAATATTCGGGGCAGCATCAGAACCAGAATCTGCAGAATCCCCAGGTGTTCGATCGAGTGGCTTTTGGCCAGATAGCCAGCTCTAATTTATCCACGCTCTTCCTTCAACTCACTGTGGAGGACATGGGAATTTGCTTGCCACTCAAACAGGTCAACACCACGGTATGTTATCAATTTGGTTTTACGATAAACTCGGTTTCTAAACAAATACATTTTTTTTGCAGACGTTTGGCTCCCGTTCATATCAAGATTTTGATGCCAAGGGCGCTGTTGTGATAACATTAGAGAACACGATAATTTCGGCCTGCAATTCGGGTGCTTTGGTCTCGAAGGGGAAGTTTCAGGGCCTGTGTCTTCGGTTTGCCGATGACTTTGAAACCAACTTGGATGACTGGAAACCGAATAGTGCAGAGCCCATCATGAATGTATGCGTTGTGTCTGAAGGAACCTTCGAAGTTTGTTCTCGCACAACAGCAGCCAAGAAAGGTGAGAACGCCAAATGGCTGCTGAATGTTAAATGGCAAATGGAGGGTGTGGATATTCATTTAGATGTGAATATTGGCAAGCAGCTGAGTTCCCTTGGTCACACTTTAACCATGCTTACGGGTTTCGAGGAGGATGAGACGCAAATGGAATCACCCGATAGCGATGAAGGCGATCAAAGCTGCAGAGATACTTTTGTGCGAAAAAGAGGAGACTTTGACAACTTGCCTTCTTTTGTTTTCGATCCAACAATTGATTCTAAGAAGCGTTCATTTATGATGGAGAAGGAAATGGCCGAACAGTTAAAGATTATCAATGATCTGCGTACTTTGGGAGCATCCCATAATACGGTGGCTCATGAGGAGCGACGATTGCAAGAGCTCCAAGCCATCTGCTACAAGTATTTCCGCAGAGATATGATCCAAAAATGGAAGAGACCTTCGCTAAGAAGATCTCTGAAGAACTATGGCCGCTCACATTCATACATTGGAGCTGGGTCTTCAGTAGCTGGTGTATGTGTTCCCCAGACCTTGGACAACGGGAGTTATGCGGGCAGGAGACTGGATACTATTGCCTCCAATGATGAGATATCTAGCTTGCAGAGCACCCCTGCCTCTTGCCACTCTCGCAGTGCTTCCTTAAAACATACTGGAGGAGGAGGGGTAGTCGGAGGAGGAATCAACGCTCTTGGAAGAGTGACCTTCACGGAGGCTATGCGTCAGACTTCATTACCCAATGCCGACACGGATACGGAGACGGCCGACAATGAGCTTGATTGGAGAGGTGACATTACGCCCAGCGAAATAGATGTTGATGGCACCTCCGTCGAAATGCGACGTAAGCATGGCCATAGTCAGAAGCAACCGGAACCCAACATCGATTTTGAACTTGACATAAAGGTACTGGTGAATTCTGGAAAGTGCGTGTTGCATACAAAAGATACCGGAGATGAACGAGCCCAAGGCTACACTGGTGGATCGGGAACAGCTTCAAGCGGAGTACCTGCCTCGAGTGTAAAATCCCACAAGCGGGAAAGAAGCATTGGTAACGATTGGGGTAGTCCGACGCCCTCGAGGAGGCAAAGGGATAAGAGCAAGCTACGTTATAACGCCAACGCCTTGCTTGCGGATCTCACTATCTTCCATATCCCAGGTCTGGATGTTAAACTTCACTACCAATCGAAAACATTGGCGGAGCAAATAACTGGAGACCAGCTGCCACATGGTCGCAGAATGGGTAGCAAGCGTGCTACTTTGTGCGCCTGGATGACTCTACAAAGTATCCCAGAAGAAACTATCATATCACCACATATTTTGGAATTTCTAGAGCAGACTCTGGAACCCATTCCCGCTCGACAATCCAGTAGTGTCCCGCCGACTCCCTCCCATAATACAGCCGTTAATCTGGACATACTGCCTGCCAACTATGTGACTTATGCTTCATTTCCAGTAGATGTTATAGTTTACTTCCACATGCAACCGTCTACCTTCAGATTTAGTTGTCTGCCAGTTTCTAGAGTGGAATGCATGCTCCAGTTGCCCAGTTTGGACATTGTATTCAGTTCGAAGAGAAGCAGCGACGAGGAGAACTCAGCACAGCCAGGAGTTCATGCCCATCCGGAGCAGCAACTACCCACGGGTGGACTGAGTGTCACCGGTTGCCTGGCCGACTTTAATGTGTTCATCTTCCATCCGTATGGTGGCAAAAAGACTTCCAAAGAGACACAGTTTTCACCATTAAGTGATAGTGAAAGAAAGGATTCGTTAAGCATCAACGTTGAGTTTGTCAAGTTCCACATTACTCGCTGCAGAAAGGTGTACATCGAACCATTGCCCAGTTCTAAGAGATCTCTGGACCAATCGCGAGCCGTGATACGGTTCTCTACCATCGTGGATATTGGTAGCGCCAGTTTTAAGTATGATATGAGGAGGTTAACTGAAATCTTAGCTTTTCCCAAGGCTTGGTATCGCAGGAGGATAGTAAGAAGGCTCTTCCTGGGCGATCTTAGTGTGCAACAGCAACAACAGCAGCAGGGCAATGGAGCAGAAACCCCCACTGGCTGCCCACCTGCTACACCAACTCCCAGTGAAGACGCTGCCAGGGCGAAGGAGAAAATGCGTCTAGATTTTGATCCTCAGCCGTCGCAACAGCAGCAACTGGGACACTTTGGAGCTGTAAGACAACTGAAGAGCCTAGGCAAGTCTTCTAGCGCAGATTCGTCAGGAACTCCACCTTCCGAAAAGAACCAAATCACTGCCTGGGAAACTCTAGTTATATTTGCAGTTAATTTCACCAAACTAAATGTTCAAATGAACATTGGCAATGTGTGCGGTAATGTTGTGTGGCTCACCAAAGATTTTCAATCGGATGGTCGTCTCTCCATCGGGAGCACAGGCTACAAAAACATGTATGCCGGGATCTATCTAGGAGGATCAGCCCTAGATGCCAAGGGTGGTATCGTAGGTGGCAGTTTCGAGGTTAATAAGATTAACAAACGTTTCCACATCAAGGAGGAGGCAGGGGTGGACCCATACCACACCTTGGGTTTGAGTTTTATGGCCCTGGAACTAAGGCTAGACTACATGGGAACTTCAGTGTTGATGACCAGAATAAGTAGCTTCTCTGCCGCCATGAAGGATGAGTGGCGAACTGCATCACAGGCGGCAGCAGCTCCGACACATGGCAAAGATCAACCCAGAGCTCTGATATTTATCCATGGCGATCTTAGCTGGGACCAACTCCAGATAATGATTAGCAAGTCGACAACAGCAGATCTACTGAAGATGTACTTTAAGCTAGAGGAGTTCTTCACGCAGCAGTTTAAATCCTCCAAGAGAGTGTTCTCCAGTTTGGAGCCACGCTTGCAAGATCGAACTGCTAGCATCAAGAGGCGGCAGCAGCTCAAGAAGAAGCCTGCAAACGGAGAGCTTGTTGCTCCTGTTCAAATTCAGGGTTTGATTGGCGAAAATACAGATGCACGTCATCATCGTCACTGGCAGAAGCCATTGGCGCAGGCCGTGGGTCTCGTAGTGCCTTCACTTGTCACCCGTTTGCCACGTCACGGCAATGTTTTAGGTGGTACCGTCGAGCTTCGAGGGCAGAACATTTCGTTAGCCTGCTTCCACGGCATTAACTTTAAGTCAAAGTCGTGGGCTCTGTTCAGTCTGAGATCCCCATCTATTAACTTTGCCACGGAGGCTCGGCAGAGCGAGGACGAAGTTCTGGTCACCCAGACACTCACCTCTTCCTTGGGACAGTCGACAGAGGTGCAACAGCAACAAAACCACTCTATGGCGATCGTAAGTCGCATCACCAGGAACATCATTTTCCCACCTCAGTTCAAGACGCTTAATGAGTGGTTCCACTACGCTTTTGCCAACAGCGAGATTGATGGTAAGATTATACCTGTTATTTTTTGATAATTGGAATTAAGACATATTTTTTCTTTACACAGCTGTGGACCGCTTTCCTATGCTGGAATGCGAACGGGAGATTGCCTCCAATTCTATAGAGCGAACAAGGGCCTCCGGCAGCAGCAGCGCGGCAAAGGCGCAGGAGCACAACCACAATCGGGAGGTCATCTTTGCTCTGCCCAGCCTGCAACTGCATTTCAAGACTGAGCACAAACAGGGACCAACCACACCAGAGCCAAGTGGTATGTACTAATAATTTTATGATTATAAAAAAATGTTGCTCACAGAAGAATTTTTATTGCAGAAAATAAGCCAGAAGTTTTGTGCAGCTTCATCACCGAGTTCGACGACCACATCTTTGTGACAGTCGATGCGGATGCTTTCTTCTTCCTTCACGATCTCATCACCTCCTATGTGACTGAAAAAGAGAAGGTGGTAAGTACTCCCCAAACATTATTGAATATTTGAAAGTAATATTTCTATATTTACCACCAGATTGGAGCTCAATCGGCAAGGGCAGCCTCGCCGAATCTCTCGCAGAAGGCCAATCTGAAGCCATATCTGACCGACGAGATACTAAAGGAAAAGAAAGCCGCATCCAGCACGAACCTGACTGCCCAGGGAAAGCAGATGAACAGTCTGGATCCGCTGCAAGGCAGCCACATAAGCCTATCGAACGCTACTGCCAATATGTCGGGAGCAGCGTCGACGAACACGACGACCGCCACATCAACATCCACAACCTTATCGCCTGAAGCGGCAGCTGGTGGACCATCGACAAGCGCCTCAAACGATGATGGCAAGCAGCCGCAACAGGGGGGCTCCATGCCAACCTTTGATCTCGAATCGTTTGTGCGCGACTGGAGGCACTTTGAGTGTCAAACGTGGCATTTGGAGCCTACAGTACGCCTTCTCTCCTGGGCGGGCAAGTCTATTGAGCCCTATGGCGTTGATTACATCCTAAATAAACTGGGCTTCAGCCACGCTCGTACAACAATACCCAAGTGGCTGCAACGCGGATTTATGGATCCGCTGGACAAGGTGCAGGCCCTGATGATGCTGCAACTACTGCTGATGGTTCGCGAAAACAAAGTGGAGCGAGATGTTGGAGCTAGTGTCGGTGGCAAGCAACAACAGCAGAACCATCGACCACCAACGAATTAGCCATGGCAGAAACTCATCTATGACAACTGACAATTACCCAAAGTCCTTCGATTTAGTTTAAGTAGTGGTGTATAGATTTTTCACCCGTGTAAAGTTTTTTTTATTTATTACCCTGGTTGACCTAGCATGCTTTAAATTGAAACTCGCGGTATTATTTGGCCAATAAGGCAGCTTCTTATATAATGTAAATGGTTTGCTCTCGTTCCCCTACTTTTTAAGCGTAACTGTATATTTTTTTATAGATGTAAAGTCAAGTGCTTCGTGTAATTTGCTCAATTTTGGCGCTTTGTAACTATCATTACATGGTTTTGTTATTCTAGAATTTACTATGCAACAATGAGCAGAGCAATTGTGTTTAAACTATAAGTAGCTCTAATTGAATATACATAATTATATACAATAAAAAAAACGTGTAAGTCTATCAATAAGTAAAGTGAATAAACTTTCGAAAATGCGTATTAAAAAATTAAATCTACCAAAACTGAATGTGTTATAAGCATTTTTGTGTTTAACCATTTCTCTGAACCGAATTTAATTTTTTACTTTACAAAGCTAGTAACTTGGTTGCTATTCCCTTACCTTTCAGATGACAATCTGGGTAATACAGATTGTATTAATTTAATATTTTTTATCCTTTTCGTTTTCCTTTATTTTTCTCCTGACTGAATAAGAACATGTTCCGGATAATTTCGTCCTGACTTTGTTGTTGTTCCTCTGCCCCCTTTTGGCCTTGGCTGGAGTCCCTTTGACTTTTCTAGGCCTTCCACTTGCCTTTTTGTAATTTTTTCCAAGTAAACTTTTCATCCGCAGCGCGTATCCGTTTATATTTTCGTTTTGTCCCGCTGGCTGAGCAGTGCAAATGTTTTCCTCAACTTTCTTGGCGCCTTTCATCGTTTTCTTTCGCCTGTCACTGGGTCTTACTTTTTCCTCAGCAGGAGACTGAGGGGACTCTAAGGCTGTGTCTTTGTAAACATTTCATTTTCCATCAAGGTTGCGTTTTTAATTATCTTTCCTTTCTCTGGCTGCTCTCGATGTGATGGGTTCCTTCTTCTTTTTTTTAGCATATTAGGTTCGGGTTTTTTTTTTTTTTTTTGCTTCAGTTTCTACATCATTTTGCTGCCTCTGTGAAGCAGTTGCTCCGAGTTGATGAGCTTTTCACGCATTGTAGGCGCGCGCGGAATAAGAAAAAAGAAAGAAAAACTGAGGCGGTTCTGATGGAGTGGGAGAATGGTGGTCGGTGGGTGAGGGGTCGGGGATTTCCCCTTTAGCAAGGGTCTCGTGTCAGTTTAACTTGGGCTTTGAATGCGAGTGGTTTACTTTGGAGATTAGTTTATCTAAAGTTAATGAGGGTTAAAACTAATAGGCGAATGGCTTAATTTTTAATTATGAGACTTGCCCTTCTTTTGTGGTTCCTTTTCTTAGCTCCCAGTTTGGCTCTTTTTGTTTGGGTTCATCTTGTTTTGATTGCCTTTGCATTTTTTGTGGATACACGTCGCCCTTGACGTTTTGGTGGCACTTAATTTAAAACGCCACCAGCTTAATAGCCATCGCAGATGGGATTTTAAGCCACAGTAACTTTAAGAGCATCAGTACATAAGCTATAATTCTTCAGATCAATTGAACTTTTCTAATCTGGACCCTCCTTAGGTCATTCGATACCCATTTCGTTATTAGTTTTCCTTCGAAAACGCTTGCGGAAAGTTACTCAAGGAATTTTCATCTAGCATTTCATTTGGCATCTGACCAATAAATTGTCAAAGCATGTTGTCAAGGTGTCTTGGACACTTTTTTCCATTAATTGGCGAAACTTCAAATTTCACTTTTTTCTTTATTTTCTTTGTTTATTTTCTATTTCGCAATTTATTGAGTGCGCACAGGTTTAAATAACACTCGTCGCATATTTTGTACTAAACCTGATTTAGTTGGCATTCGTGTTGGGGTCCTGTGAAATATGAGTGAAGCCATAATAACAGTCTCATATATGGGCAGATACTTATATAAGTCTATGTCTATGTTTTCTATTGAGCATGAACAATGGTTAAAAAGGAGGCAAAAGGGTATGGATGGATGTATGCATCAATGTGGCTTATTTATATATCTTTTTAAGCAATATTACTATTTAGTTTGGTATTGATTTGTGATTTGTTAATGATTCGATCATAAGAAATTTAAAATGATAAAGTGCAAATACAATTCAACCAACTTACAGGGTATCTCAGGGTATCCAATTCCCTTCCCGTGAACCTTACTCCCCAGTGTTATTTATTAGACCAGTCGAAGGCAATCAAGCACAGGCTGTGCTACACAATTTATGCAGCACAACCCTTGAACCCAGGCTCTAAATTATTTTTTAATTTCCTATGGTGGGGGCCTAAGAAAACTTTTGGCTGGCCGAAAACAACAAACAACATAATAATCAAGTCAATAAAAAAGTCATAAAAAAATAGAAGACAAGAACAAGAACAAAACCGAAAATATCTCAAAGGGCCAAAGGAGGCGGTCGGTGAGGCCGTGTCCTGTGGCCAAGTCTATTTATCAGTGTGTGCGTGTATGTTTGTGTGAGCTTGTGTGCGACTTGTGGCATGACCAACCAGGACATGCCATAGACAAATATCAGACAAGGACTTGTAAGAACGATAAAGCAGACAATAAAAACCACCAAGCCTAATAAAAATTACATTTTATTTTATTTCCCACCCTCCATCCGATTCCATGCCCTTGGTCCTGTCAAGAGGCAAACAATTTTAAATAGTCGAAGGCACGCACGTCAACTGAAGCAGTCTAAGGCTCGTCCTGGGAGTCGAGTCTCTAAATTACAGCCAAGATATTTGGCTGCCAGATAGCGGCGGCATCTACATCCGCATCCTCGGGCCGATTCGCCCTACTCTTCGCCAGTAAGTAATGTTAGTAATGAGTCCCCCGTGTGCTGGCCAGTGTACAATTTGTGGACTTATTTAACTGTTTCTAATAATTATGTAAATGTGCGTCACTTGATGCGGCACTTTTGTGGCCAGTTTCCTCAGTTTCCTTCGCGGCCACTCCCCAACCATTGTCCTGGCAGCAATTCCTCTTAGGACAATTATGCCCAGTCCATGGGAAAATAAAATGAAAATAAAAGCCTGTGGGCGGAACAGGACCAGTGTCAAATTTAATGATGTTCCGCGGCCCGTCCAATTGGGAATTTTGTAAGGGAATGAGTGTCGAGTAGATTAAATTGCAATAAATTTTAAATAACAAATTCTATTCAAAAGCTAAATTTGTTTTGGATTTGTTGCGTGTGTGTCTATTTAAAAATGATCAATCAAAGTTGGTATAGGGTTTATTATTTGTGTAAATTGCCAATGAATAAATACTTACTCCTTTCCAATCGTCTAAAAGGTTTTAAAAGTTTTTCAGTTTCAACATTAATTATCAGAACATTGATCTCAATATGTATTTCAAGTATCAGCTTATACTGAGCAAAAGCTTTAATATAACCCTCATAAACCCGTTCAGTCAGACGATAAGAATCAGTTTCGATTAACTCTAGCTTTAAGATGGTTGTCCGCTTGCGAGTATTCTTTTTATTATTCTGTACATTGTCTTTATTTTGTTCGTGTAAGTTGAAAGGTCTAACTAAATAGATAGCCAACGGAATGATTAGATGATTAGAAACAAAGCAAAATGTGTTCCTTCACCAAGATTAACCTTTATAGCAATTCACGCACAAGTTGAATGTGGAAAACTACGAGAAAGTCAACTGTATAATCGAAAGGAGATCACGGAACCAAATGAGTACACCTGGATTGGTCGCGCTGGTTACGGGGACTGGAATAATAACAGTGCCGAATTCATAAGCCTTTCGGTGTTAATAAAACCACGTTATGCGATCATTCCCGCATCATATGTAATAGGCGAGAATGTGACCGCACCCACGTTCATTTTGTTTGGCGACTGGCGAGCCTCTGATAAATTCTTTCTACTTGGCCATTGTCGTTCGGATAAGCGCATTAGGCAGTGCACCCCGCCCCCTCAATTGGTGGATATTGAGGACCTGGTGGTGCATCCAGGGTACATTAGTTCAGAGCTACAATATAACCTCGCACTGGCCAAACTGGTGCGAAGCGTAGAGTTCTCCGACTTTGTGCAGCCAATCTGCTTACCACCAGCAGAGAAAGAAAAAGGCAACCACATAGCTCAAACTTTGGAGATCGCTGGATTTAAGAAATCGTTTTTGAAAGAAAAGGTTTGGCAGGAGGACGAATATTATCGGCAGAAGTTCAAGGTGACCACGACGAGTCTGCAGTTCTGCAACTCGAAAATGTTGGTGCCTGTCCGGCTAACTGAAAATAATTTGTGCGCCGTAAGAGATAAGCGAAAATTACTTTTTCATGGGTCTCCACTGATGGGAATCGAAGTTGTGGACGAGCAACCGAAGAACTTCTACCTAATTGGAATATTAAACGCGATGATTACTTATCCCTCATCGGAAATCGATTCATTCGTAATATTGCGAATATATCCATTCCGAAACTGGATCTTAAATAACATTGAGGATTAAATAAACAAAGATTTTCATACTGATTTTAAGTTTTTGTTTAGTGTTTTAATATCATTTGTTGTCTCAGATTGGTGCACGCAGGCATAACGACTAATAGAATATAAAATCAAAGCTTTAAGTATTCTCAACTTAGTCTCAGTATGCAGCTTCTCAATGTTTGTAATGAGTGAAAGCTTTAACATATAACCCTCATAAACCTGTTCATTCTACTGATCGAGAATCAGTTTTCATTAAAGCTAGCTACAAGATGTTTCGCGGTAGTCAAGAGTTTTATATATTATTATCATTATTTTTAACATGTAAGTTGTAATTTCTAAGACTTATTAATAACAATATTTAAATACTTCCAAGATCTTGTGATTTTTTTGTTAAAAGCTATTTGGGAACAGACAATTATGATAACATTACGAAGTACTGAGTACATTAAGTGACTTTGAGTGGATGAATAAATTATAAGCGCACATAGCTAAGTTTTATATAAATCAAGTTGATTCTTTGTAGCAATTCGCGGACAACTACAGTGTGGAAATCTGCGGGAAAGCGAGCTCTATAATCGAAAAGAGATCACTGGACCAGATGAATACCCCTGGGTTGGTCGCGTTGGATATGGAAATCCGGAAAATTACACTGCTGAGTTTAAATGCGTTTCGGTGCTGATAAAACCACGTTATGTGATCCTTCCTGCCGAGTGTGTAATAGGCAAGGCAGTGACCACACCCACGTTCATTCTGTTTGGCGACTGGCGAGCCACTGACGACTTCTTTCAACTGGGCGATTGTCGGGAGGGGAATGGCACTAGACAGTGCACTCCGGCCTCACAGGTGGTAGAAATCGAGGACCTGATTGTACATCCGGGGCATACAATATCATTATCGTTTAACTATAACCTTGCACTGGCCAAACTGGTTCGAAGCGTAGAGCTATCAAATTTCGTGCAGCCCATCTGTATGCCACCTTTAGCGAAAGATAAGGACAATTATATCTTCCAGAGTCTGGAGATAACTGGATTCAAAAAAGTGTACACGTCAGAGAAGACTTGGGAGGAGGACGACTATTATCGACAGAAGATGAAGGTGCACACGGCAAGTTTGCAGTTCTGCAATTCGAAGATGTTAATTCCCATCTTGATGAACGAGAATAATTTGTGTGCTTTGAGAGACAAGCGTAACCTTCTGTTTAACGGATCCCCTATAATGGGAGTCGAAGTGGTTGACGAAAAACCAACGAACTTCTACCTTATTGGAATATTAATAACAGTCATTTCATATCCTACTTCGGAAATAGAATTATTGCCAATATTACGTGTATCGCCGTTTAGGAACTGGATTGAGAATAACTTTGTGGACTAACTAAGCCAATGGTATTTGTGGTACTTCACATTTTTGTCCTTAATATATAAATATTTTTAAAAAATATTTTTAAATTAATCATTAGATTCTCAAATAAACCTCTAAAATATTTTCAAAACATTTCGAACAACAAGAAGGCCACGAGAAACATAAAATGGTAGATACGTTTCGCACTGGTTTTTCTGAAGGCTTTTACTTCCATTAATGGCCTGCTACTTGGCCGGCAACAATGGCTTTTGCCCTGGTGTTGGCCTTTCCTATTCCTATTCCACTGCAGCCAACCATAAAATTATTATGCAAATACAGCGGAGAGGGGAGGAGCGGCGAGTCGGGGCCAAGGGTCAGGAGTATGCACATATTAGGGCTACAAGCCGTTAATATGCAAATGGCACCGCGACTCATTCATAAAAAGGGATTTTTCCATAGCGTAGCAGTCCTTGAATGCCGTCGTCTGGGTCCTGGCAACAGGATGTGCTGGCCATTCACGAAGATCACGAAGGGAGTTGAAGTAGAAGGGGCCCATTTTCAAGCAGGACGAAGTGCGCGGAGTGTCAGGACAATGGCAAAGGTTCGCATGTGCATAGTTTGTAAGACTAATGAGCGGCACCAGGCGGAGTGGGGAATTAAAAGTGAGCATTAACGGGGAAAAGGAAAAGTTAGCAAAGAATCTTAAAAAAGAGGATGGGGGTTCCTTTTGTGTCGAAATAGGTTTTGGGAAAACTGATCCATTTACGTAAATTTCCAGATGTATAAAATAAAGGAATTTTGAATTATTACAGTAAGCACTAAAAGAAAAAAGATCAACTATTACCAACGAATTATAGTAGATCATTTCTCTATTTGAATATATAATGCCTTGAAATATCTTCACGTTATTAAATTGCATAAAAGAAAGCAAAGAGAAAGCTCTAGAGAAGAGGAACTGGCTGAGGAAGTGCACACACAAGAATTTCGCCACTCGACTGTGGCAGAGTAATTTCATAATTATGCAAGCAGAAATGCCATTGTGTGACCTCCCCATCCACTCCCATACCGCCCACCATCCGCAGTGTATGGCAACCTCAAGTGCAGGGGCAAAGTGTATAATTATTTGTTGCCTTGTAATTTTTCACTTAATTTCCATGGTCCGGGGCGTGACATCCGTTTTCTGCCGGCGAAAAGTATGCAATTAGTTTTAATGCTCCTCAGCGAAAGAAAACCCGATAAGTTATGCATTTACTATAGTTTAATATTATCATAAATCCGCTGAATATTTGTTACATTCTATAAAATATACATTTTTGGTTTGAATGTAAGTCATTTAATGACTTCAAAAATCTTCCGCAGTTGACTGCTTTCCCAGTATTGTTTTCAAGAGTTTCCCATTTTTCGTTGCTAATTTGCCCAACTTGATTCCCTCTACCAAAAAACACTTAGCGCTAATCATCATATAAATGGTTTGTAAAATATTAGATAAGAGCCAGCAAAAAATAAACTGTTAAATGTTTTGGAATTAAATGCGTGATTTACCCCGTTGCCGTTTCCCATTGCTATCCGCTTTTCCTGCTCGTTTTTCCCGCTTCTCCGACTTTTCCACTCCATCCCAAGTGGCTGCTCTCTGCGTTTTCCTCAGCGGGCGAACGCCAACGCGATTTTCCATTAAATCCTTGAACAGCTAACGCGCTTAACTCTGCTAACCAACAAAACCTCTCTTTCCCTATTTTATTTTTTTTTTTTGGAGCCCCAGCAGAGCTTATGCAAAAATTTTGTTTTATAAAATTTTCAAGTCAAGCGCCTAATCCCAACACTTATTCTTATACACTTCAATGTCTGGCGCTAGAAGAGGGGTGTTGTAGGGGTGGGGAGGCTACGCAACGGGTGGGTATGAGATGAGAGTGCACTGAGATAAAATTATTATTGTTAACTTTTTTTTACAATAGATCCAGCATTTTCTACATTTTCATATATTTCGGAATACTTTTTATAACTCTTAGAATGCATTTTCTAATAACAAAAAAGATTCATAATTTGGTTTTTACAGTGTGGTTACGTTTTGTCGTCTTGAGGCAGGGCATTGAAAAGTTTTCTTTTCCCAACCAGACAATATTTTATGACAAGTGCCAGGGAGGGGTTGAGTTTGCCAAAGATGGTTGAGAAGGGGTGGTGGGGGTGCGTCTTTAGCTTCTAAGATGGTTTGGTGGATTGCGGTTGCAAAAGGAGAAGGGCGATGGTCTGTGGGTGTGGGAACACATTGGCACATTTTGGGATTATGCCACTGAAAAATTCATTCATTTCCTGCTTATTTTTCAGGACAAAACTGGCGAGACTGAGCCGCCTTGGCAATGTGTCCCTGCCCCCGCCTCCTTGGAAAACCCCAACACTTTGTAATATATAATTAAGATTACAAGCTTTCTGGTTTCGGGAGTCTGAGGCTGTGGTGCGCTGCTTTTACGACTCGACTTGACTGATAACCGAAGGCGAACAGTGCGCGGCCGCAGGAATTTATTCATGGCTTGGGTCCAAGGATAGCATCCTTTCGGATCCTTCGGCTTACCGGGTTGTTTATGTCCGGGCGCGACCTCTTGCAGATTAATTTATGCGCTACGTAATTATTAAATCAAAAGTATTAATGCCCCGTCCGTCCGTCTTATCATGAATTGAGTGACCCAAGTAAAGGCGCTAATCAACATTTAAGAGTTTCATGGCATACTTAAGGGGCTGATTAAAAGGAGCAGTAGGAAAGAAAAAAAAGAAAGTTTTTTTTTTTTAAATTGGTTTAACTGGGTGGTTTATCTAGCTATTTAAGATATACTTTCTATATATTTATACTTTAATTTGAAATTAATTTTATGGATCTCTGGGTTATATTATCTAATGATCTTTTACTTTGGTCGTTCACTTACTTAACACAAAATTAGATACACCATTGTTAAATGCGAAGATGGAGAATCACATAGTTTGGTAGGGGATCTATTCACCCATTTACTTTCAATATATTCTCAAGTCGTACAAGAGGGAAATGTGGCAAATTGTCAACCATTTGACAGGACGCATTAACAAGCCTCTTTGGCCGTGAAAGACGATGCCACTTCAGTTTCAATTTACATGACGCATTAATCAGCATTCGATTTGAATCTCGTTATTTTCTCCTTGGCCCCTTTTTCTGGAGGCCACTCCCTTGACAACCTCACGCAATAAATTTGAGCATCAAATGGTGAGTAATTTCTTTATGCCATCGGTCTAATGGGCCGCCATAACTTAGACCAGGGCGACTAGAAAGACCAGGACGATAAGGATGGTAAGGTTGGGTGGTCGAGAAAGAGGTGGAGTCGAGCTACCTGAAGGAAATTAGTATGCCGAGACATGAAAATCATTAGGCCAAAGACAAACCGCTCCAACTGCGGCTTCACTAGGTCTCTCTGCGTGGGTGTCACTAATTAAATTATATACATAACAGGCAGATCCAACGGCAGGAGCAAAATCACTGGACGAAGGTGGGTGAGCGTTCCAGATTTGGTTTAACACCCACCGCAGGTGTAATTAAAGAGCTTCTAGTGCCATAAATCTACACTGCTCCGCTGTATTTGTAACTAAAATGGATCGCAGAGCGGTAGAAATGAATGAAGTCTTTTGATAGAGATTTCGTAAAAAATCCACTTAATAAGTTCTATGTGTAATTTACTTAATATTATGGTATGAAAATTTGTAGAAAAACGAAACAAAGAACTTATTGTCAGTCTAGATAACCACAATACACGTATTCCTCTCCCACTAAACCAAAACAAAAATTCAGCTGGTCTATCCGCATCATTATCCTGGCCACGGGAAGTCCATTCCACTAATTAAATGTGTCCACCAAGAGGTTATGCCACTCGAGCGTATGAGATTGTTTTCGATAATGATTATGCACAAGTTTTTCCACTCACCGACCGCAATTGTCCCCTACAACTAACTCCATTACCTCTGCCACCCAAAAGCGGTTTTTCTATTTTATTTACACTTTTTTAATTTGATGCGAGGCAACAACAACTCGGCGATAAAAAAAGGGGAAAAAATGGAGAAAAGGTTTCGTTTCTGTGGCCCTTTGGCAACGGGTTAAATCGCTTGTAATTACGCTACATAAATTTTAAATAAGTATCCGTTTCTTTTCGCCGCTCTTTCCGCCTTCTTGCACTCAAAGGATCTACCCGCAAATGTAAATATATATATATATATATATATATACTTATATATACAGTCAAATGTACATTCGAAGTTCCCTTTGTGTTAATTGCGCTGGTTGGGCAAAGTCAGTGCCCGAGTCAACCTCGAGTTGACCTTTTCCCCAGCCATTTTGCCACCCGTTTTAGCCAAGCTTACATGCTAATTGTAACCAAAAATCCTGTTTATTGTGCGCACATCAAACTTTTAGTGTTGGTAAGCGGCTTAGTATTCAAATTGAATGTAATACATTTGCCCAAATTGCATGCGAGTTTGGGTCTTAGCGCAAAGTCCTTGGGATTTCGGCTGACTTAAGCTGCCATTGTGGACAAAGGGTTTGGCTTGGGATATTCCAATTGGGTTGAAGGGTAACGAGTATCCTTGATATGAGGTTGAGGTTTTTTATGGCACTCCCGTCAAGTGGGAGAAAGCTTATGTGCCAGCACATAATGCTAATCGGCATTACGATAATGCTCTCGACCAACGAAATCCGTTGAAAAACCCGATCGTTGATTCGGGTAATGTAAGTAAGTTGAAGTAAAAAATCTTGAGTTCTTATGGAAAAAATAGAAAAATTTATTAAAATAATTAGAGAAGAACCTTGCTAGAAAAATCTCCTAATGGAATATGCTTTTATAAATAGAAATAATAACGCAACTAAATTATTCAAGAACAGCATTTTCCTGAAAATTTCACAGAAAGAAGCCGTACATAATTTAAGGAGCTCTTAATGTACATTTAATTTTGGCTATCATTCATGGCCAATTCATTGTGGGCTAACATTTTTTAGCACTTTCCGCTGACATTGGCGTTTCCTTTTCTTTCACGAACATGGCTATAAATAACCGAGGTGAGTTTTCTTGCCCCACTCACGGATAATAAATGCACCTGTTCACGTCACTCCGCTTTCCTTCATATCATGACCGATATCCGGCTTAC